ATAAAGGATATTCTTATAAAATTTCAGATATTATAGTATTTTTATAAGATAATAATTTATATAAGAATTCCTATTAAATTAAAATTACTAGCTTTTTAGAAAAGAATATATTTGAAGTTATTTCTAGATTTTAAATACTAAAAAAAATATATATCTTTAATTCCCGATTTATTAATAAGATTAAAAATAAGGATATAGAAAAAGAGTTTAAAAAGCCGAGACTAGTTATTTAAGTTTATAATAATAGTAAGAAATATATAATATTAATATAATTATTTATTATTTAATATATTAGTTAGAGAATTATTCTTTATATTACTATTATAATAATAAATACTATAAAGTTATATTTATATAATATTTTATAAGCTTATATCTAATTAATAATCTTATTTAATTATAATTTTTATATTAACTTATTTTATAAATTTATTAGAGAGCTAAATCTAAAGAATAATTCTATTTTAAAAATTATAAAACTATTATATAATATACCAGAAGCTAGAAACTACTAGTTTAAAACCTACTCTTTCTATTATATTAATAAGCTTTTTATAGAATAGTTAATTTATAACTTTTACTTCCTTTATAATAAATAATTCTTTGAAATTATTAGCTTTTAAACTAATAATACTCTATTTATTAAAACTAATAATTTTATAAAAATAGAATAACTAAAGCTCTAAAAAACTAAGTTTTTAGCTAAGAAGTATAAATACCTTATTTCTAATTATAATCTCAAATTTAATAGAGGTATTATTTATATAAATACTATTAGAATTACTTTTATATAGAAATACTAATATAAAAACCTTTAAATTATTTCTATAAAAAATATTACTATTATAAGTAATAGGAGTATTATTTATTAAGATTTCTTTATTAAGAACTAATATATTATCTAATATATTAGAGAAATATATATTATATTAGTTTATTAACTAGAAGCTTTATATAATTTATTAATTACTATTTAAACTATTAAATCTTTAGAAACTAATATAAAGATATTTAATAAATATATTTAATAGTAAATTGAGAATACTACTAGAGAACTAAGATTTATAAAACTAGTAAAGAAGTTCTTATATTTAATTATTTTTACAGATATTTTATTTATAAATAATAGAGATCTCTTTTCTTAAATTAGATATATTCTAGTTCTAGTAAATAGAACTAGATATACTAATATTATTTACTAGTTCTTTACTAAATATAAGAGAGTTACTAGAAGTATTCTAGCTTCGGAATTTTATAATATAGCTTATAGCTTTAATATAAATACTTTAATTAAATCTATAATTAATAGAATACTAGAAATAGAACTATTATTAGTAATCTATATAAATTTAAAGTTATTATATAAATGCTTTATTATATTAGGAATTACTCGAGAAAAGTATCTAATAATTAATATAATATATCTTTACTAGATATATAAATAATAAGAGATTATAAAAGTTAAATAAATTAAAAGAGAATTAAATTCTATTAATTTTATAATAAAATTAAAACTAATAAATACTTTTAAATACCTAATTAATATAAATACTATATAATTAAATATAGAGAAATAGATTAAATATAAATAGAATAGAAAATAGATATATAGAATAGAAAAATATTATAGAAGAGGAAGTTATATATAAAAGGCTATAGCCTTTAATATATAACTAAAATCTTAGAAGTAATATAGATATATAAAGTATTTAAGAAATCTAGTATTAGGCCAAATTAGAGAATTTATATATAATTAGAGAAAAGTATTATTTTTTGTATTTTTTAGAAAGTTTCTAGTATTAATATAACTATTTCTTTAGAAGTTATATATATAGTTACGAAATACGGGATACGGGATATAGATAATGAAATATAGAATATGAAATATAATTATATAATCCTATATTTTATAAGTAACTTAACTAGTAAACTAGACTCTATTAAGCTTAGTAGATTTAGGAATTATATATTAATATTATAATACTATATTTTCTATTTCTAAATAATAACTTTACTAATCTTATATAAATAGTATTTTATAATTATATAATAGTATTATATATTACTAGTAAACTAATAATTATTTATATTTTATTATTTATATTTTTAATTTTATTATTAAATTATTAAATTATATTTTATATTAATTTTTATTTTATTATAATTTCTTTTTTATAATAAATAATATATAAGAATTATTAAATAATCTAGAAAATATAGCTTAAATATTATAATATTATTAACTAAACAAAAATATAAAAAATAAGTATTTTTATTAAAAAACTATTAAAAATTATATATTTATTTTTATAACTAGTTTCTATTATTTTTATTTTTATTTTTATTTTTATTCTTTTAAAAAACAAATAATAAATTAATTTAGAAAACTATTAGTTATTAGTAAAAAATAAAAATAAAAATAAGTTTATTTAATACTAAAAAATATTAGTTATATTTTTAAAAGTATTTTATATTTATATTAAATTAATAAGAATTATTTAATCTATTTTTTAGATTATTAAAAGAATTTATTAGTTTTAAATAATAGCTTTAATATAAAAAATATAAAAAATATTTATATATATTTATAGTTTAAAAAAAGTAATTTAATTATATTATATATATTTAAAAAATTCTAAATAATATTAAAATAGGAAATAAAGAAAGAAATTTATAAGTTATAGAATTATATTTCTTATTTTTGGAATAATAGTAATTATATATTAAATAATTATTACTTTTAAAATAAATAAAATCGGGAAATTTAGTAATATTCTTAGAATATTAAAAATAATAAAAATAAATTAAGGCTATAGAAATATTAGCTAAATAATTAATAATAGGCTAATAAATATTAAAGAAAGAATTTATTTTAATAAATAAAGAAATAGAAAAAGAAATTAAAAAAAACTTAAAAGAAGCTTAAAAGAGTTTAAAAAATTTAAAAAAAAAAACTTAGAAAAGAAAAATAAGAAATAAAAAAAAACTAGATATAATATTATAGTTATAAAAAAAAGACTTTTCATAATACTTTTTTTTAAAAAAATAACAATTCTAAATATTTAAAAAATTCTAAAAAAGAAAATTATAAATAAACTAGAAAATTAAATTAACTTTTCTAAGTTTTTAGGCCTATAAAATAATAATTTATTTATAAATAGAGGCTAAATTAGAATTTATAAACTAATTAAGAAATTAGATAAACTTTATATCTAATAATATATATTATATTTAGCTAAATATTAGAAAATATATAAGGAAATTATAACGGCTGGTATTATATAGTTAATACGGACGTGGTTTCAGCTAAGGGATTAGTTTCAGCTAAGGTTCCAAGCTATGGTTCAAACCAAGCTCGCTTCCAAAGCTCGGCGTTTCAGTAGTCTTGGCCATACCTACTTATCCACTGCGCTATGGTTCAAACCAAGCTCGCTTCCAAAGCTCGGCGTTTCAGTAGTCTTGGCCATACCTACTTATCCACTGCCACACCTCACTCCTTCTCTCCTTAGCTTTAGATTCTATAGGACATTGGAATTATTAATCTTTGAGCCTCGTTCTATTACTCTGTTCCTGCTGTTACAGAAATACTTTTAGCTTTAGAAAAGGGTATTAATTAGTTTTTTATTAGAATTAATTCTTGAAATTAGTTATATTTATAAATATTACTTTATAATTTATTTACTTTAATTATTTATATATTATTTTACTATTATATATCTTATAATTAGTTTAAATTATAGCTTAAAGAAATTAATTTCGAGCTTATTATATAAAATAAATACTAGAAACAAATAATATAATAATTATATTAAGAAATAGTTTAAAAGAAATATTTAGAAATAAAAAAAAGTAAATTTAATAAGAATTATTATATAAATATAATGAATTTTAAAATAAAATTAAATATATTAATATATATAAATAAAACTAATTTTTTATATATATAAGTTATAGTAGATTAGACTTAAAAAGCAAATAATAGCTAATTAGAAAATATTTAGAAAATACTTCTGTATAGGGAAAATTTGTTAGTAGAAGTGGGATGGATAGCCGTACGGGGCAATCCGGAGATTGAAACCTCCGGGGAGACCCGCGCGGGTCGTGCGTGACCATACGAGGTGAAATGGATGTCCAGCTCACCTGCGCCCCTCATTCCGAATACGGTCCAACCCCCGATCAGCCTTGAGGTAAAAGGTCAGTGCCCCGTATCGCAGCCGAGATTTAAACTTGACAACCCCAGCGATCTCGACATCAAGATCTCCTCGAGGACCTCGACAGGGTTCTGAGATGTTCACCCACTTCCCTGCCACAGGCCCCAGGGGGGTCCCGGAGCTTTACCCCTTGTTCCGCAGCCCCTCAGACTCTCGTTTAGAGCACTGCTATCAGATAGATTGCGGTGGAAGCCGAGTGGCTCTGCCTCCCCTTCGTCTCGCTGTTGTTTGCCGTCTCTCCCACTTAGCTCTGTAACCGGGGCACAAGTATATACAACACGCTCTTCTCGCACACGACATCCTTGCAAGACCACAGCAGCTCCGTACTTCAAATGGCATCAGCTACGACAAGTGTAACACCGAGACCAAAGTCCTTCATGGATCATGCAAGCGAAGATCTATCTGCTCTTGATCATTCATTCATACCTTCCGGATTAAAATTCCTTAGAAACGGAGCTGCTAGCACATTAAGGAAATGACAGCTCTTTCAAAAGCCTTCTGTTGACGATATTTTGCTGAAGAACAAGGAAATGCGCGCCCGCCAGAGGATATTAGGGAAATTCATGAAACATTAAGCATTGCTTTGAAACAATTTGAATTCCAAGATTCTGTTTTCCCATGTCTAAAAGACATCGATCATTATTGGAGGATGCCAATCCAATGAAGTTTTTCATCTATCCTGCCGTCCATGTTCATTTCCTTTTCCTAGATCATACTTGTTATTTCGTTCCAGACATTGTCATCGGACCCCCGTCTTCTATGAGCGAGAGTTTCTGATCCTCCCCTTCTTTACAATGCAACCATCACCACCATTCCTACGATAACCAAAGCCTCGACGCTCTGTTTCGATCCAAGCGTTGGAGCAGCATTGTGTGAACCAGTAGTCGAAGTTGAAGCAGCGACCTGAGCAGCAACAAAAGTTCCCGTTTGCAACGATGTTATAAGTTTCGTGTTAGTAACCCCAGACTCCACTACAGTTGTGGTCACAGTGACTGTCGTTGTGGTCAAGCCCGTCTGGCCGCCCGTAGCAGTGAGCGTATACCATCCGTTAGGTCCAATGCCGCCCCATCCACTTCCTCCCCACCCTGCAGGACCTCCCCATGGGCCCCACCCGCCTGTGCAAGTTGCGGTGTTTGTCGCGCAGCCTGAATACGCAGAGCATAAAGAGGACTGCAAGTTTGAGAGGGTGGAATATGAGGCGCTTGGACACGCCGAGGAGACGCAGCTTGCTACTGCTGCCGTGCTGGTACACTGTCCTGACCAAGCACTCCATGTGGAATAAGCGGAAGAGAAACACGATTGCTAGATATCTTATCAGTTGCAAGGCTCTTAGTGCAAGTGCAAAACAGAAATACTCACAGCACATGAAGGAGCAAAGTCCCATGTACCACCCATTCCACCCCTTCCACCCCACATGCCATTTCCACCACCCCCAGGAAACTGGGCTGAAGCAAGGCTGGACAGCGCGAGCACGATTGTAGGAAACTTCATGTTTGGAGATATTGAGCTTTCGGAATCAAGTTGTTCCAAATTTTAATTGAGTACACGTGAAGGTGCAGCTCTAGATTATATAGCTGTACAGAAAGAGGCGTTCGCTGTTTGACTGCGGCACGGACGGTGGTGGTGGGGAAGTCCGGCCCAGCCCTCCATGATATGGAGTAGCGACGGTCTTCTGGATTTGGGAACGAGGGCTCCCCGTTTCAGAATCAGAGGATCAAAGGACCAAAAGAAGACGCTGTGCGACTGGCAAGGCTGGGTAGCTGACGAAGTGCTGCGTTGGTCGTGGTGGCTGATGAGCTCCTGATGTAAATCGAATGACGCTTTCATTGGATGCGGCAGTTGGACGACAACGTTACAAAATCCAATGAAGCAGAGTGTTGTGTTTTTTAATGACGGAATGGTCGAGTACCTCGCTCTTGAATCCTATCAGCGTGGGATATGCACGATTCGATATGCGTGAGGGCTTGGCGGGGTCATACAAAAACCCCGCCATCGCATTTGGAGGGGATTCGAAACACAAAGCTGAACCCTGCTGCCGATCAGCGATGACGCGTTTATTGTCCGATTCGTGATGTTCCGATTACGGTACAATAGAGCTCGTTGGGTGGAGTCGAAAGATCTTACGATGTGCGGTTTCTGAGGGGTAGCTTGGCCAGTTAGAAATGGTGACGGTTGAAATCAGTATGCCGGACTATGGGAAAGTTTGAGGCTGCCAGGCTGGCCTTCCCTTCGGCGAATTTCATCGCTCCTGCAGGTTGGTGAAAGCGGGAGGCGGCGTGCGTGGCAATGGCATGGTTACGCGTCGAGCTGCAGAGATATATCTTGTCTGCCACATTTGGTGGAGTTGTACCTTCTCGGGCGTGCAGAGGTGCAGGTAAAGCTCACTCTGCTACACGGAAGCGGTAAGCTTACCTGAATTTGGAGAGCCCCCGTGAACGGTTCAGGTTTCACATTAGTTAAGCTTGAAATAAAGAAGGTTGATCAGTAGGTTCTGATTCGGGGGTCAGGCTGCTTGTTCTCAAAGACCTCGGCGTCGGTGCGGGATTTCCCGACTTCTCGTCGGGAGTCGGCCCTGTTCTTTGTCTGTGGAAGATCTTCCTCCGGACTCTCCCTTTTCACACTTTTACCTGGATCCTTTTAAGATTTCTTCACCCCAACTCAAACTCGGTTCCACGGCACTGAGGGAGACCGAACAGTTGAAGTCCGTTGCTACGCGCGGCTTCTTACTCCAGTTCTAGCTTCGTCGGCGATCATCCTCGACGACGAGTAAGTGTTCGGACCTCAGTGCTCCTACGGACTTGACAGATGTCATACGCCAAAGTCCTCGTATCTGCAGGGTTACGGGTTCCGTTTGTTCTAAATATTTTTAACTTGTGACCTCACAATTTCCTTAGTGCATTGAGATTTTGATATCAAGTACATTTTTTCGCGACGAGAGAAAATAACTGTTTGGAGAAGTTTGTGGGTTGGCGGTATGAGATGGATGTTCGCTATGCCCAGATGAGAGTCTGGCGTTGGATTTGAAGACTTATGAAGCTTATGAACTTCTATTCGCAGGTGCTGTGTTCCTGTTACTTGGCAGCTCATGGGGATGGTTTTTAAGGGCTAGAAATTAGGATGGAGAGTGGAAGAGATGTTTGACTTGTGCTTTCAGTGATGTCAAGGGACTTTGGTGGCTAGAAAAGTGTAATCGGATTGTTGCTGTCAGTAATCTATTTAAACTTCACTTGTCTCCTACACTGCTCAGTGCCGCAGGTAGTGCAACAACCACTGTTCGTGTTAGCAACAGTCTCAACCTATTCTTTGGCTGGGAAAACCCACAGCTTCCAGCAGTCACAATGTGGGAAGCAATCCCCAAGCCGTCTGAATCGTTGCCAAATTCGTCGGAGTTCTGTTCTGAACCATAACTCCACAACGAGACTCAGTAAAACTGGTCCGAGAACCACAATCGAGATTCGTAGAGGCGACCAACCAAGCACGATCTCGAGAGATAACTGCTGTGAAAACTCGCTACTGTCAGGTTAATATTCTACTTGGTTGAGGATTTCGTGAATCCATTTCGTCTAGTTCCGCTCATCGCCGCCAGAGAAGCCAAAAAGGGAGGGAAAGACGGGAGGAGTGACCCCAGGAGCGACGGAAGGCGGAGAGTGTGTTGAGGTCTTGCTGGTTGCACGGGATCATTTGGTGGAATTTCTCGGTTTCATCCTTTGGATCGTTTTTGGACGCTGCGGGATTTAATTGTCAGTGCAATGGTTCTAAGGAAGGGATTAAGAGATGAGGAAGAGAGTACAATGTATATTCTGAATCCAGTGCAATCTTTTAAACTCATGATTGAGCGAATACCTCACAAGCGGGCGATGGCCCACCAGAGACTCCAAAAGACCCATTCAGGGTGCTTGATATATACTATTCGCTCTTTTGGTGCCATTTCCGGGCCTTCGAAGAGGCCGATGACTACGAATACTGGGGGGCGAGAGTGGGTGTATTCATGGCCGCAGCGGTCAAAGTGGTGGTCAATTGGTGGTAGATGAGTGTGCCGGGAGTGGCGACGAGCACAACTTGTAAAAGAATCAAGAGCTTCTCGACGTTCAGATGTGTAGTCCCCGAGTCCAGGGGCGGGGATCAGTACTCGTGTGCGGAGATCGAGGGGATGAGGTGTCTATTGCGGAGCGAGTGGAGTCGGAGAGCTTTTCCAGTAGTCCTAAGATAGTGGTCGTATTCGATCCCGAGTATTCGATTACTCGGACAATTCTCTTCAGGAGTTGGTTGTCGGTAGCTTCGGTGATGCTATCTAGTGAACGGCGGCGAGAATCTCTGTCCCTGTGCCTCCTCGAATCTAGGCATGGTGGCTCCACAAGCTCCAATGGCTCCGGTGGGAATTCCGCTTCCTGCTCATCTCTGTTCAAATCACTCCCCCTCAGCTCGCCTAGGGATATCCTCTGCCATGGCGACTCCGCTTCTTGGCCATCGCCGTTCGATTCTCCGTGATCAATGGGATCAACGTTCCGGTAATGAACACTCATGGTTTTCTCTCCTATTGAAGAGACCATTTTTTGTTACAAGGGAACGATTTATTGACCTTCCTTATATGTCTCCTTCGGTAGTGTATGTAGACTTCCTTGCAGCCCCTTTTGCCATGAATTGACGTGACCAATGAAAGTTGCTGCGATTCATGCTGAAGTGCGCTTCGAGCCAGAACCAGGCCATCATACGAGCTTTCCCGTACCATCACTTGATGGATCTCAGCTGAAGACCGGAATATGAACATGTGATCAAGAGAAATAACAGTAACAGCACGCTTGTGTGAAAGAGGTTGAAATTTGAAGTGGGGAGGAAAAGACAATTCGAGCTCATCGGCGGTGTTGGGCTTGGCGGCAGGGGTCGTTCCGAATGGCGGGGTACGTTGAGAGACATCACCTCTTGCACGCTTCCTCCTTCCTTTCGCGGGAAAACAATCTATCGAACGTAGATCTTGATCTTCGTACATCATATCATTCATCCCGTTATGTTGTTGCATTTCCCTCATATCTCAATCATGCCTCGACTCCACGGTATCAAGCTTCAATCGCCAACCCTCTCATCCACATGAAGCTGAAAGCAAGTACTGCTCCGATTGCTGCTGCCAGAATCCACCAGAGTGCTGCGTTTCTGTTCATGAAGCCCATCATCCATTTCTTGGCTGCTTCCATCCTCGTCATTGGTTTCTTCTGATAGGTGCAAATCTTCGTCCCAAAGACCAGACATCCTCTGCCGCCTTCTCTCGTATCGCATTCCCCGTGCTCCCTCCTTCTCTTCATTAGCAGCCTATCGATCTGTTAGCTATGGTATCCATCACTGTAGGTAGATAAAAGCGTTGTGAATGCTAAGTGAAGAGGAGACATACCGGACGGATCCTCGACAGAATCTCATATCACTCCCCAGCTCACACCCCTTATCATGCGGACAGTCCAAATGCAGCCTCCTCCTCTCGATCAGCCATTCAATTTTTAGGTTCACTCCAGTATAGACGAAGCCATAGAAGTGCCGATTTGTGTGTTTGAGAGACAGCGCGTCGGGATATGTAAGGTAAGATGCGATTTGAAGATGAAGCTCAGTTGGGAGGTTCATGAACGACAATTGGTTCCCGGTAGCTCCGCTCACTTCGTCTGACTGGGTCTCCATCTCCGGTATATCTTCGACAGTCTTCAGATCGGTCATCTTGTCGTTGAGGAATGGGTTTGAAGGTCTCAAACACTTGGTGAATTGAGTGATACACGTCACGTGAGAGCGAAATTGATGTGCGACAAGGAAGGCGGAAGCAATTTAGGTTTCATGCAGGTACGAAAGACGGAAGAATGGAGAGGAGATTTGATCGGGATATAGGAATGTGCTGCCTAATGTATGGGGTTGATTGACAGCTGGCAGCATTGTGGCGAGGCAACGGCAGGGCAAGCTCGTGTTCTGTAAATATCTGAAACGTGGAGAATCAGGCTGGCAGCCACCTGCGTTTTGAGGGCATGTGATTGCTCTGTATCTGATTTCGATTGTTTACGAGCTCGTAACGAGAAGTGAACCTTGCTTTTGGCGTGGGAGATTCAGCCTTGTCGGTATTTATAGATGGATTGGACATGAGATTTTACGTCACTGTGGAGGGTGCAGTGTAGGAATGGAGGAGGTGAATCACTGAGAAGTGTGCATGGGGGAGTAAAAGTTGTCCTCTGCATCCAAGGACCACAATTCACTGCCCCAGTGGACAGAGATGCGCAGTTCTTCAAGAGTCAGAGCAGGCTGAAAAGTCGAAAAAGGATGCAGGACGCTAAAGAAGGCAGCAGTTTTCAGGGCTCAAGTCCTCAGCCACCACCTTCCTCCCCTTTCCCGAAAACAAGGACTCCGTCAAAAGGCGAAACCTCAGCAGTCGCAAGGACAACTGTCCGAGGGAATTGAGCTCACAACTGTGAAGTGTGTATTAGAGAACCCTGTCACGTGTAAGTCGCGAAACCGCGCCTTTCTCGCGACTAGAGGCGTCATCGAGAACCACCACAACAAACCAGCACCAACTCATGGATTGAACCGATGATCTCGCCGGTATGGCTAGTCCTGCCACCAGTAACGATATTGATGAGCCTCTGAACGACGTCGATACCGATTATGGGTCTGATTTCTCTCCAGAAGAAGCTGTCATAGTTGAGCAATTGTTATCGGGAAAACACGCCGAGGACGACAATCCCATTGTCAACAATATCGAGCATCATGACGCACGGCAGAATCTGCGTCTCCCTCGCATATTTGGGAGGGAGGAGAGGTCGCCTTTGTTCCAAGCGGCCAGAGCTGCTGAACAGATTGCTGAGCAGATCAGCAAGTCAATTAAGCGTGGCGAGCACTACCCGGATCGTGAGTAACCCAGCTTCACACGTAGAGATAAATCTGACTGACGCTGAAGCGTCTAGTGAGTGACCAGGTCAAAGATGCGTCAGATTTGAGAACGGAAGCCACTGTCGAAGCTCCTCCAGCAGACCCCACTGCTCCAGATACACGATCCCCTCTTGAACGATTTCGAACACAGCCAAAGAAGGCTCTTTCAGTGACAGATCTGGTCTCGCCAGCATGGTGCGAATTGCAATATTGGTATACCTTGACCCTGCATGGGAGGAAGAGGCGGACACGAGCTATGAAGCAGGGGAGTAAGGTCCATCAAATTCTCGAGGACCAGGTCCATACTGCAGTCCATGTCAGGCTTGAAACGAAGGAAGATGCATGGGGCCTTCGAATATGGAATGTGATACAGGGTCTCAGAACACTGCGCGATGACGGGCTGACTAGAGAACTCGAAATCTGGGGCACTGTGGATGGATTGGTCGTGAACGGAGTCATTGACGAGCTTTCCTACATCTGTCCAGATACCGAGATGCAGGAGTCTTTGCAGAAGCCTGATCCTAAGGAGGAGCTTCCTCCAGATCAAGCTACTATCTCTGAATTCTTCAAGGCAGCAAACGGCACGTCTCTCGCAGAAGCAACAAGAAGCAAGCGTCGTGCTCGAACGAAGAAAGTCTACCTTTGCGATGTGAAAACTCGAGGTGTTCGAAATTTGCCTTCGGGAGCTACCTTTCGTCCTACTAAAATACAACTTATGCTTTACCACCGTCTCCTGGCCACATTAGCAACAAATAATGTCGACTTCTCCATCTTGACCGCCCGTTATGGGCTCGACCCTTTGAAGACTTTCTCAGACTCCTTTCTTGCACAAATAGGCGGACTCCACGAATCAAGTGGGCAGCCTTTCCTCGACGCTAAATCAGAGTTAGACTCAAGTCAAGAATCCGAACCAAACTGGAGTCAAGACTCACTGGCCACACTTCTGGCGCACCACAACCTCTCGGCAATATGGTCATTGATGATCTCCGAGTTTCAACTTACATTGCCCGATGGTGCTGATTCATTGGGCAAGGTTCTGAAAGCTGAATATAGATCACGAGATGATGGTGAGATCTTGGGAAGCAAAACATTTGCAATGGATGATCTGGATTTGTCAGCGTACATAAACCATGAGATGGAGTGGTGGAAAGGAGAGAGGCAAGCAGAAGGCGTGGCGGTGGAAGAAGCTTTCAAGTGCAGGAGCTGCGAATTCGCAGACAACTGCGAGTGGAGGATCAAGAAAGTTGAGGAAGCCAAAGAAAAGGCTAGGATGACGAAGAAACGGACCGCGGCTATATAATGACTGGATGAGGGATTGTTTGCTTGCATCTGAGCATGGCATGGCGTTGGCGGCTATAGACCTTCCCCCCATATTGAATCTTTATACACAAGAATCGTACATATCAACACATCTCCATCACATCACCAAGGATACCTCTTTCCCTCCCATGTCCAAAATGTCGCCGCGCCATCCTCCTCTTTCCTCTCCGCACTCCCCCTCCCCCCCTCATCCACCCCTCCCCACCCCTTCTCCCCAATAACCTTCAACATACACCCAATACTCTCCCTCGGACTGACAATCCCCTCGACCTCCCATTCTAAACTCACGTTCGCCATATCCGTACCCACTTCCCCTGGGTGGATTGCCAAAACTACCGTCCTCTCTCTATCCCCTCTCCGCTTTCGTTCTAACTCAGCAGCTAAATGTCGTAGTCCTTGATTGAGCGCTGCTTTCGAGGCAGCGTACGCGCCGAACCCGTCTTCGAAAGCGCGGAAATTGGTCGTGGAGCCGGAGTCGGAGGAGATGAATACCAGTGTGCGGATTGAGAGCGGGGTTGACGGACCCCAGGTTGGTGAGAGTGGTGTTGTGGAAGAGGCAGGTGAGGGAGGGGAGGAGAGAGAGAGCAGGTGTTGGGCTGTGAGGAGGGGGCCGATGGTATTTGTTTGTAGGTGGTGGGAGAAGGTTTCGAATGTTCTTGCGGATGTTAAAGTTAGCTGGAAATAGACTTTGGCTTGCGAGGGGAATAGGGGGAGGAGCCACGTGATCTGAACTCAAAACAATCGTAAGAGGGAGAGAGAAAGTAGAGAGGGGAAGTTACATTTCTGAAATCCGATTCGGATAAATCAATACCCCAGCATTCAGCACCACAACATCAATAACTCCCTTCTCCAACACACCTCCTTTCCGTCCTAACTTCCTCACTTGCTCCGTGAATGATTTTATACTTTCTTCATTGGATACGTCGCATTCGAGGATTTTCAGGTTGTGCCCGTTAGGCGTGCCGGTCAAAGACCAGAGTTGGCTGGCATTGCCATATTGGGAGGGTGGAGGTGCGGTCGTTTTGGAAGGAGGGGGAGCGCGGGCTGTGGCGATTACGGTGTCCCCGCGGTGGAGAAGTTGGGAGACGAATTCAAGGCCGATACCTCGGGAGGCGCCGACTACGAGCCAGGTTTGTCGCATTATCAGGGAAGTAAAGTGATCAAAGATGCATAAAGGAGGAGGAGAATCAAAAGAACCGAAATTTGGTATTGAAGTGTACAGTACCTGCATACAATGACGTTTCTTGAGAGCGGATGAAGGTGCAAGGAACTGACTGGATCAGTGAGGGGTCGCAAAGTGGGGGGTGTATCTTGTCAAAAGAGTTAGGTAATAATGCTTTCTCAACAAGACTCTCTCTCTATTTATGGCCGTCACCAACAAAAAAAGAAAAAACTAAACTTAAATAGATGTCAACATAGATTCCACATGCAAAACCTCAACTTTGTGGTTCAGCCACCACGTGACCACCCACCCCCCTCATCAACTCGGAACCTCCCTACCGAGCCCGACCTCCAAGCACTCTACATCCCGCACCCCATTTCCTTCCCAGGAGGACCCTCCAAACCCGAAACGAAATCCCCCTCCAATCAGGCTGTTTCTCTCCTTATTCTCTCACGCAAACTATGTATGCTGATCCGACAGTTGACTACTGAATGATCTACGCGCGAAAAAGTATCCTAGGTGAAATTGCAGACCATTAATCTGGCAAAATGCAGATATATTGCTCCGGTCCCATCGGTCCGCCACCATTTCTGTAGCCAGATCTGGTCGGAAATGTTTAAGATGAACTTCATTCACTTGTTGAAAGAAAGCTTGTTTAGCTTGTCTGACATCTGTAATTTTGCAATTGCAATTGGATTCTTTACAGATCTTTGAATTTTTAACATGCGTTCACTTCTCAGTCTCATGGCCATGCTGTCCGCAATAGCAATGGCAGCAGTAGTAGCCCCCGCAGCCTCGAGTAACACCACAGCCACACCCTCCTTGACCGCCTCCGGCCCAGGAACAACACTCCAACCAGGCTACTACTGGATCCGTGCCGTTGAAGCTCCAAACTTCCACAAATACCTCCAAACAAAACCCCAATACTCCCCAGGAACCGCACTCCTGGACTCCTACACCACTGCTGGCCAGTTCCAGATCGCGTCTGGACAACTGGTGCAACTGATTGGGGGAGGAGGTCTCCTGTATGCGAATGTGGAGACGAATACCACGGCTGCGACGAAACTGGCAGTTAGCTTTAACCAGACGGAGAACACGTATGGCACGTTTGTGTTTAGTGGGGATGCGGTGACGTGGTCGACGCCGGATATTAAGAGGCCGAATTTGAGTGCTTGGTTGGTGTGTGAGGAGCAGTCGCTGTGGATTAATCTTGGGAACTATATGTATATGACGCCGGCGGGGTGTGCGGATGAGACGGTAAGTGGGGAGAGTGTTGGCGGTGAGGAGGTGCAATGCTAACTGTGTGTAGATACATTATTATAACGACAAGACAGCCGTTAGCTGAGGAGGTGAAGAATTAAAGAACTGAGGGTGAGATATGTAGCGATATTGAGGGGGAAATCGTTGGAAAGGAGGCAAAATAGATGAAAAGAGAAAGGTTGGAGAAGCCTACATCACTTCGTTGTAAATATCTTGGAGACGTGTAAATACTCAACCATTCCTACATCTACAGCTGAACGCCCGCAATGCTATTCAGCTCAGTCATACAACCCTTTTTGATTGATATTATACAAGTGTCGTCGCTTCATGCCTTTACTTTCTTCCTCAGTAAGCAGTGTTCTCCCCATTTTCGCTGAAATCTTTCTGGAATGAATGGCATGTTGGGTAACCATATCGTCCGAGCGAGTGTGTGCGTCCGTGACGCATCGAGGAACGGTGCACAGGCCACTCTGTCCCAGTGCTCCGTATCAAGGATGTAGTGCGGTTCAAGCTCAGCTGGCTCCGAGTCGGGATAATAAGTATCGACCAAGAAGTTGCAGGCCCTAATTTCAGTCTGCAAGAGATCAGCGCGATTCCTAAAAGAGGGAAGACTAACTTACGTATTTGCCCAAATCCTCAATGTTTTGGTCATTCATTCCTGGTGGCTCAAGCCAAGCTCCAGACCAGAGACCAAAGCCAGTCATCGCTTCAGAAAACTCTCCGGGAAGGAGGCCTTTAAACTCACTCTTGATAAACTTGGCGTGCATATTCTTCGGCAAATGGTACGAGCTCGGGAATCTGTACCATTCTTTTCCAAAGCAGACCGAATCCCCGCTGGATCCAATACTTTCAAGAGGCTCATAGATCTTCAGTGGGGCTGAATATGCGGTATAGATACCATACATCCGCGCCAGACCAACATCCACAGATCCAATGACGACCATACTCACAATCAAGAGCTTTAATCTGCCCGGTATTTTGCCGATCAGTGTTTTGGGATCTGACTGTCCAAATGCTGCCAGAATTATATGAAGCGCCATTGCAGCATTCAGCGCAAGTGCAGGGTATGCAGGATACATGAATCGTTCCTCCTTGTGTGGCTGCGAACTGAAGATAGCTAGCCAAAGGTAAAATGGAGACATGAATATAATGCTGCGCAGACCGGTGACAGTGCTGGCTTGCTGAGGTTTAGAGAAAATCTTCTGAAGAGTGAAGAGGGGAAGTGCAGCAACTGCCAGCACAAACCAGATATTGAAGTTGAGGAGGAGATTTCGGATATAAAAATGCCACGGTTCGGTTCCATAAATATCTGGTCCTCTTCCTGGACCGGCGAAGATATTATAGAAGACAATGTTGAACGGAACCACAACGAGCCTTCTGTAAAAGAAGCCTGAGACCAGGAATTCCGCGGCCTGTTGCTTAAAGTCAGGCGGCAAACGTCGGCCCCGAGGATGTTGGCACTCACCAATAATAGTATTCCTGCAATAACTCCACGCAAGCCACGCATGATTGCATCAATCACGGCATCCTTGTCGCTCAGAAATGCGAATACGGTCTCCTCGAGCAAGAACGGAGCACATAAAGCCATAGAAAATGGCCACCCCAGAATTCCACCGACTGCAAAGCAGAATATTCCTTGTGCTGTCTTCAGTCCTCCCCTCCAATTCATGAACATTGACATCCCCACAAACGTTGTATACATGGCGAAACTCGATGGGAGGAAGGAGGCGGATGCATGGAACATGCCAGGGCTGAATATCAGAGCCATCATAAAGAATAAAGCAATTCGAGGGTTTAGGGTGTTGTTGATCACTCGGAACATCTGCATTTGGCAGAGAGCGCAGACGAATGCCAAAGCATATCGGATGAAATAGAATTCTCCAATCTACAGTTCTGGTCAGCACAGATCTACCACTGGCATAAGGCATATACTTTTGTAGTGAAAGGCAGCAATCGTCTGAAGCTGCCTACTAAGGCGTGCAGGGAAATGTATAGCCAGCTTCGGATCGCATACACCGGGGAATATTCCCAAGTCTGCAGTCCATAGTGATGGCTGAGATAGTGAGTCGGCTCCCAGTAATTGAAGGTCTCGTCACAGTCTTGAATTGGTGCATAGAGGGCTGCAAGTAGATTGGCAATGAAGAAGACATAGAAAGCGCCAATTGGCTTCACGGCGAAAGGAGTCGCAGGCCTGAATGAGGAGTTAGTTTGGAGCTTAAAATTCCAAGGATGAAGTGAGCTTACTTTTTCTTTGGCCGAGATCTAGATCTAGGTCCACCTGGGGGAGCTTTTGGGGCACCCTTCACTGCCTTCGGAGGCATTTTCGAAAAGTCTCAGTGAAGTATGCAGAGGTTGCGCTTGCCTGGCCTCTGATCTTTTCGAGGTTGCCGCTATGATGCGGGCAGGGGACCCCTGTCGCGCTAGTGATAGAGCTCGAAAATTAAAGTATTTTCGAACTCGAGAACTTTCACTTTCTCTCCAAGTATTTGTACATTGTTAGCACATTGACGCAACCAGTTCTCAATGGATCTCGAGACTTCGGAAGCGCCTGATAGTGCGAGAACGACCATTCCCACAGAAAACATTCATCAAATCGAAAATGAAGGGCAAGCGCCGTTAGAGAAGATCAACACACCTGAACTCTCTACAACAGACGCAACCGCCCAAGATACCCATATGCAGAATAGCACAATGGAGACACCACCGAGCCCACCTCTGACGCATGCCTTAGAAGCGCTGTTAGGTGGACTGGATCCGCCAGCAGATGCACACACGAGTCCAGTCGAACGACCTGTGATGGAAGAGCAACCTCAACCTGCAGCTCCAATTACAGTTGACCAACCAGAGATCGAGAAACCTTCCGACCAAGCCAAGATACCAGGACTTGTCTCTTTGGATGGAAACGCAGACCAGACACAGCCCAAGCCTACCTCCGAAGAAGAGCCAGTCCCAGATGTTGATACCAAACCAATACCCCCTCAAGAGGAATCCAAACCTGACGAAGCCACTTCGAACGATGCAATTATGGAAGATGTGCAAAATGTGATCACTCTTTTGGGCGGCGAGCCTATACCAGCTGAATCTGCGGAGGTTGCAAGTGCGAGCGAGGCGATATCTGCTCCAGCAGTTGAGAATAGCAGCGCACCAGCAGATGCACCAATTGAAGATGGTGAAGAACATCCGGAATGGGAAATCGACTCATCGCCAATCGAGTCTTCTACAGACGACTCTTCTAGCGACGACAGCTCATCAGACGAGAGTGACGAAGGCGACAATTCATACAAACTACTCAGCCCCGAAGAGCAAGCCAGAATTTTGATGGCCGGCGATGGGGGATCAGACGATGAAGGAGAAAAGCCAAAAGGGTCCGGAGGTCAATTACGAACCAAGAATGAAGTCCTGGAGGAGGTCATACCCAAACCCGATGTCACCGTCACCCCGGACATGAAGATTACGGAGTTGGGTAGTGTCGAAACGATTGTAGACAATATTCTGCTCATCAAAGCCAAAACTTCGGGGGAATACAAGGTACTGGAAACCGGCTCTGTACTGTGTCTTGAAGATAGAAGCGTCATTGGAGTCATTGCAGAAACACTTGGACGAGTTCAGCAGCCGTTATATTCTGTCTTGTTTACGAATGCTGGAGAACTTACAGGAGCAGGTTTAGCTTTAGGAACGAAAATTTTCTATTCGGAGCAGCATTCTACATATGTCTTTACTCAAAATTTGAAAGCTTACAAAGGATCAGACGCGTCAAATCTACACGATGAAGAAGTCGGGGATGAGGAAATGGAGTTCTCCGATGATGAAGCGGAAGCAGAGCACAAGAGACGTGTCAAGCAGAAGAGGCTCGAGAAACGAGGTGGAAAGATGCAACAGAATGGGGGCTCGGGACGAGGAGGTCATCCATTGCAACAGGAACATACTCCATATGACGCCAGCAACGGAATAAGCTATGATGACGCTGAAGATGATGGTCCTTACAAGCCTCTTGCAAGGCCGGCTGGCTATGCTGATTCTGTTGGACGAAGCGAAGCTCCACAGGAAGGTGGTTACTCCGGCGAAAAATCCAATTTCAATCAACATAGAGATCAATTCCGAGGGCGGGGAAGGGGTGACCGGGGCAGAGGTCGAGGAGATCGTGGACGTGGCAGGGGCGGCTACCAGAATCAGCGGGGTGGAGGGAATGGATACTCTCTTCCGCCTCAATCACAACATTATCAAGCACCGTCTCCTGGCCCAGGGGCGTTTTCACCACCATTCCAACCTCAAGGAACCGGTTTGACTCCAGCATCACCTCCAGGTGTGTCACCGCCAAACTTCTTTAACATGCCCTCCGCCCAACAGTACTCGCCTCATCAACCACAACTGCCTGCATGGCCACAGTTTCCTCCAATGCCACCTTTCCAACAACAAGCGTTCCCGCAACCCTTTCAAGGCGGACAGAGCTGGCCAAATATGCCTGGGGCTGCACCGCTAAATGGTACTTTCATCAACCCGGCCTTCTTCAACAACAATCAAACTCCTCCATCAGGCCAGTGGAATAATCAAGGTCAAGGGCGAGGGCGTGGGAGATGAAATGGTGGCTCCTAATGATAATGGATAGTGTAGAATTACTGGATACCCATAAATGTTGATATTGAAATTGACGGCGACTCCGTTATCTTGCTACAAATGCAGAAATCGAGTTGGCCAAATGTTTTGGCGAGGAAAAGAAGCCCCTTTTCTTTGCTCGTCAAGTTTTGGTCACGTGTGCGCTTCCTACTTCACGCCATTTGGTGTAAAATCTCACCCACTCGGTACAAGACATCGCTTCACGACAAAAGATCTGCGCAGATTAGAAACGGCATCAATGTGTTGAAATATATCCCACAGATGAAGTTTCGTCGTATCTATCCCTCCAGTAATCCTATCGGATTCAACGGGGGTGGCCAAGTACGTAATGGTCCACAAGGTCTTGATGTTCTGCAGACTGTCAAACGGCAAATTATCCCTCCCGTCTAAGGCGCATTGCTCCATCTCCCAGTGGCAGAGACAGGTGACGGGCGTTTCATTCCCAATGAAAAGTAGCTTTTTGTCAAAATAATTCCTGATGCAGTCTTCGCAAGCCGTCCCTGATGCTGTGGGCTGTTGATCGCGGATGTGCTTAGCCTGATTTGGACAAAAAGTCCCTCAACCCGGCGCGATAAGAGGAGTCCATCCCACCTCAGTCAACTCAAGGCGGGGCAAAGTTGCTCCCAATGCTTGCCTTATCGGTTGGATACTATTTGAAATCGACATATATGCGTTGGTGAAACCATGATCGAAAGCCATTCCCATAAGTGTCACTCACGAATTCAAGCCTCTTTAATACCTCAAAAGTCTGGGTCAATTCGAGATGAGGGAACATATGCAACAATGCCAAGAATGGGTGGCGCATCTTGGGAGTCAACTGAAATCGGTTGCAATTGTCGGCCCGAAAACCATTCTCTATGGAATTGCTCTACTGGCCCTAGCATCGTGGCTCTTACTTCGAGCCTCCCAATATTTCAAGAAATCTACTGATTACCCACCCCGAACACCTGATGTTGAGAGACGAGGCTCATACTTCAAAGTGCCGCCGAGAGCCCCAGGATGTTTGTGTCTCCATCTAATGAGTGCGGCAGCCACTAACAGCTTGATAGTATGGGAGCCCACCGACTTCAAACGGCCGACTGCTCCCCCAGCTCCGAATTGGAGTGTTCATACCTCGACACCAAAGCCCTACCGCCCTTTCAGACATGGGCCTTACCACATTACCATGGGACTTCGGAACATGAATTGGGACGAATGGATAGGTGAGCGACGAGACTTGGCGGTTAGCAGCACAGCTCTCAGCTCACCGTACCACAGAGCTTGACAGTCACTACATGAAATTCCACACCGACAAAGCAAACCGAATCACGGAGCGTGGCCCGAAATGCAGTCACACCGAACCAGCAGCATTTGACGGGGCAGTTGAGCTACTCGAAGAATTCTGTTCCTATCTTCCAGAGCGGTATCCCTCACTTTACAAGCAGACAGCCGTCGGAATGGACAACTTGCTCACCGGTGAAGTGTTCAACATCGTTGAGCGACCACTGATTGAAGACCCGATGCAGATGGCCGGACGTATGGTGCAGGATGACTTGGCCATCATGTTTGAGAAAGAAGACGGTCAATACTACCTTCTTGCTGGCTCGATTTTACTCGCTGGGTTCTGGAAACTAGAAGACAAACTCGGGATGCCGCTGAGTGAGATTCACACCTCCGGTGATGTGCCAGGATTCAGAGAGAAACTTGAGAAGGGAATGATGAATTTCTTCCGAAGAGTGCAGCCGAACGGGCCAGTGCAGCGCGTACGTCCTTTCTGCCGCCAAGTCACGGCTACATGCATATACTGACACATCGACAGAACAACTACTTCATCCAAGTGGATGATGAACTGGCGTGGTCTTCCAGCATCGGAGATGAAGATGGCGCGGAAGGAACCGTCGGCTGGTTCACCGCTGAGAAAAATAAGGCTATCGAGCACCACTACTTCCGTTCCGAGCGTCAGACTTTACGTCGCTTGCCGCGAAGTGGCGGTGTCGTGTTTACGATTCGCACGTACTTCCACCCGATCACGGAGATTTGTGAGGAGCCTTACGTTCCGGGAAGGCTGGCAAGTGCAGTCAGGAGTTGGGGCGATGATGTCAGCAAGTATAAGGGGAAGGATAGGTATCAAGAGGTGCTGTTGGAGTATCTGGACCAGAAACACAAGGAGCAGGTTGAGGTGGGACTACAAGTTGAGAAGGAAGACGAGGTTAGAGCGTATCCGTTCTGAAGGGGACGCGATTAGAGGGAATTGATGTCGCGTCTTGGGCGGGACAAGTTTCGGGTTGGTACAGGATGGAAGATAATGCTTGGAATGTTGTCTCTCTCCCGCCAATTCCCGCCCTCTGAGACAACGCAGATGCCAGCCAGTGGAAGTTTCCTTAAACGTGCTTTCAGAAGGCCAACAGCAAGTGTTACACCACCCCGTACAAGCCCGCATCTTCCGTTCCCTTCCTATCCTCTCCATCACATGATCAAAGCCCATTCCCACGCCCTTTAACCATGCACAGTTCCCTCGCTTTCCTTTCTCTCCCCACGCTGGCCGTCATACCAATTCCAGCCCTGTCTGCCCGAAAATCAACGTCCTCCTGCTTATTCTCCACGCTGGCGCGGAAATAAGTATTCTTCTCGGAGATTTGAGGACGAGGCGCTGATTTTACGCGTTGCTGCCATCTCCTCAAGTTTTCAGGCATTGGTACCAACGAATATGAGATTCAGGGACACGCGACTCACGAAGGGAAGCCCACTTTCAGGGCTCAATCTATCATATCCGATATCACGAACATGAACAGAATCAACATAGCCAATCTACTCAACGTCGATCAGCCTATGATATCCGAAACCACGAACATCAATACAGTCAACATGGCGAATCTACTCAACATTGACCACTTTATCGGCAACGGTCATGTGTATACAGACAGGTGGTTGACTTGCGATGAGTTGGAAGACATCCTGGCCTGAAGAGCAGAGGATAGGAGTGGAGTCCTGTGTGGTCTTCATTCCAACTGGGACTCATCATATACTGTAGACACCCCACTACACACGCTCAGTTTCAGAGAACTCCAACATCACCTCTTCCGCTTCAGACAACGCATTCATGGAAGCACAGCGTCACAAAGGACGTATGTATCCGATTGATTCACAAGTATTTCGACCACCATGAGGGGGAAGTTATGGTATTCGACAAGGCGATACTCCTAGCACATGGAACAGTTCAAACTATGAGGCCCGCTGTGCCTTTAAGCAACCGCTAACTCCGGGACATCCTCTATTTTGTAAGAGACGAGAGCTCTCTCCATGCCTATAAGTACGCCAATTACGTCGTTTTTGAGCCTTTCCTGGGCTACTTCTGCCGTATCGTTTTGGAGCATGGTCTATAGTGCAAGTTTGGACTCAGGCTCAACTGCGACGACGAGATGGACTAGCTAAGATGTGTCGGATTCGAATTTCTAGAAAACCGTAGCACTGTCGTGCTCCAGGACGGAATGCCTATGCCCGACGGGGACTTCGACTGCAGCGTTCGGCCGAGTGGCATGCGGAGCTGACGAACAGCGGCCAGCATGCTGGTGAGGGGCAAGGACACCCTGCAAGGCGTGAACTAAACATCCACCCTGATCCTCGGGAGAAGCGAGTTTCGCTTGAATTGAGAGCAAGCTTTCAGGCACTCAAGCTGGTCCGCCTATTCCCACCGGCGGGGCTAGAGAGATTGAAGGAGAGAATGACATTGACGAAAACATTTTCGAAGGGGAAGAAATCTCCTCAGACCAGACCCGCGATATTCCGAATGCCAAATTCAGGGCTTTGAGCAGTGGGGCCTCTGTACCGATGACAAAGATATGGATTTGCAATGAGGTATTCGTATATTTCCTCTCGCCATCACAGAAGTGGAGTCGACGTTGGCAATGCTACCTCCCAATATAAGAACAATCGTGCTTGGCAAGGTGGCAGAAGGTATGAGGGTTCGAATGCTATTGAGGACTGGGCTGCTTTCATGAGGCACTCGAGACACAGCAGACCTTCAACTACTCCCCCTGTCCACCTTGGTCCCAACTTGAACAAGGATTTACCCTCCGTTTGAACCAAGCACACAATCAAGGCAGAGACATCGAGATGCGAGTATTTGCCAACCTTATTACGAACCACCGACAAGCTTGGAAACCTCAAGCAGTACGCCTCAGTACTCCAATACGCGGCATTATCGAGACTCTTTCATTTCACGTTGAATACCCCAGGAGGTCTCCCCATGTTTTACAACGGACTGAATCTGAGGTCAAGTGGGCGCTCGCCTTCACAGACCATGATCGAACTGACTTCACCAGGGTCTAACGCCTCACCATCAACGTCGACCAACGCCTCATCAGAAGTCAAGCCGAGCGATCGCGCAAGCGGTAGAAGCCTACTAAGAAAGCTATAATCTTTGGGAAATACAATCGCTTCATATTGCGTTGTTCTAAGTGCAGCCGCATTGAGGGTCTACAATTTGATTAGAGGGAATTGCAGAGTCAGCAGAAGGACATACGTTGTTTAGTGCTGGATCATTGACGGTGACTCTCTACGATGGAGAGAAGGGCTGATACAACGCTTCGAGTTTTGGTTGCCCATGGTATACGAGGTGAACGGGGAAGTGATGGTCAAGGTTTTGAAGAAGGCTCGAGGGACTTTGGCACTTTGCTTGCAGATCAACTCAATTGATGCAAGCGGACTATTAGCAAAGACTTCTTTGTTTTTCAATGTGACTTGTTTTAATTCCTAGCCAGTGATCATCTTCATTTCTCAAAGTGTGGCCTTCATTGTCCTTCGTTTTCAGAGTACGTTCAGCCTGTCAGAGTTTGAAGTTCCCGCAGACCTCCTCCAGCCAGCGCTTACCTTTCTATTAAGTATAATTCTCTAGTCCACATAATCTGCCCTGCAAATTCATTAAGGTGTCTTAGCATCTAGATCCTCGTATCTCCGAAGGGCATCGCCCTCTCCATAAACATTGTCGGAATTCGAAACTCTGAGTCCGATGTAGACAAAAATCCCAGGGATGAGATATTCCAGCAGCAACGCCATGCAGGCAAAGAGTGAAGTAGACCCACTTTCAAAATTCCATTTGTTATCAGGGCCAACGGCAAATCCGGAGATCAAGGCGTACGCAATGCGAACAGTGAAGAAGGACATTGCACTGGGGAGTGCTTTGGGGGTCTGTGTTACTAAGCCAATTTGTTCTATAAATCGAGAGAACGACGACTTACAATAATACTGTTTCTGGTAAGTCTTCTCTTCTCCCACCATAAATATGCTTGCAAGCCAATAGCAATCGCGGTGGTAACTGCAAGTACGATGTATGCAGCTTGGACAAAATGCTTGCCCAGCGACGTGTTTGTGTAGTCTCCGATCAATACCCCACCAACAATGAGATGAACAGTTGCAGGGAAAGAAGCTATTCTCGGCAAAGCTATGAAGATCTGAAGTTTCGGTTTATCGTAGAAATCTCTCCCTAATCTGCGAAACGGTTGTCAGCCATGATTCTCATGATTGGGGAGTTGCGGGTAGGGTGCTTGCGTTATTACTATCAACCCAGTGAACGATAAAACGAGAGGAACGACACCGATACTAAGAAGGATACGGTTTGCAATGGTCAAGCCGGTGCTGAGTTTCGACAATGCCGCCTGCCAGATGAACTTCTTCGTGTAAGCAAGACATTGGATGAAGGGTTATTGTTACAATACTTACTGAGAGAAGAACACGAAAAAAAGCCATGCTATGCGAGGTTTCTGAGCTCCATTGCGGTACAGGATATATACGGCCAGAAAGACGATGGGGATTGAGAGGGCGATCTGGGTAATGCCGACTTTGGAACGGCTGTCCAGCATTTTGCGAGACGCGATTTGAATGGTTTGGAGGAAAATAGGAAAAGGATGAAAGATAGCACCCAACGTGCTTGAAGAGATGGCTGCGCAATTGGATGGAGGCATCGTGCCCTGTGGTTGAGGCGCTTCGCCTAATACTCTAAAAGGGAAATTCTTGAAGTTGAAGCGTTATCAGATGTTCAGACATCCTTTTCTTGGCAGCTTGGCAGAATCATGATTGGAATCGGATGCCATGATTACCCGAGAGACCCCCCTTTCTGTCTCGCTTGACTTCGCACTATCCCGATTGCGCTCCATTCGGCGAGAACGTCCACAGCCAGCTGTACTTAAGTGACTGACGGAGTGTAGGCTTCGTCTCTAGAGTAATGATAGATAAAGGCATGGCATATGACAGTAAAGACAGGTTACGGCTGGGCAGTAAATACAATTATGAATTTCCAGGTCAGCACTGTGCCTAGGCCCTGAGCGGCTTGTAAGGCTCTGTAGTTACAGCGCCGGTTGCTGTGTACTTTGTGAGCCGACGGAACAAATATGAGCGAGTATGAGCATCAGAGATGACCCGCCTCATTGATTGGATGGCGTCAGTCCTTCTGCACGTGCCACCCCCTTTCAGTGTGTGTGTCGCCCTACTTAGTAAGATTACATTGTCGATCACAGTTAGCGTGTTAGCGTGTGTTGACACCTTCAAGCTCACATTCATGCAGCTGAACATGCAACTCACTCCCAACGTCCCTCCGATGCTATGGAAAGCCTTTCTGCTTCTCCAGCTTCCGAGATCTCTCTGGCATTGACAACCCCCGAAGGCCTGGTCCAACTGCGAACTGCCCTAAACCCGAAAGACCAGGATTACGATAAGCTCCTCACCGCCTTCCGTGGCTTGTCTCTGGACGAGCGGCAAGGCATTCATAGTGCTTGCCAGCTGGTTGAGATAGAGGATCTGGCTAGAAAAGAATTAGCCGCGATTAGGCAGACTTTGGACACATCTATCAAGGCTTTCGATCTCCAACCACATCATGAAAAACTGCTTCGTGATCCCCACTCCGGCCGGAATGGGACAGAAGTTACTCCAGACATGTACTTCTTTAAATACGCAGATACAACATCGAGAATAATCCTTCGACTGATATCGAAACACGCTTTGCCGCAAATCAAGCGCCTGGCAGTCACGAAGCAAGCAGTCGAGAAACCCTCCACGCCGGGGCAAAATGAGACACCTGGACAAGACCAAAGGTCCGGAGAAGGCGAGGAGAGATCTCCGCTACTTGATAAACTAATCGAACGTTTCCAAAGTATACCTGTGCATCATCAAATCACCGATTACGCCCAACGCTGGGACCAGAATAGTGGGTTGTTGACGAAGGCTGAGAGGAAGCGGTCGCGAAGTAATGCACTGAACCTGAAAATCCTACATCGCTAATATGAAGTAGAGGAAACCGATGAGAATGCCGCATACAAACGACAAGTGACGGAATCCTTGAAGCAGTAAACCTTAGCGCACCGTCTTAAACATCACAACGAGAAGCAGAACTTCCAACTTCCAAGGAGAATCTATCCTCGAGCTGCAGGTATCGCCGCGCCCGATGAAGGCGAAAACGATGCTGTTGGAGCAGTCTGGAGAGCCCCAGCCAACTAGATCCCAGCCGCCTTGTCGCTTTTCGAGAGAACATCGGTTCGGGTCCTGAGGGTATTAGGGTATTAGGGTTTTGTTTGGTTAAGTAAGGGGGCACCGGGATCTTGCAAGTAATCTTTTGAAGAGTTCAAGGTAGTCGATGACGGTGAGAGAATTGTTGTGATAAGTGAGTTTCTGGCTCCGGGAGGCCCTCAATGAATAGACAAGACGTCTACTCGAATAGATGTCGCACCGTCCAAGTTAATCAGAGTGCCTGCAAACTCTTCTTTCCTGTGCCCCAATGACTATCTCCTTTGATGCATGCTCTCTCAAAGGAAATACTGATTCGCCATCTCGTAAGCTGATGAGAAAGCCCAAAATGTCAAGTTGCTGGACTAGAAGTCGTCAAGATCCTCTGAAGGAAGGAATATCAAAGTATAGCAAAGTAAAGATGACTGCAGGCATATTACCTTCTTTAAATGGAGATACCGAGAGCGAGGAAAAGTGACTTCACACGAAGTACCCTGTTCGTTCTCACTGCATCATGGAGACGGGGATGTAGGATTGATCGACATCGCCGGACTCCTACAAGGCATTCGGCCCTGGTTGTAATTGTGGGGAAAGGTGAGAACATAGGTAAAGTGCGGCGCGACGATGGGGGATTCTTTACTTCCTGTGCTCCAGTGCCGCTTCCCAGCCAATCGAACGCCCACTTGGGTCCGTAAGCAGGATCAGATAAATCGATTGACAGCAGAGATTGAGGTAGGAGAGTCTAGCCAAGTAGTAGATAGCAACTTGCTTATAAAATTCAGTGTGGACGTCGTAACTAAATGAAACCGATGTCGGCTAAGCGAGGGAGAAAAGGTCGAGATGGAGAGGTGTAAGGCTGTCGCAAATCTGCTTGCCCCACAAAACCCAAGAACACAAGGGTACACAGGTCCGAGGGTGCGGAGGTACCACCGTAATTCAACAATGGGAATCCGTGGGAACGAAAGCCAATAAACGATGCCGGACTTCGAACAGAAGGATGAAAGCCAGGTCAGCAAGGGAGTGGGATTTGCATCCTTGTGAAATCCACTAATGATCATTTCTCTAAATTCTGGGGTCTCACCCGAGCGTATCAAACACCGCTGTCATACATGTACAATCGTCCTTGGAAGAGGTAAAAGTCGAAAGGCCAACAGGGCCATCCTTGCCGGCGACAAGAGGACGGCCCTACTTACAGGTGCAATAGCAGGAGCAGTGATTGTGCATCAAGTGTTGCGAAACTCGCCAACTTCGGTCGAGTGAGCACCGAGTAGACTTGTCATACTCAAAAGCGAAGAACATTCCAATAAGCTGTGAAGCAAAATTACATGGAATTCCGGATGCTTTTGAAGCAGTAATCTATCCCGGATGGATAAAGCCACTTGGCTATTGACGATTGAGACCATCACAAGGCCGATGGATCTCGGCTGAAGCGAGCTGATGGAACCCCACCCCACTTGTGAATTTGATCGATTTCTTGTGTATCATCTAAAACGACCATCTAAGCCTTGCGGCGATCTTGAATTGCAGTATCCCCAGTGCACCAAGCATACTCAGTATACCTCGCATATCTCTGTATGCTCAGTATGCTCAGTATGCTCAGTATTCGGCATTTCCCAGTATCTCAAGTATGCCAAACGCCGGCCGTCAATGCAAATGGTATCAAATCCCATGCCCTTCCATGTATGCCCAGCCTCATGCTTTTGTTCCCTTTTATGCCTCGATCTTTTGGTTCTCTTCTTGTCTAACAACCTCTCTTTCCCCCCCACTTTCAGATGAGCTCGCAATCGCTCTATCTGCAGCCTCATCAACCTCAGCCTTCCTGTTCAAATAACTAAGATACGTCTGCCACCCAATTGCAATGAATCCAGCAAATATGCTCCTGTACTGCGGATCGATAAACGTAAAGCTGAACGCCGTAACCGCCGGCCATAACTTGCAGCTATTTATCATCGAGGTCGGCACCGTTCTCTTTATCCGATCCCACACTTCAGGGAGCGAGTCGCCGGAGAGCAGCGACTGCATGCCGAAGAAATACGTGTTGAAGATCGGCGTGAAGCAGATCTGGTTGACCGTGACTTTCGTGGCCAGCGAAAGGACTTTCGAGGAATAGTTGAAGTTGTTTGCAAGGACCATGAACCTTTGACCCATTAGCAACTACCCCTCCCAAGCTCAGACAAAACGTACCACCTATAAGTTGGAATCGAGCTCCCAGCACTGATTACCAGCGCCCGCAGCATCCTCTTAGGGTCATATTCATCCCCATTGATATTCTGTGCCGACAGATCACCGAGGAAGTAAATCACCAGCGAGCTGCAGAACTGCGTCGCGTATGGCCTCTTCCTCTGGCTTCTGCCGTATGCTTGAAATCCTCTTGACAGCGGACCCAGGCGCTGCCATAGTGGGACGTTGGCAACGGTTGCTGGTATGGGGATTGAGGTACCGTTGGCGGAGTCATCTTCTGGTTTTGGCCCCGTGGTAGGATTACCGCTGGTGTTGTGCCGTTTGGTGATGTTTGGTTGTTGCCGGGAAGGGAAGTGTGTTCGCCGTAGTATGGCTCGACTGGCTGCTTTTATCGTGAAAACAGCCATTGGGATTTCTGTTATTGGGGCATAACTTGTTGGTATTGTTGTTGTTGTTGAGTAGAGGAATATATGGGGTTTGAGGGGCATTTAGGGTCCCCACTGGATGGTTGCCGGTTGCGATGTCCGGGCCGCTTTCTAGCGTGTCCGGACTCCGGAGTGAAAATCTCGAAGTCGTGCTGACCGTGAGAAATGGCGTTCCAACATTTTCCTCGCTCACCCTGGGCCTCGTAACCCTCTTCGTCCTGCCATTCTTTGTTCCCATGATCAACTTCCAGCAAGATCTCATCGTGGAACTCTACGGTGGACGTCACTCACGGCAGCGCTTCACTCGGGAGCCATCTAGTCACATGCGACAAACACGTGACTGAGTGTGTGTTCTATCTTGAAACTGTCGTGAATGCATCCCGAAATTCCGGCAAAGATGCTGGACGTCGGTTACGAGTATGTTTCATCTCTGCACCATGGTAGGGAGGAAGTTGCTCGAGGTCTGGTGTGCGGAAACCGCCTTGCGAATAGAGAGGTTAAAAGGAAACTTCAACGCAAGTTCAGAATCGTCTATTTTCCTATCTAAAGTCGGCATAATATTACACAGATCTTTGCCAAATACTTTTATACACTTGAAACTGCTTCTATTCTGCTTTTGAACCTCAATTTCTCCCGCACTCTTTCCACCAGCGGTGCCTTCGGTTCTTCAGGCTCATACAATGGCTTATGTTCCTCCGAGACATCATGAATTTCGTCGTAGTCGACGTGCACAAATGCTCGCTCGACATCGGCCAGTCCTGATATCTATTGTCAGCTTACATAGTGTACAATTATCAAGTGACATACCTTCAAGCTTCCTCTGCAATCTCTCCGCTACATCATGTGTCACTTTCAACTTTTCTTCTTGTCCCATGATAATATCAACTTCGACGTAATACTTATCGCCGGCATGGTATGCTCGAGCCTACGGTCTGTTAGAGAATACCACTTCATCTGGAAGTTAGATGCTTACAGTGTCAATCTTCTGGATCCTCGAATCATGAGTAACAGAGACATAGACCAACTTGTTCAAGAAGTCTTGCGGAGCACTTTTGCCAACCAAGAACCACATGTGCTCGAAAGCCGTCGAGGCCCACGAGAAGAGAATTAAGCAAGCGATGCAGATGGCGCCGATCGGGTCAAGGAACCAGACTTTCTTGAATTTTGTTCCGATGATGGACATGATCAGTCCGAAGACGTTGACGAAAATATCATTTCGGTGGTCAAGCTAATAAAAAGGTTAGCTTTTGCGGTGTCAAAATGGTTCTCTGAAGTGTCAGCTTACCATGAATATGCCTCCTGCTGGGTAGCGGCGGATGAGGAAGCAGTAGACGAACATAATACTTTTTGAGAAGACTGTGATGGTGAATTAGTATTTTGGACCGTCCACGGTATTAAGAACTTACTGGCAATGCCGACGAAGAGGAGGGGTATTAGCTTTAAGTCATCTTCGTTCTTTGGCCCTGCAGCCAAGGCGCGGGCAGACTCAATCTAGGGATATAAGCAAGACTTCAACAAAGAGGACGTCAACATACTATCAGCTCTGCAGCCACTGTTGTCATTAATGCGCAGAAGAGGATAATCCCCACTGTCTCAACACGCTTGCGCCCCTACAGGAAGTCAGAACTGAGATTCTTAGAATAGAATGGGATGATGTGTACCACAGGGAATTTTCTAATGTTAGGCTTTGCTGCAAGTCTCGATGTAATAAGCATTACGATCGAGCTCACGAGGTCCATCTGATTAGTGGTCAGCCAATGCATGTTATAATAAATGAGTAGTATTTTGGGAGACTAACGAAAGCATCGGCGGCAGTACCAAACAGCGACAGCGAGCCTGTCGAGACGGCAGCATATATCTGTATGATGAAGAGGAAGAAGTTGACAGAAAAGCTTCCATTGACGGCGAGCTTGACCTTCCAGCCATTTTGGAGGGTATCTTCAACCTCAGCGGCTTCTTCTTCACCACTTTTGAGGTAGGCATCGATGAGTGCATTTTGCCGATTGTAGTACTTCTTGACCCTCCTGGCCTTGCCGTGGGATGGCACCTTCAAGATGGACCTTCGTTTATTGTTGTCGCCGTCTTCTCGCTTTGATGCTCGAAGGGAGTATGGGTCTTCGGGATCCATGGCAATTGTGTCAGTATCGTTCGAAAGGCCTCTCTCCGTTGACGAGGCAATCCTATCGTCCTCGGCAGTGGCCTGGGGCTGGCTCTCTGCTGTTGGTGAGGAGGAAGCCGGAACAGTTGTTTCCGTGGACAGGTCCCTCGGGGATGTGGCCTTAGTCGCCTGAACCTCGTTCGATGTTGATTGTGGTTGATCAGCCTCGAGCATAGCGCTGGAGTCCGCATCCATGTTGAGCAGAAGTTTCTGTCGTACTTGTAATAGAATAATCCACGAAAATTATATCAGATCGAATTCAATGTACTATTCGTGGTGGGAAAAATCATGCGAGAAGACGAATGGAGTGAAGTATCTCCAAATAAAGTGTATCGGGATCTTTTTCCACTGACGATTTTCTCCGCAAAATCTTCGACGTTCTGCCTATCCTGATTGTGTGGTTCACGTGCAGTTTCACTAGAGTATTACAAACTGGAGGATGGCATTGGCCCTCATTTCGCTTCGACTGGGATGTGAATGCTTCTTTGGGTGAATAAATAGCTTGCATAATATGCCAAGTGGTAAAAAACCTACTGCTAAGTATCCCATACATTATGCAGCACGGTTCGTAACTTCTAATCATGTAACGGGATTTTTCCGGTCGCGAGGTTCGCGACCAATACAAGTTTCGGACGATTTTCAAGGCCTTGGGGTGGCCCTGTCAACAACGACGGAGCTGTCAGGGACTGCCCCGAAAGCTTAGGTCAAGCCACCAAACATGTTTGGGGTCCAGAATCGATGCAAGATATCTTGGCAGTGCAGCGACTGTCATGGGGCTTAACCTCTGAACGATGTTCGTGGAGTGTTGCAAGTCCATTTTTCTCAATTGATCGACCATGGATGTAATGTTTGAGCACCCAGACTCTGGCGAGGCAAAATTGATTCAAAATCACCTGGGTTGATCTTCTAGAAGGCTTCAACACTTACGGAAAATAGATGAGGTGTTCATGGGTTTCCAATGATGCTTAAATGGATAATGCTTGAATTGCCGAGCAGATCATACTTCCGCTGTTTGAAGGCAGTTGCTCTTGCCCTCGGGAGAGCCAATGAGAGGCGCGTGGGTCGTCAGCTGCGCTAGCGGGCCGACGCGACGTGCGATGCTTCATTCAACGTCAGGAAGTCAACACCACCTTCACCCTCGCCTTCAGCAATGGATAGTTCACTATTATGAAAGGGGCCAAACAGAAGCCAACTTCTGCTTTGTAATTGAGCCTCGAAGTCCTCGCTCCCTCTTCGTCGTCTTGAAGTTTTGGCGTCAGTGAGGCGTTGGAATATTCAAGATCGAAGCCGGCTGTTGAGACGACTACCCTGTTCAATTTGCGATCCTCTGCTCTTTCAAGAAGATATCGAAACTCTGCGGGACACACCCGGGTCTTGGGTCCTACCAAGTACTTCCCTGGCGGCTAGGAGTCATGGTGAGCTTTCCGGCCGGGAATGCCGATGTCACGCTGCGGCATCAAGCGCCACGAACTGAGCCTCCAACCCCAAGGGCTCAGCCCAATTCTTACTGAGTACAAGCTCAGCATTCATGCGTCAACGAAACTGCAAGCCCGCAAGCTGTGGGAACACCCCCCCTCGCCGGTGGCTCAATTCTTGGCACTTACGAATGCTGCCACTGTTTTCGCCTTGACTGCAGCATGTGGACCTTCTCAGATATACCTTACACTGCACGAACACCGATCTAGTATGGCCCTCTATCGGTGATGGTCCCATCTCACTTGCAAACGTTGGTACGTCTCGGTCGAGTTGACTCGAGTATCAAGTGGCGGACATCCAGCTCTTGGAAGCGCCTCGTCTAGTCACACCTGCTACTATCGGAGTGAACTGATGTTCTTGGCAAAGTTCTTTGTACCTCTGAATCGGTATCAACTAATCCTTGGCATATCTACCATTGCGCTGCCCTCATTATCAGCTTCGTTGCTATTTCCCATGCCCTGCTTGTTTGGGGAAAAAGTAAAACGACCCCCCCCTCCCCCGCCCCCCGGCGTGTGGATTGGGGGCCAGACTATCAGACATCCATAATACCTCTGTGCTACCCACTGCTGTCGTGACCAGCCTTATACAACTTGCTTCATTCTGTTCTTCTCTGCTGGTTACGACTTTGCTTTCTCCATTTCATCTCACGATGCCTACCTGGTGGAAGAATTTTGTGACGTCGTTCGCCCCAGAGACGGCCCCAATTTATGCAGCTGCTCCAACAGTAAAGGTTCATTTCGCTGGAGAAAGCCCCGTTCGTCCCCCGCCGCCATCATATTCTCCGAATTCCGAAAAGAATGTTGGACATTCTTCCAGCACCGACTCAGGGAAGAGGGGAAGCTGGCCTATCTCCTCGATGAAAGACCAACCACAGGTTAATGTCACAGAGATCTCCTCACCCGACGATGTATCATCAGCCAAAAAGTCAAACCTGTTCGATAAGATAACCAGAGCAGCCGGTTCGAGCACTACTTTCTTCGTCATGTTAGCCATTTTGGGAGTTTGGGTGCTACTTGGTTTTATTTTCGGGCCCACGGATACCTGGCAGATTATCCTCCAGAACACGAGCTCAATTCAGGTCTATGTCACGGACATTCTCCTGATTAGACAATCCTCCAATGCTGGAAGATCCATGATGACAACACTCGCCGAGTTGCAATCCAGGAACAAGACTTGCGAACGCCTGCTTCGTCAACTCCCAAGCTGTTCATGGATGGAGACCCACAAGGAGAAACCAAAGCAACTGCTCGTGAATGGTCGACCAATCGAAGAGGAGATTGAAAGCTTATACATGGTAAATGGCCGGCAGACGTGGTTCCAAAAGAGGTGGAGCAAGACCTGCCATGTTGTATCTAAGAGCGTGGGATCTGTCTGGGCGTTCATGTTCTACTGGTACGGTTTATTCTCATACCAATTTGCTGTTTTAAAAGCCATCATGATTCATTATCCATGTATCACAGGAGGAAAATGGCCTCAAACCTCTCAGTTCCCTCAAGCTTTCTTGAATCTTCAAACGCTAACTCGCTGGCAGGATCGGCATTGTCGTCTGGATCGTTTTGGGTATTCCCGTTCAATTCAGTAACGAATGGCAATTGTACATCAACACCATCACCGCTTTGTCTCTCACACTGACCAGTGTCTTTCTCCAAAACATCCAACAGCAGCAAGAGGACAATCTAGAGAAGTCTTTGGAGTACGCCCTGAAGGTTGATGCCAAGGTTGAATATCGCGTCCGCAAGATTACCGAAGACACCAAGCCAAATCCCATCTATGAGATCCCTCTGCGTCGTTTGAGTCGAAGTGAGAGGGCTATTGCTCGTTTCGCAGCCATCATGGGCAGCGGCCTTGGGGTCCTCATTTCCCTCGTTGCACTCATCGCATGGCTTGCCGTCGGTCCCATCCTTAAATTCGACGACAATTGGGTGTTAATTATCGGCACATTTACCGGTCTTGTGGGCTTTATCGACGGTTTCGTTCTACGCAACATTTACGCCATCGATGAGACTAGCGCCGCATTGCAGTTCCGAGCTCTCATGTATTCCGATAGCCGACTCCTCGAGGTCTTGAATATTCCCGTCCCCTTGGAGCCCGTCAAAAAGTTATCTCTTTCGGAAAGAATAAGCTTGGCGACCAGCGATTTGTGTGGGCATCGGCATGCTTCAGTTGGCGCAGTTTTAGTCGTCGTTGGCTTACTCGTTGCTGCCTCGATCTTGCGGTGGTCTGAGACTGGCCAATTGCTTTGTAATACGCCAACTATGATTGCCGAGGGCTTTCTGTTGCTCGTTCTCATCCAAGCCCACAACTTCTCCAACATGGAGCGAGGTCGTGACTTCAATGGGCTGCTGAAACGAAGGCTACTGCTCAGCAGCTATGTGAGCGATCTAGAGGATCAAAAGCACTGAGGAGCGTCTTTAAAACTCTCATTCCCTTGTACTTACGGCGCTCGTCAAAAATGTGCATAGCACGGTGCATGTATGGGAAATTTTGTTGGAAATGGGTGCCAAAGGCTACCAGTGGCGATTCAGCTGTGCAGGCATGGCTAAGGTTCGCTTGGTTTGGCTGTTCAGCTAAACAAGGGGTTTTCAGGGGCAACAGGGGTTATTTGGATGCCTTTAAGTAAAGGCCTTTGATCACTGTAAAATGATAGTCATCTGAGGCGCATTGCATGCGCCCTTTTGTTTTGCCATCTCAACAAATTTGAACGGGTATTACAGTCCCGTGGCGTTTGCATTACGAACCTCATGATTTATGATAGACAACCGGTCTTCACGAAGACACTCCACTTTTGGAGGTGGATCTGAGTATAGCCTCAACGACAACTCATTCCTTTTGATGTATAGATTATCATTTTGATTCTTCAAGAGAAAGTTTAGGGTGCCGGCGCTTCACTTCTTCCTCGTTTACAGGCATGACAGACAGTGCCCTTTACATTCATGGAGCCAGAGGCTCATGCTATATTTTTAATAATACTTTGTCATTCTTTTACTTTTCGAGTGTGTCGGTGATAATTGAGGTGGGTGCCAATTTGTTTTCAAATTTCTACAGATTATGATGGTAAGTGGTCACCTTCTGTGGGTTGATTATGGATTACCTGAACCTCCTTCCAATGACCTCCGTCACCGCCTCGGAGTTCAAGTGGACGGTCCCTCCAAGTTGTGTCAACCGACAAAGGAATTATTTGTTGTTGTCTATAACCCACGATCTCACCTGAACTCAAGCTGGATTCTCCTCGTCACTTTATTCGCAAGTAAATCACCCTCTTGTCAGGATGTCAACGGACAACGGACTCACCTGTCCAGGGCTCGATACTTGCAATTGATTAATGATTGCTTGTGCAAATACAGTCGGCCAAGGCGGGACACCCCGACTAAGCTTTTATGGATTCACCAACAGGTGAGGCTGAAGTGCCAAGCAGCCACAATTGCCGAATCTTTCATAAATCCGACATGGTGCATTAACATGTCTTAGTTTTTGATCCATTCTGGTAGCTTCCCGCATCGAAACATGCGATCTCTCTCGATCCGAGTTTCTACTCTAGTTTTATCACAATGGCAATCTACCATTTGTCTAAACTTGTTGTCCTCGTCGTTTTGATAGCAAACCTGCCCTATACGATAGGAAGCTCATGTGCTGCAGATAACGTCCTCCGCGCTGTTCGTAGTGAGGGTGAACGAAACCTCCGATTCCAAGACCACTGCCCACGTATCTCGATAGGGCACATCAACAATTACACAGTACAAAAAAACAGAGACCAGCACTATATCAGAGTCTGCGTTTCTTCCCGCGACAACCACGGTCCCCGCCATATGCTACACATCATACCTGACCCTCAATTTCGCCACTGCCAACCCACAACGCCCTGTCACTACCATTAGGCCCAACCCCAGGACTCCCACCAGCGATAAAGACTATTGCTTCAGTTACTTCCACGCCAAAAACTGCCTTTACTAGAGCAATGATCCTAAAGCTGGATATAAAATCGTTCTCGGGTCGATAAAAGTGGCTGATTTGGTACTAAATATTTGCCCGCTTGGGATACAGAAAAATGGTGGCTTGTCAAAGCCTGGTGCAATAATAGCGGTTTATAATTCGGGTCCGTATTTTAAGGCGGATTTTCCCTGTCTTTTTGCTGCTCCGTTTAATTGAAAGGTATGTTTTGGGAATACTACGAGAATATTAGCTTTAACTTCAGGGATGTGGTTGGATGGAGAGGAAGGAGGGAGTTGGCAGTTGGTGAGGTTTTTGAGCTGGGCTTATCTAGGATTGAGTGGTTTTATTGGGTATATAATATGCATCTTACAGGTGGGCTTCCAACTTTTGGTACAGAGGTTATTCACTTGCACGTGATTTTCGGATGGAAAGCAAATAGTTCAGGGAGTAAATGGATCTGCTGTGGTACTCGAGGAAGCCAGAAATCCCCAGTGTAGCCCATGGCAAGTTCCTCGTAGCACAATAAGATGCTTGTCATAAAAGCCTTGTTCCTCAACTTGACCAATCAAATGCAATGCCACACGTGATTCAAAGCCTTTTCCATCTTTTGTTGCAGATCTGCAGAAGGGCAACTCATCGTGATCAGATTAGGCTCGCCCAGCTCGGTTCTGTCCGCACTCCGATTGAATCGGACCCGCCAGAGTCTCGCTCGACTAAGAAAGCTCGGATTCCTTGGAAGTGGATGGAAGCAGGGTTAATTCGATTAGGGAAGGTGCGTGGTGACGAACTTTCTACAGTAAATATCCAGAAAGTCCGTAAGAGAGGAAAATCGGATCAGCGGATTTTCCGCAACGGAGGAATCTCCTGAGATAGGAATCGGCTTTTTGCGCAAAAACCTCGTGCCAGGAAATATAACACGTGACATTTATTTCTCCTCTTTGATGTATTGTCCATTTATATTGACTAACTTGAGCATTTCTTTTATCATTTGGGGAAGTAACAGTAAAATACCCGGGCCTGACTACAACGTATAAATGACAAGGAGAAAATGGATGCTTGCTATTAGTCTCGTGACCTCACGTGAATCCCAAGTTTTGTTGCAAATAGCGATTCCTCAACTACGATTCCTGAACGACCAAAACCAACTAAACCACGGTGCAAAATCTCACGGAAATTTTCGGTCCGCCATGTTCCGGGGGAATTTCCTCTCCACCTTGTTGACTCTCGGAACTCCCTAATGGCACAGGTCTTGGCCTTGGTGCACTGTAAATACAGTGTTCAAGCACTCTATTGTGGGCGTTGTGGGGCCTTGAAACCTTTGAGAGTGTTCATATTCCGACTTTTCTGAGCCGGGCTCAAGAAGCCTGCCCCTTTCGCAATCTAACCCTGCGCAACAACAAGAACGCAGCAATCACGTCAAAAACACCTTTAATATTTCATGTCATGATCTTAAGCAAATTTTGGGCTAGGTTTATGTACCCGTATATTTTCTCTTAAAGCAAGAAGATATGTGCTTCCTGCCTCGTATCAGCAAGGACTTCACTAAATGTCATTCGAAACAAAGAACACTTCAAGAGTACGATACATTCACGAGGAAATTAGTCTGTTTCAAAGGAAGCAATTTAATCTTCGATATCGTCCTGTTTTATTTCCCTAACAATTTTAGATAAAATAGGGCTGTTGTTTGGATTTTGTGACTGTTGGGGTGGGACATGGGAGTGTTTCCTGAGTGCCTGGACAATCTGTCACCTTTCTCTGCTTTCCACGCCTACCGACACCCCCTTTCGCACTGGCTTTGCACTGTATGTATAGAAAGGTCCCACAACATCCCACTAAGATTTAAATGCCGATGCTTCTCGGCGAATTCATACCACCTGAAATTCCTACATTGCTGCATCCCATTCCACCATCGGCAGCCATCTTACCCAATGCTTTGAGATTTTCCGTAGGCTCGAGCGTGGTATCAGCCGCACACATAGTAGCTTGGTGGAGGTTGTTAAGATATTAGCCAAGATATTTGATGTAGCTGGTTGTGTGAATATGGGTAAATGGCGTTAGAGTTCGATATATTCGAGAGGCTCTCGATGGCTTCTTTCAGTGAGGCCTGCTCTTGAGTTAGAGGTGATGAGAGTAGGGAACAGACGGAGAGTTACGATGTAATGAAGCTGGTGAAATATGGAAATGCAGTAATCTCGCTTCTGGATTTCCATACTGTCGTGTTCGATGGCCGACCACATCCATCACGCCGAAAAATTGAAATGGGATGGCGTCGGCAGTGCTCATAGCGGAATCACCAACGCATCTTCGCCTCGTTGCTTGCGCCAGTAATTTGTCGATGCCAGAAGTTCCACACAGCCCCTCACAACCCAACCCCATCTCTTTGAAAACGATTCGCTAATCTCCCATCCAGAAGGATCCCATGGCTCACCCCATACGATAAGACCGGTCCTCTCGCTCGGCACGTCACAGAAATCCACAAGGTCATTACACAATTCGTATTCATCATAAGAGTCTCCCGCCAGCAACATATTATCTCTCATCCGCGGTATTGGGAAAAGGTCAATCCAGGGATGGTGCTCTATTGTTCTCTGAACCGCAGTTGGCCGTAGACTTGCTGGGCAGGAACTACTGATTGATTTGTCCTTCGAGCTCCATGGAGAGATAGCGTCCTCTTGTAGCCAATCCCTAGTAAACCCGAGCGTGGAAGTGTTACTGACCAGGGCTCGGAAAACATTGAATTGGATAAGCGTAAGGAGTTGGTCGACTCTGGGAGAACCTAGCAAGTGAGCTTGGCGGGCTGCGATTTCGTATTGCTTCATCAATTCCAGGATACCATCCGGACCCAAGTCGTTGAAACAAGGATTTCGTCTAGTAGTTCGTTCAAGAGGGGAGGTCCGACCAATGACTGCACCGGGCTCTTGACTTAGAGACGTTGATTCGTCCGAAGAGTCAAGGGACTTGGGACTCTGCCTGATTTCTCGAGCTGAGAAGGTCAGACTTGATTTCGATACTTGGCCAAGCCGTTCTGCCCGGCGTCTATTTCCTGGAAAATTCCCATCGGATGTTAGCATAAGAGTTCAGGAGACAAACAGAATAATCTACTTCTCCATGGGCAATCCTTACGCCAGATCCTTTGATTCAGACGGTTTTGCAACTTCCTCCGGGCAGCAGCATCTGTTCTGCCTGTCCAATCGTCCTCCTGTACACGAACCTCTGTCTGCTGAGGCATCCTGTCCAGCAGGATTGCCGCCTCTACATCTCGGGCCATCTTGAATCACTAGCCGGATGTTCGTCGGGGGCTATCCTTGCAGAATAGGGAGAGAGAAGCTCTGGAACTTGGGCTAAAGATCCAGAAGTCCAGGTCCAAGAGGTTATATGCAGCTTGCTTATCCCTCGTCATGACTCGAGGTGAGCACAAATGGGGGTTCCTTGCAGTAGCGAGAATTTTTGCGGGGTGCTGAGATGCAACTTGCCGGACTTTGCGGAATTATCCTCATGTCCGCCCAAACCTTCATCACTAAGCTACCATTGCACCTAGCTTCCATGTTGAATCAAACCACCAAAATCAGGACGATCCAAGTGGATCCAAACAATACTGCGAACAAGTACGCGCGGCAAGGGTCGTGATGCTGCAATTCCGGAAGAGAGCGCTGCAATGGTGTGGCGGAAAGGACCACCGCCAGCTCCTGCCTATTTCATTACCCAACATATATATGACTGGCCCTCTCTGCCCAAGGGATTGGAAGGAGCACTCTCTCAATCTCCTCTGCTGCTCGTCTAGAAGCAATCTTTCCTTCCATACCATGGCTTTCCCAGCTGCGCCTCCTCCAAAGTCTTTGCTTGATCGCCACCGACAGTTGGCACCAGCTGCCTCCATCAGAGTCTCTCCGCTATGTCTTGGAGCCATGAACTTCGGCGAGGCACACAAATACAGAATGGGAGAGTGTACTAAAGAAACTGCATTTGAGATCCTCGACTATTTCCACACTTCAGGTGGTAACTTCATTGATACGGCCAATTCTTATCAGGATGGAGAATCCGAAATGTGGCTGGGTGAATGGATGGCCGCACGAGGAAATCGGGACGACCTCGTGCTCGCAACAAAGTACGCAAGCCCCTACATGCTCGCCGAGAAAGGGAAAATCCAATCAAATTATGGTGGCAATGGTATCAAATCACTTCGTCTTTCGGTCGAGGCTTCTCTCAAAAAGCTCCAAACGAGTTACATTGACCTCCTCTACGTCCACTGGTGGGATTACACTACCACAATCCCAGAGCTGATGCATAGCCTCAACGATCTGGTCGTCGCTGGAAAGGTATTGTTACTGGGAATCTCAGACACTCCAGCCTGGGTTGTGACAAAAGCCAACCAGTACGCCCGTGATCATGGTCTCCGCCAGTTCGTAGTATATCAAGGTCTCTGGAACGCGGCAACTCGGGATTTCGAGCGCGATATCATCCCAATGTGTCGTGATGAGGGGATGGGTCTCTTGCCTTACGGCACTCTGGGACAAGGAAGATTTCAGACCGAAGCAATTTTCCAGGAACGAGAGAAGAACAACCCTGGTCGCAAGATGAAGCCAGCGACTGCGGTCGAGAAGAACGTCTCCAAGGCTCTTGAGAAGATTGCCAGGGCCAAGAATACAGAACTCACCAGCGTGGCCCTTGCGTATGTTATGCAGAAGATGCCTTATGTGTTTCCCATTGTTGGAGGGAGGAAATTGGAACATATCAAGGGGAACGTTGCCGCGTTGAGTGTGTTTTTAAGCGAGGAGGACATCAAGGAGATCGAGGGTGTGTACGAATTTGACCCTGGGTTTCCTCATACTTTCCTCAGTGGCTCTTTAATCTCTGGCGGCACACCCCGAGCTGCTGAGGGACCTGGTGATGTCTGGTTGACAAACTTGCTGGGAAACTTTGATTGGGTCGAAGCTGAGAAGGCGATCAAACCGGCGAAGGCTTGAGGACATAACTTTAGGTTTCGACAGATACTTGGAACATTAGGCCAACAGCATGGGTGGTCTAAACAATCTTCAGGCAGTCCATAAATCAATGTTCAACTTCATCGAATTTGATTTGCAAGATACAAGTCACGTGTCAAACTCGCTAACCCTTTTCCCCTTTCAGCCCAGGTTTGTTATTCCCATCCACTCTTCATAAAGCCGGGCCAGGATCACGGCTCTGTGCGTTGCGGTGTGTAAATTTATATGGCCCTTCTGGATCATCTCTTTTCTCTCTCTCGCTCAATTTCACCAACCAATATCACGCTTATGCATCCGCTAGTTCGCAGCATAAGCTCAACGTTCTTGTCTCTCTTGATAGGTCAGACCTCCACTAACCATCACCCACCTGCTCGCAGACACCCTATCAAATGTACACGGTGTTACTCAATGTTCCTATCAATAATTCCCGTTCTTTCCTCCAACAAACTGCCGGAAGAACTCTGGACTTACCGCCCAATATCCCACATTTCTCCCTCCTAGCAATTCCCATCATTTCATCTTGATTTAGCAACATACTCTGCTGAGCCGTGTTATAGCCCGGAAATAAGAAGCGCCGAAGCAAGTGTTGGACGTCTGAAGGTAGCATGATAAACCATCCTGGCTTATTTGTGGGATAGCAGTCCGACAAAAGGAGTGGCGAGAAATTCTTTTTATATTAGGAAGGGTTGTTGTTATTGGGGGAAGCCATTTTTTGGGTAATGCTTTGAGGCAGTTTGCTCTTGCATCGAGATTCGAAATAATGTAGGAGAAGTTGAGATTTCGTAGGAAACCTGTTTTAAACGTATATAAAGGGTGGGGATTTGTGGAACGTGGATTTGAGTCATAAGTTAAAGATAAGGAGTGCTTTGCAAGTCTTGAGTCAAACCGTGAGGAGTAGGAAAGGAGGAGTGGAGGTGCTTCGTTGTTTTATTGAAGAGGAGTTGTCTTTGTCACTAGGCATGATGCTTTTCGTGTGGTGTTCTTGTGGTCAAGACATATGTTTTGTTCTCTAAATGATATTGATACTTTCCGTTGATCGGCTTGTTTAGGCTTGAGAGATGCCCGGGATTTTTGCTGGAAATGTGTACAAATATGAGTTCAAACACTGAAACTTCACGAATCCCGGGGCGGTTAACAGTTCCTAAAAGACGCTAATCTGAATATGTGCCGGCATTGTAAGAAGATGCTGAGAATTGCAAGGACTTCTCCCGACAACAGACTCTGAAATCTGCAAAATGGACAAACAAGGGATATCACAGTAAGGAGATCACAGAATTACCGCAGTTGGATTTAAGAAGGTCGTGTAGAGATATTCTGTCATTCTGTCATTCTGTACGTTGTCCGAGCAATGGTCGGAATAATAGTATTGTTGGTATCGCTGATGATCCCAGACTTCTGGGAAGGCATCTGAACGGTGATACCGTCCTTGCAATAATCACTTAGCAAAACAGATCTCCCGTACAAGAACTATAGAACCTTTCTCACCAACAAGTTCTAATAATATTCTTGAATCCATCACGCTTCGTGATACCAACTTCTCGGAGTATTCATCCTTTTTGCAGGAATGCGCAACATCGCTTGGAACATTCTACTCGCATTGTCCAGTAGTCCCTGGAACATTTGACTCTCGAAAACACATTCAAGCAGTATGTTGACTCCAATTTCTTGGGGATTCCCAGATATGATCCAACCCCATTTGCTTCCACTCAACTCCCCGTCTCCAAAGATGGCCAACATGTCGAGTGGTGCTGACCAGGCCGAGACTCATGAGGCACGGCCATCGGGATGATCGAGAAGTGTTTCGAAGACCACAAACAGGTCTGTCAGTATCGAGAGGTTTCTGAACTTGACCAAAGACTAGGCGATGTTCAGCGTGATGGAAGATTGACACAATATATCATGATGTTATTTCATGGAGGTTTGAGGAAGTCGGTTCAGCTCGAAGGGCAGAAAAAGGAATCGCCGCCAATTGGGAGGCAGCGGGCATCCATTCCTTAAATAACACACAACCAGATTTCTCAGATGAAAAAGGACCGGAAACGGAGAGAAATCAAGTATGGGATGAGCCATTCGACTCATGCTCAGCTCACAAAGGCATCATATACCAAGGAGGAAATAACGTCTCAACGCAGTATATCGTATATGTCATATGCTAGTGCACAGCACTTCCGTTCCATTCATGCATCATGATGCAGGTATCTCTATAGTACAGTCGTTGCCTTTCCATTTAATCATCATTGAAACGCCATGTAAACCCTTATATAAACGCCCCATGTGGCCCCGTCCCATCATTAAACGGCGGTGGCGGGTCTTTCCCTTTGCCATCCCATTTCCTTGCCTGAGAATCATAATACTGCTCTTCCGGACTCCTTTTTTGGACTTCTGCATCTTTGTCTTTGGAGCCGCGGCGTGGAGGCGTGAGGTCGCGTCTGGGTGATTCACGTTCTGGACTTGCAGTCATCTGTGGTGGTTTGTCGTCCGCCATCCAGGATTCTTCTTCCTCTACATCTTCGTAGGGTGGTAGTGCGGGGTTTCTCCCGGTGTTTGTATCGCCTTGCACTAAGCCTAACCGCTCCTCCTCGGTAGCTCCCTTGGCCGCTGCCCCGTGACTGCCTCTTCGCGCCCCTAATCCTTTTCGGACCATTGGGGATCGACTCTGAGGCATCGGGTTCTCATCGGTTCCTTGAGTTGCAGAACCTTTCCTGAACACGTTTTGGAAGGAGAATTGCCTCCTCGCCGAGTGCGGAGGTGGTGTTGGTCCTAACGCTGGGTTGACGCTACTCCCCCTACTCCCTGTCCGTCGCGAATCTGCGTCATCGACGATCGTTATATGTCTCGCAGCAGGACCCTCGTATTCTGTTTTCTGGTCTTGAAGTGGCTGTCCATATGAGTGGTCTGGGCCTGACATATCGTGGCCGTAATAAGCAGTTCCATCATTATCAGCTTTATACGCAGGGATAGAGATCTCGGTCAATGGCACAGGGTGCATTGGACTTTGAGGTTGTGCTTGATTTCCAGCACGAGATCCTCTGTGTTCAATAACCGATCTGGCTCTTGTTCGAATGCTACCAAAGAAAGACGATCCTAGGCCTGCGGTATTCGGACGCTCCTCATCATGATCGGAATCTTCTGATGAGTCCGAAGGGAAATGTGACATGCCGAGAGGTGGATGTTGTTGAGGGGTGTAGGGTGTGCTGTGGGCAGCCTCGAAGGCCGGGAAAGGTGTAGCAGTGTTGCCTCGAGACCGTACGCTTGGGTTCGTTCCATATGTTGTTCTGCGCCTTCGAAGGCCATCCCATTCGATTTGCTCTCCCTCTTGAACTGGCTCCAAATCTGCTAGCTTCTCCGCGCGTAATCTCTTGACTTCGTCTATTTCCCACTTTTGTCTTGCTGTTGAGAATCGTCTAACAATGGCTGCTGTTCCCCGGATGGCATCTGCCTTTGGTTCTGATTCTGGCTGTTCTTGTTCAGCAATGGTACGGAGTTGGTCGAGATCGCCGGCAAAGACTGCTGTATCCGGAACGTCTTTGGCGGATTTGGAGAGCTGGAGGAGGACGACTCCAGCACAGATAACGAAGAATCCCATGACGACGGTGATAATAGAGGTGACGGTTCCTTTGAAACCTCTGAAAAGGATTGCAGACGTGATAATTGTGGAGCTCGTAAAATAAACATAGTATGTCGGCGTGACCAACGCCGCGTTGAATAGATTTAGTGCTTTCTGTGAAGAGGATTAGTAGATTCTCCTGAGGCTTGGACCAAAGACTTACATTTAGATAGATAATTTCGGTCACAAGCGTTGTGATGACGAAAACGAACAGGACGTAGAGAAACCACTGGTTGAACTGAGGTGTGCCTCCAATCTGAGCAACGATGGCAGCACCAAGACCTTGAGTAGCAACCACACTCAGACCTCCAATCAAACTGCAGATTGACAGATACACGAGCATAGTCTTTTTCCCGTACCTTGGCCCAGCCCAAAGCGCAATGAATGCGCAACCAATAATGACCACTCCTGCGTAGGACAGAAACCCAGGCGCAATAACGAAGTGCTGCATCTCTTGGATATTGGCTGCCGAGGACTCCGAGGGCGCATTCATCACAATGACCACAGACCCAATGATGCACAGAAAGCACCCAACCTTCCCAACCATACTCAATCGTTCGTTCAGGAATATTGCTGACAGAACCGTCGTAATAACCACCGACAAGGCTCCCAATGGCGTAACCAGAATAGCATCAACGAAGGCGTATGCGACGAAGTTGCAGATTTCCCCAATAATCATCAATGTCATGCCCGTCCACCAGTACGTGTTCTTCAGATATCCGTATCCTTCACCCGCTACCTCCTGGTATTTGTCATTCGCCTTGAGCAACCCCTTCTTCTTCAGCACAAAAGATACCCCAATGAATACCCCTGATGCTATCGCTAACGATATACCGATTGCCTTGTATACCGGAGGCCTAGAGGCCGTCGATGGATTTGTTGTGCTCGTCGAGTTCGCTCTTGCGTACAGCAGGTGTGCTGTCGCCAGAGCATGTGCTGTTTGATCCATGAAGGCAAATTGGGTGGCGGAGAGTCGCCGAGGAGAGTGAGAGAGTCGTAAAGTATCGCACCGATCAACAGCGCCGCCGACCAAGGTCTATCGACGGTTCGTTAGGCTAGCCGTGATAGTTGCAATCGTTAACGAATGTTTTCGCGGCTACCGTGAGGACGGCATAAGATCTGCTTGTATACGAACAGCTCGAAGGTATATTGACAGGGAAAGTGTGCTGATATCGAATCTAGACTAGCAATGTTGGAACTCTCTGTTCGTCGAGTTACAGAGTCGCGGGAGGCTGGTCGTATTTGAAACGGTTGCTGTGGTGGAGGTTGTTTGGATCGGAGGCTCAGCGCCAAAACCTGCAGGGTGGGTCTGGGGAGCTAAGAATAGCCCTCGACTGTGCTCACGAGTGTCAATGGTATGGAGACAGAAGCAGAGCTCTTTTCTTCGTGTGGGCAGGTTGTGCGAGTGCGAGTCTTGTATGTCAGGGAGGATCTGGGCGGATGGGTGTTCGGGAGGTGATGAGAGCGGGCTGGTGCAAGTTTGCTCTTGGCCCCTGTTCGGTTGGCTGGTGATGGCTGGTGATGGCTGAAGAGAGACTCGCTTGGAGCGGCTCTCCGTACTCCGTACTCGCTTCGTGTTGCGTCGCAATCAAGATCAAGAAACGAGGCTGTGCAAAACCGATTACAGTCCGTACAGTACAGCCGTACAGTTCCGGGTCTCACTTCTGCCAGCGACCGTCCGACGAGGAGCAGCGATCGCGACAAACCATTGGCTTGGTTCTGGGGGTGGCGCGCTGGGGTCAGGCCTCTTGGGGTCCGTTGCCTCCAACGTCCACACAGTTCGCATGTGGGCTTGGCAGCTGAATCGTGCAGCGACTTCTTTATCGATTGTTGCAGGATATGTGGATGCTGTGCTGTCTCTACCAGGCAGTTCTTTGGTACCGCTCTCCGCTCGCAGCAGCATGGAGTATGCAGAACGATGAGTACATCACGAGCAAGTGGTGATGGCATTCCCAGATGTGGACATCGCAAGGCCAATCTATCCGCCAACGCAAATCCTGATGAATGTTCAACCAAGCGATGACAACCCCCTGGTGTCCTCATCGTGCCGCGCGGTGACGACTGGCTCCAGGTCTCGATTTGCGGAGAGCCCCTTGTGGCCCTGCAGCAGTGTGCTGCTCGAGCAACCGAGGCCTATCAACCCCCCCTCTATGACAGCGTTTGGTCCCCATGCAACTGAAGTTTGTAACCGCTTCAAACCAGGACGTGCTCTCAAGCATCGAACAGATCAGACAAGTCAAAGCATCAGGACCCCAGAGGGCCAGACGAGGCCCTTCCAGTTCGTCCGGCCGCTTGCGAGGCCACCCTCTCCATGTCTCACCAAAATGCGGATTTGTGGGCTGTCGGAGATCCTCTTAACCGGCTGGTGACCAAACCTCGAACTGCTTGCGTCGTCTCCGGGCTTTGCGAGAGCCCTCCGATGAGTGACATTCATTATTGTTTCTTTTTGGGCTATTTCGTTTTTAGATTATTGAACTTGGGATGTGGCTAGGGTTCAATACGTCTGAGCTCCTAAGACCGCAGTATCTGAGGAGCTGATGTGCAGGACACTTTGAGCTAAGATCCTGCTCAGCAAGGCTGACTCTCTAGTGTAGGCTCTGGAGGACGTCAGCTTATTCTTAGACCCCATAACTTCCAGATCGAGCCCGCCTCTTAGCTCTCTTGTTCTTTGTACGTTCTGCCCCAGTACCATTTTTCTTCTTCTTTGCTTTCTCCTTCGATTCAATAGAAGGGAGCCTCGGTCACGTGACACTAAAATGCTCCACGTCCCACGCCCCCATCTACATTTGATTCAGACCTGATAAAGGCTTCAAAAGAAGTTCGGGCGGAGAATTATAGCAATTCACCTCTATGGCTGCCAGTTTCTAACTTTCTCAAACCGCCGTGTATTCTCATTGCTCTCTTTCTTGCATTTCGTCCCTCATTCAAGCCCTCTCTATTGCCTTAAAAAAAAAAAACTTCAAATTGGCGAGTATCTTTCACATGCTCCATGGTTTCATAGAGGCAGACCGTTTATATAACGAAGTTTACCCAATGCCATAGCACTACTGATATTCAAGTCGACGGATCGTGTGTTTCGCCGCGAAAGCAATCAGATTTCCGGCATCTTCTTCTTAGGTGATGTGCGGCATAAACTGCCGAGCATAAGGCCTGGCAAGCACTATCGCTCTCATAAATATCTACATATATCCCAATAGCCTTGACCTCACGTCATCCTACCCTTTCTCATTATCTTCATTCCAACCTCGACAGCTCAAGGTCCTACCTTTTCACCGCCAGCCGTAAATAATTCATCACACCGTATCGTTTTACACCAACCACGATGATGACAAGCTTCACTAGTTGAGCAATAGCTTGGATCATACAGAACTACATTCCACATTGCTTTGCGGTCACTACTATTGGATTTTTGATTGGTTGGCATATGAAGTTGGATGGTGTTGAGGAGGAGCAGTTGTGGTCCTATGCTGACTGGATGGCTGGCTGAGAGCGTCAGCTTCTGAGGTGAGCCACCAGAGAAGTATTCTCTGCCACGCTCAGTGCGCAGAAAACCCCTAATATGGCCTGCACTGACCTGCTAGGTTGAAACTTTCAAAAGGGCTGCCTTAAAAATTTGCATGTCATCCTATTTGCTTGCCCCCTCGCTGTTCCTCTGGCTTATCAGATCCTCGCTGCCGGAACAGTATGCCGGTGGAAGCAAAGATGGTTATCTTAGTGACGGAGGGAGGCTAGTCTAGAAAGAGCGCAAATTCAAGGGAAGCGCTAGATGGGCAAAAGTGGCCGAAGGGAAATGTCAGACGTAGTCAAGATCGGGTGAACGAAGCATGGTCATGAGGCTCAACGTTCGGCTCATATCGTGGAAAAGAAACCATTCGAACAAATTGCTCAGCCTCGAGGATCCTGATCAAAGAAGCATCAAACATCCAAATGTTTCGTTTCCCAGTTTCTATCAGAACTTCGGGAAATTACTTCACCCCCTACAGGATCCCCAAAGCTCGGTTCAAAATCGCGATCATACAACATTCCTAAATCGTCCCTGCATCCTATCCTTCTGCCTTCTGGAAGCCATGAACGTCATGCCGTCGCAGCAAAGACGTCGTGTTGCCGCTTCGGGAGAACAGATTTATCCCGATTCATGCCCTATGCCGTGTCGGACGAGCCGAAGAAACGTTTGTGCGAAACGGATGGGAAGGGGAGTATGGAGAAAGAGAGGAATATTAGATGAACCATTTTCAAGGGAGCTTCTCCTTTCTTTTGCGAGAGGGTTTCGGCAAATAAGGGCCCTAAAGGGGACAGTCCCCCTTTCCCCTCGCTTGATATTCAACACTCAAACGAATAGCCCTTCTTTCATCCCGAACCAATGGGATCGAGTTTATATGGAAGGCTATCATGCGCAACTTAGCTCTTGCCATTATTCTGCAACCACTGGGATTCCCAGAAGCTAACACTTCTGTTTTAATTACAGAACCTAAGCGGCTAGTCCACGTGATATTTACACGTGACCTAACGATATTCCAGGCTCTTCATCACAACGTAACATTGGTCTCGCAGCCAGATCGTCGAGGCCACCGCCGAGGTTGAATGCATTCCGTCCCGTCCGTCTGCATGCTACTTGCAAGACTTGGCTCGGCTCGACATGCGCTGAGAAGACAGAAGCAGGAGATAGTGCTCAAAGAGGAAGGAGCTTACATGTACTCGCTTGTCCAGATCGTGACAGTTGCTATTGACGGCTGGTGCACGACCACGGCCAGCCGCCCAATTAATTTGCAGCTCGTCTTGCGATTAGCTCGCGAGATCTCAGGATCGGAGCAAGCAGGCAACGTGCAGACAGATGGCAGGCGTGACAGCGCCACACCCCGACTCGGCTGCAAGCCGAACAGCTCAACTCTATTCTTGCATCTCCTGTGATTGCTCGAAGGCCACGGAAAGCCCACATTTTGCGGAGCAGCACCAGCGCAGGGTTTTGGACACCGCTCAAGCGGCCCAGAGCTTATCATGGAGAGCTCCCCACGCTCTCAGCAGGCCAGCCATACCGGCCGGTATCACCGTTGAGTCTCGAGTCTGGATGAGCCCTCCCTGGATGAGCCCTCCCGTCTGGCATCTGCTAATTTTCGAAAGCAGGCCATTGGTGGGGTCCCCCCTGGGACCTAGTAATCTAACGGCGAGGTTTGTTCCTGCCGGAGTACCTTCCCTGCTGTAGCTCTTCTTAAGCACGTCGGTTCCTTCTTTGCAGCTCACTTGCTTAAACCAACCTCTCTTATCAGGAGATCACACATCTGGAGGTATCTGGAGGTATCCCACGGTACGGATCCCCACAACTATAACCTCAACGACTCCTCTGCTCGAAGATGGGCACACTGCCTGGCACATGCGATTTCTCCACCATGACCTTTGGACGATGAACCCCGCCCCAGGCCGATCAGAAAGCCTACGATGTCGGTCAACGATACTACGTGCTCTCCAACCGGCACGTGTTCCATCTTAGACGGTGCTTTCACCAACGGAACGTTCTTTGATGCTCAATATGATCCCAATTTCCCGGCGCCTATCTGGCGCTCGAGGCTGGAGCTCGCATTCATCTGTATCTTCAATTCAATGTCTCGTAAGACGGATTTCTTCCCTGTCATCATTTGCTATATCCACACCATTCTCGAAATATTCCTTACCGGTCGTCCCAACGTGGGATTTCATCGACTAACAAGGACACAGTAATGGTAATAACTGCCAGACTATGGTATCGATGGCGGAAAATAAGACGATTCCGAGGGGACGACAGGTGGATGGGTGTCGCGGGCGTAAGTGAAACATTGTGGAGAGATACCCATCTTACCTTTCACTGATGATATTCAGTTCTTCTTGATGATATATTTTGCTTGCCAGATCGGTACGAATATATTTGGGAGCGGCTTACATATGCAAAATGTGCCTGAATGGTGGAGAGAGTATCATTGGCATGTTAGTGTCCTTGAATTTAGCCAAAATGCGGAACCATACTGACGGAACAAAGTTTATGTTTGGATGGGCTGGATACTACATTGTGACGAGCTGTATAAAGTTGTCTGTGTGCTATTGTTTTCTGCATATTTGTAAGTGTCAGATATCACTTCACTTCAATACTTAGCTGATACTTTCCCAGTGCCGAAACATTTCAAATGGCTCCGAATTGGTGTCCATGGCCTCTGCGCAATCATCATCAGCCTTATGATCACGCTATGTATGTCCTGGTGGGTTGGATGCGAACCATTCGATAGTAATTTTCTTTGGAGCCACCTCTCCACAAGGTGTATAAACTATGATATCTTCAGGTGGCGTAAGTTCACAAACCACTTCTCCTTCACAAGATCATGCTAACATCCAGCAGTATGGGTCGGCTTCAGCATCCCAATCGACCTCATCCTCGTCACGATACCCCTTCAAATCCTGAAGCGCGCAAAACTACGAGACCACGAAAGAAAGCTACTGAAGATGATCTTCTGCGCCACCCTCCTAGGAACCGTTCTTCTGTATGCCTCCCCCAGCAGATCCTTTTTAACAATGACTAACCAAAAGGAAAAGTTCTGTGGGCATCTTCGGTGTATGGGAGACCCGAACTCAGCAAGCAGACGATCCCTTCTACCACGAGATCGCATTCATAATGATGACCGACGTCGAGATATTCATGTACGCACTCGGTGCATCTTTCCCAGGTTCGTCCTCCCCTCCCCCATTCCCACCCCAACAAACCTGTCTAATCCTCAACAGTCCTCTCCCGCTACCTCGTCCAACGGGCCGACCCCGGCCCAGGCGACCACCCCCACAACTCCAATTTCTCCTCCTGGGCGCGCTACATCCCCAATTTCTTTCCCGACACCAACCAAACCAACGGCACGGCGGCCGACAACCTCGTCGAGCTGGAGGCCAACCCTTCAATCAGCAAGCGGCGGCACGACAGCGGGACATCGCTCACGAGCGGCGCCCCCTCCTCCAAACCCTCACGTTCGAATAGCGGGACCATGGATTTCAGGGAGTTCTTGGAGGAGGATGGTGATGAAGATGTGGAGATGGGAGAGAGTGTCAAGGTGCAGACGGGGATTAAACTTAGTGTGGGGACGGAGGAGAGCGTGTTGAGGGATTACGTTAGGAAGAACGTTATTGGGAAGAGATGATAGGGATTAATAGGCTTTCATTAGAGCGGTGGCGTTGGGAGTTTGTTCGATACCAATTGCTTCTATTGTACGAATCAAGATTCATGGATGTTCAAATCGTATTTGTGAAGTTGAAGAAAGTTCCTTTTTATTCGTGACGGTAGGTTGGGTTAACCTCCATATGCAATCCCGACAAAGGAAAGCTGTGGTCTAGCTTTTGCTAGACTGTAATTGAGCCGAAGCTCATCTATGTACTCCAATACCTTCCCACATTACATACATACAAGAAAGGCTCAGATCATCAGGATCTCCCTGAGTCTCAATGCCCGCATAATTTTAGGACATTCAATCCTCCACTTACGTTCAGCGCCCGAACCGAACTCTCACGTTCGTCTCATCATCACTCCTTTTTCTCCTTTTCGTCCTTAGCCGCCTGAGCAGCTTTCCTCTTCCCCTCCCTATACCTCGAGATCTTCTCACCCATATACCGCCAGCTCCTCCCAATCCCCGCAGTCAGCACGCTCTTAAGGCTCTGACTCGTGCTCGGCCAGCTAATCGTACTCTTAATCACGCCCCGGACCTCCATCCTCAGATCCTCGGGCGGCTCATTCGCAATCCTCCTCTCGAAACCCCCACCCTCTCGCCTGTTAATCCTCGTCGCGTCCTCGTCACTCGCCGCTTCCAACATCTTATTGAACTCCAGTTGCGGAATCTGGTATTTCTTCTGGTATTGGAAGTACAGCTTTGAGCGGAATGCTTTGGGGAGGCGGCGGACCATGTTCCCGCGTTTGATGGGGTCCATGTCTTGTGCTAGGCGGACGTTCGCCGAAGGGTCGGACGACCAGTCGGGGTCGGAGCATTTGGAATCGTTGAAGCTGACGTTGGGGAGATTGTCGATTAACGGGGAGTAAAGACGCCGGAAATGTGGGAGGTTGTTACCCACTATGTTGGCGACTTTGGAGGGGTCTTCGGTGGGGAGGACCATGCGGGGGTCGCCCATGTAGCTGATGCTTGCTATCGTGCCGTAGAGTTCTTGTTCTGTGAACGTTGGTGGTAGCAGTAATAGGGCGGTTCGTAGGGCTGATAAAAGATTAACTTGGTTTGCTAGTCGTACTCGCGGATCATCTCGAAGGATTTTGACTGGTTTGTGGAGTCGTCCAGCTAGGTATAGTGTCGTCCATTCGGAGAGGTCCGTGCAGAGTGTATCCAAGTTCACGACGCCATATTTGATGAGCGTTCCATTGACCGTCACATAGGGATTGAAGTAGACCCCAGCTCCCAATTTGTCTTGAACCCATGATGTTGCACCAGATCCGAGTGATCCGAGGGCGGAATAATGATCTCGATGTTGTGTGAGATTGAGAGAATGCCAATGCTGGGTATAGGAGACGCCAAATATAAAGTCGATCATCTTCGGATTGCCGGCTTGTGCTTTGACAACGGCAGCTGCGGGCTTCGAGTGTATTGAAGTAGCACTTGACGGCGCTACAGCGTTCTGTATAAATGTGTTAGTATATCTTGCTATAGACTGCACGGTATACATTGAACCAGACGAGGCGGTACAATTTGGAAACATTGTTCCGGGAGCGACGAATGCACATAAATTCAAGATCCAACATAATTTCGATACCCAATACAACAACTATATCCAAATTACACTGACCCAACACGGAATAAAACATTCACGTACCGGCTTGGATTGTGGGAACACCCCAGACCCGTATGCAAAAGCATATCTTATAGGCGCTCTGAATTGCCATAGAATCTGCCGTAATGCCTCCTTGAATTCATCATTGATCACTATATGCTGGTTCACCCCAAAGTTCGAATGCGGCAATTCAGAAAACTGAGATATAGCATAGTTTAGGTTGTCCTCCCAATCGCTTGGCGCAACCGTTGTAGGACTGGGTTTCAATGTTCCAGACGAGTTGGAAGACTCAGACGAAGGTGAAGGAGAGGCTGCTTCGTTGGACGCGAGCTTCGATGTTCCAGGACCTTTGGTAGATTGTGAAGCCAGGAATCGTCGCGCGGGGAGGGAAGGTTGTATAGGCCATGATCGACTCGATGATCCAAAATATCTGGTACATTGAAGTCCGGGGCGTTGCTGCCGGACGGAGATGTCAGTACGCATGTGACAGCCAGATGGTGAAGCTTACGGCATAGCGGAGAGCCATTGTACGTCAGAGAGTTGTACAATGAGTCTTATTCGAAATATAAACAGGTGTGTGCAGCAGACGCTGCAGAAACGTCACCGCGCGTCAATCTCCATCGAGTTGCCAAATGTACGAAGGTGATAGCTGGTCAATGAGATTTTACAGGATTCCCGTCGCTAGGCGAGACGAGGCGTTAACCCCACGCTGTCGCGTCTAGCGGCGGCACCCCCCGTCAGTGGCAGAAATCAAAAGGGGCAATTTATGGATGCCCCCTCTGGTCTTTTGGACATTCAACTTTACATAAATAGCAGAGCGTGAGATCCCATATACGTAACCGGATTGAAATGTTCAGATAGCTCGTTGTGCCTTGTCATTGGTCTTGAACGCAGAAATTCAGACGCCGACCAAACCTCGAAACTCAGGTGTAGCGTAGAAAATGGAGCATTGGATACCAATGTCTAAATAGATCTAGTTCAATTAAAGAGCTCCGGGTGCAATTTTGCAAGGCTGAAGTTAAGGTTGAAATGGTATGCTGTGTTGACGTCGTGGCAGGACATCAGTTGGGCTAGGAAGGTTGAAAGTCTCATTGAGGATTGGAACATTGATAGCTGAAAGTTTCACATTCTACGGCACATTTCATTCTCTTCGGAGATCTTCCCAAAGCATTGACTTTCTTCTCGAGAAGGCATGAACGAGTGAAAGCTCGAAGAGGGGTTGGGAAGTCGCTTGCGGCCATTCACCCCGCCAACCGCTGGACAAAGAAATTGTTGTTTGCTCCACGTGACGTCGAAATCGTGAACTTCCTTTCATCCTCTTGCGACAACACCAACGACCCAACCACCATTCGAGCGCGCAAAGCGTTCAACATCTTCCAGAATGAGGGCGCATACGCCTCAGCAGGCGACCGAGGCATCGAGACGGAGAAGCTCAATCGGGGCCGGTCACCGAGTGAGCATGGGCAGTAGCATTCCCAGAGTGCAGTCAAGGGTAAGCTTTCGTGAATCTCCCCATCGCAGAGGTTCGATCTGTTACTAGAGTATGTCCATATACTGATACCATATTCTAGATTGCTCTTGCCCGCGCAGCGAACTCACAACCTTCATTCGACTTCCTTACAGGCGCAGAATCAGGCCGACCACCATCCAGGGACAACTTCCGCAACTCAACAAGAATTCCTTCAGGCGGCCCCCCAAGAGAAGAGTCGACTTTCGAATCCGACCAAGACCGGGAGAAGAGACGCCGAGAGATGGACGAACTGAAGGCTGAGGTCAAGACATTAAAATACACCATCGATAATCACAAGCAGGAGGAAGAGCTTGCAGAGCTCCGACACGAGAGTGAACTTAGAGATGCCCGACGGAAAGCTGAAGATGATTTCAACAAGAAGCAGGCGGCCGAAGCGGAGAAGTCTAAAGCTGTGCGACAATACGAAGCTTTACAGAAGGAAGTCACGGAATTGAAGGGCGCAGCAGCAAACGAGAAAGCAGCTCTCGAGCGGCGTTTACGGGAGACTGAAGAGAGCAAGCGTCTACTAGAAGAAGAGATTGAAGATATCAAATCCGAGCGAGAGGAGAGTATCCGTGGAATCGAACGCAAGTCCTCAGAACTCGAGACCAGAAATGCGACATTACAACGGACAGTGGAGGAACTGCAGCAGGATTCCGACAGAAGAGAAGCCCTCCTACAAGATACTCAGCAAAAGCTAGCAGACAAAGATACCGCATATGGTGCATTAGAAGCCGAGGTACTTCGGCTGAAAGCACAGGGTGGAGATGCGGATACTCTTGGAGTCATCAAGCGAGAGCTTAGTGAACAGGTTTCACACATCAAGAAGCTCGAGGTCACCAATCGGGAGCAAGCGGCAGAGATTAAACACTTAAAGCAAATCCACAAGAGTGTGGAGGTTGTTGAGGAAGAGAAGAGATCTCTGCAAAGAAAGCTAGATGCGATGGACGGACTTGAGAATGAACTCGGAGAAGCAAGAATTCAGCGTCAGAGGCTGGAGGACGAACGCCTAGCTTGGACGGCGTATCTTCAGAGTGAAGCCGGATCTGATGGTCAACTCGAGTTCGATTCTCCAGAAGCTTTGGCCAGAGCACTCGTTGCAGAGCGCCTCCAGACAGCAACTTTAGTAGAGCGAATCGGTGGTCTGGAGCCAGAGCTGTCTTCAAAGGATAGCCTCATTCAATCTTTGGAAGCAGAGAAATCCAAATTGGCTGCGGAAATTGAGAAGCTCAAGGCGAGTGGGGGTTCTGGTAGTAGCAAAGCTCAGCTTCGTCTAGAGAGACAACGGGCACTGGCAGTCAAGGAGGCCGAGTACCTACGAGCTCAACTTAAAGCATTTGACTCTGAGGATACCATATTTTCGGAGAACGTGGATAAGTCGAATGTCCAACGTATCCAAGAGCTTGAGGATATGGTCGACCAATACAGACAAGAAGTCCAGACTCTCCATGGTGAACTTGCAACTCGAGAAACGCAACCAGCGCCAGCTGCAGAACCAACTGGTACTAAACGTCCTCGAGATGACTCGGACGACAACGAGCGTATTGGCCAATATGCAAGAAAGAACCGCAAGTTACAGGACGAGCTGACCACCCTCCAAACTTCCAACAAACTCCTGCAAAAAGAGCTGTCTGTGACCAAGGAGCGCCTGACATCCGCCAGTCAAGCCTCCAAAACCCGAATCCTCTCACTCCGATCCAATCCTACATCCGATTGCGCAGCCATCAAACAATCCACCCTCGAGGCCCTGCGCAAAGAAAACGCGGACCTTCTCTTGCGACTCGAAGCAAGCGGGCCTCTTACAACCGTCCCGGCCTCCTCTCTCGCCGCATCCCAACATGCCATCACTGCCGCGCAGGAAGCTCTCGCCTCAGAGAAAAAGCGCAATGACCGGCTCATGAAAGTTTGGGGCGCCAAGTCCTCCGAGTTCCGCCAACTAGTCATCTCCCTCCTCGGGTGGGATGTAGTCTTTATGAAAGATGGAAAGATGCGCGTTACATCGTTCTTCTACCCCAGCAAAGGCGACGATGAGAACAGCATCGTCTTTGACGGCGAGAAAGGCACGATGAAGATCAGTGGCGGCCCAGAGAGCGCTTTTGCTGTCAAGATTGCGGATCAGATTAAGTTCTGGGTCAAGGAGAAGGGCAGTATTCCTTGTTTTCTTGCGGCACTCACATTGGAGTTTTTTGACGAGGCCAATAAGGATGGGACTTTGAGAGTTGATGTTTGAGTGTACTCACCTGGGCTGGAACATTCAAGTTCATTGTAGATATTTGCTGCGCTGATGAATGTACGTGATGGGCTTGTACAATGGAGTTATAGGTCCAGGGGCCGGCTTCTTACGAGGGATATCACTTGCAGAGACATTGCAAAAGGTGGTGGCATCATTGTTGAAGATTTAAGAACATGCAATACGATAATTCATCCTACAATCCCAGCCACCTCAGTGTACTAAGCCAAGCTACAGTAAACTATGACGAACCGTAACATATAACACGGACTAATTTCGTAACGACTTGCTACTTAAATCACGCTTTTCGTTTCATATTTCCTTTCTCCACAAGTGTTAGATAAAAATTGTTTCGCAACGACTTCCATCCCATACTTGCTCTTATCCCAGTAGTTTTTTCGTCTTAACCCCCCCCCTTTTTTTAAACCCCTGGTTTCGTCTGAGCTATTCTTTCTTCCGAAAAGTGTGGCAAGGAATCTCTGTAAATATACGAGCTTTCCCGATACAATCCGAAGTTCAGATGGAAGCTTTTGAACTCCCATGCAGTCACATGCAAAAGGATGCAGCCTTGTTCAGGAGTAAATCAGGACAATACGAAAATTCATTCAAATCTGCACTCCCAACGCCGGTATGTTCGTGATGCCAACCCCACCAAATCATTAACACATACCGAATCTACTCAACACACTCAACACCTTCCAACGCACGCATAGCTCTCGTCCCCTCACTCTCAAACTTACCCACCATCCTCTCACAATCATTCTTCAGCTTCTCTTCCGCCATTTGAGCGTTATGATGTATCCACTCCTCAACAGTCATCCTCTTTTCTGGACTTGTCAAGTCCCCATTTCTGATCTTGTCTATCGCACCACCTAACAAATCTGCTCCATTACCAATGACATTCTCACCACCAGGTGATTTCATGAAGATCGCTTCCAAATCAACCGCTGTCCATGGGTGAAGAGTTTGAAGGCCAGCAATGACATTGCGTTTTGATGGTGAAAGGGATGGCGTAGTAGGAGCTAATGGGATCCGCTTTGCAGTTGAATGTGGAGTTGCCGTCTTCTTCGTTGCCGCCGAAGGTTTGGAGGAAGGCGGGTGGTTTTCTGCGTCTGAGGACTGAGGCGACTGGGACGGGGTTGCCTCCATTGGAGCTGGTGTTGGCGATCGCACCACTGGAGCTGGCTTGGTTTCCATTGGGGCTGCTTTAGTTTGAGCAGGAGCTTTCTCTACCGCGGTGGATTCCTCCACTGTAGCAGTTGGCTGGGAAGAAGCCTCAGGAGTTGCCTTTGGTGGTCGGCCTCTAGATTTCGCAGTTTTCGACTTGATAGCCTTGGGCAGGGGTTCCACTCTTGCTGGATTTGGCGCTTCTCCTAGCGGGGTGTAAAAGACCTCATTTGTCATGCTCATTTCTTCAACATGAATGACTTTCTTGCCTTTGGCCGAAGGAATGCTCTCAGGAACTTCAATGCTAGGGATTGGTGCCTGAGACTTGTGGACGATCTCTTCAATGTTTCTCGTTCCTGCCTTCTTGCCACCTCGTCCCTTCTTCAAGGTACTGCCTCGTCGAGAAGGTCCGCCTTTAACTACAGTTGACTGACTGGCAACGCTTGCGTCTGTTTCGTGGCCAGAATCATCCTTTGGGGAATCATTTGACTCCTGGTAGTCTCCTATGACTGAGACGTTGTCATTTAGAACAGACCCCCTTGTCGCTCTGTTTGGCATCGGTCTCGTGGGCTGTTTTGAGGGAGCTCTCTGTTTTTTCTGTTGAATTATCGGAGATGATTGCTGCATGGAAATGCTGTGTCCCAGTTCCATCGCGATCTGCTGAGAGGCCTCATCTTCTTCAGCGGCTTGCTGGGCCTGAGCCTCAGCTTCGGCCTCAGCTGCTTTCTTTGCTGCAGCTTGTTGCTTTGCAGAAGGCTTTCGAGCTTGCTTCCCTTTCGCCCCCTTTGCTTTTGGCAATGGCTTCGATTCAACATCCATTGCTTCCAACTCTGCTTCAATCGCAGCATCGTCGACTTCAACGGAGTTCATACCGAACATAGTGTGATCCGCCTTTGCGACTTTGCTTGATCGAGATGAGTTCTTTGCCGGACCACTTGTAGCTGTTTCCATCTCGTCGTCACTCAGACGTCTTTCAAGGTCTGCTTCCAGTGCCTTGTCGATTTCCTCGTCATCCATAAAAGGGGTTCGTAATGATGCCACTGAAGCTGCTGAAGTTTTCCGAGTAGATCTTATGGATGTTCGGCCCTTTCTGCCAGCAGGTTTCGGGACTTCTGGCTGGATATCATCAACGGGCTCATTGATTGATTCGTCCACGGCCATGCTGCCCCGAGTCCGTGTGGCTCTTCGTTTCGGTGGCGGCGGCCCCATCTCAATGGCTGGCACAGTGATATCGTGGTCCTCGCTCTTTCGTTTCCTTCCTCGAGTTGGCTTTGGCTCGGGATCAACCTTGACCTCAAAGTCAGCATCCTCCGGTTCTGGTGCAACCTCAACGGGCTCGCCCTTCTTCGCGCGTGTCTTTCTCCCCTTTGTAGCAGGTGCTTTCTTTGCCTTGCCCATCTTCTTGGTTGCAGTTGCGTTAGTGGCAGTTGTGAGAATGCTGTCTTCGTCTTCCGCTGGACCGTCTGTAACTGATGGGGCTTCTGATGCAACAGTAAACGCCGATTGTGTTGACAGCCTGGAAGCTTTCGATGTCCTGTCTCGCTTTGATTTTGTTCTTTTGACAACTGGGCTTGGTTTATTATTGTTGACGAGGGTGAAGAATGGACACTCGGGCGATCGATTAAAATGCTCCTCCCTTTCTGAGGTTAGTAAAAGAAGAAGGTGCAACCAACTGAACTCACATAGGCTTATCAGACGGCTCCCAGCCATCCAAAGCTAAAGAACAATACGTGCAGGTAGCCATATCATCAGATTCCATTGTTGGCGTGTACTTCCATCCCGAGTCGACCATCTATAACAAAGGTCAGCTTCGCCCACCGTTTGAACATAGGCACAACATACTTGTTTAATCTTGCATTTCCAGCCCTTTTTGGTTTCGTGTGGCCATTTGTCTGCAAATGTAGCCTTTCGGGCATCAATCATCCTGATGCTCGCAGGATATTCTTGGCTCAAATCCCCATCCTGCTTCTCAATTGTCGCAACAATAGCCCAGCCGCAACTCGGAGAATGTTTCAAATGCTCTACCAGCGGATCATCATCTTCCTCCCACCCATCCAGCGCTTTATGGCAGAGAAAGCAGGCGACGTTGTCCGGGTTGCCCTGTGTTGGGTAGTAGAAGAAACCGGCTTTTGCAAGCTAAACGCGTGTCAGTGAGCGTCCCACGAAGCCAGAATTTGAAGTACGGACATCTTCCGCGGAGAGGAACCTGTGAGACCATTTCAAGGACTTGGGTGCCTTTGAGCTCGCGTTTGATGCCCTACGTTTCGACAACTGCTGTGCCGTTTGGAAGGACGTAATTCGGCTCTCAAAGGTGAAAAACTCGTCGGCAATTTCTGCAATTGCCATGTTGAAATTTAATCCTCTTCTACTGAGTAGTGAGTATTGGACGCGGATGTTCTTCTGTGTTAGACAGTCATGAAGATGTTTTGTTTGTGCAGAGCTTTGGTGGATCGCGTCGGGGAGGTGACTTCACAAAGATGAGTAGGATATTCTCCAAACTCAAACTCCGCCAGAATTTTATTGTATGGTGGATAGCAATTGAAGTGTTGATATTCGGAGAGTTGCGTGAAGCATGGTGGGATTGATGAAGTAAGGGCTGACCTGCGTTGGGTTTGTTTACGGCAGAATGTAGGCGGTGACGCTTTTGTACTAGCATATTTTGAGTCACGTGAAACCTCCCCCCATCTTGCAAGAAAATACTACATTTCCGGCGATGTGCAACTCGCTAATGTTTAACGTTTCTACACGTTCCTTAGTTAGTGGCACATAAGTGCTGGCTCTTACTTTACCAGAATCCGAGTAGGACTCCAAAGAAGTTGGAATAAGAGGTAGCAATCAGTGTGTCAAAGGATTAATCACGTTAATCAAATTAATCGATTAATTAATTAATTAATGTGATTAGATTATGATTAACGTGATTCAGATTTTTTTGATTAGATTAGATTAATTAATCTTGATTAATCTGATTAATGCTTGATTAATCACGTGATACCGGAGTTTCTTGACTTTCCTTACTTTTCTCTTTACTTTTACTTATTAATTATTAAATAACCTTATAACTAACTAATAATATTATAATAAAAAATCTAAATTAAGCTAAGAACTAACTAATTACTCCCTTTCTATAATAATAAACTGATTATCTATAAGGGGCGTACGTAATGGCGCATGGACGGGTATCAGATATCGTGGATCTAGTTTCCTATTTTGGGTAAAGCTTGTATGGGATCGCATTTCCTAATTAAGTAAAGGTCTTCGCACGCTTGGCTAAGCACTAGGGAATACATAGAGAGACGCTTCTAGCTTTGGAAAGGGGCATCGATTAGTCTTTTATTGGAATCAACTCTTGGAAATCAGTTACACTTGCAAGCGTCACTCTAAAGCTTACTTACCTTGACTACTTGTGCATCACCCTGCTATTATATGCCTCACAGCTTGGTAAGCTGCGGCCCAGGCCGCCGCTAGGTGGCCGTAGCCCTAATGCGGTAAAGCGTGCTCCCTATGCGGCTAGCGCTATCACGTGTCTAGTCACGTGCTCCATTAATCAAATTAATCAATTAATAATCGATTAATCTGATTAGATTATGATTAGAATATGATTAATGGTAAATTTCCTTGATTAGATTAGATTAATGCCCATTAATCTAATCTAATCTAATCATTTGACACACTGGTAGCAATCGCATGTCCGTAACCGATCGACTGGGAAGTTCGACTCTTGACTTGTTGGGGACTTAGCTTAGAATCGTTATTCCAAAAGTTGAGTATATAATTATTTTTTTGATATATACCCTATGCAATATAAGATACAAAGGAATCCAGGCAATGCAACTGTGAACAATATTCCGATGACCAACCAACTCGTCAGGTTTTGAACACTCAACTGACTTCCGAGTCAATCAACCGTCCCCGATGCCTCTGACAAGAACTTTTTATCAATGATAACCAGCTCAGGTGTCTCAAAAAGGTGACATTCATTCAATAAAAGCGTCCGTCGGGCCCGTTTTTTACTTCGGATATTTATGGGCATTTTTGCCATGAGATGCCTGCTGCCCATGTGACCTTGCCATCTGCAGAGTCATGGTTCAATTGTCCCGAGCCGGTTCCTAAAGTATCCAAATTCTTAGTAGCTCGGACCTGGCTGTTGATGTTGACTGGAAGCACTTGGCCACAAGGAGCCCAGACGACAGAGAGAAAGTCGATATCTTTGTTTGTAGGGTAATCTCCGCTGTAGTTTAGGTCTAGTAAGGAAAAATTATGCCTAGCAGAAAAAGGATAGTCAAGGCCGGCACGTATGCCCAGTTGCATCGTTTGGTCATGCTTGACGTGCTATTTCTCTCCTCGTCGCCTTAATACTTGTGTTTATCCAACACCAGAGCCACTCTACGGCGCTGTTCCAAGTAAGTTGAGATCCACGCGGATTCGTGGATCTGTGGAAGCAGGATCTATTGAGTTTGATGCTTCTTGTCTAAAATTGGAATGTGCATATTGGAGTTAGGGCTGAGCATTATTTTTGGATGTCGATTGGAGAACCTTCAGCTGGCTAAGCAATGTTTTCGGGTACCACCGTCACAGTGACTGTCGCTCACGATTTAAGAGACCACGACTTGGATCTAGTATAATCAAGATGGAGAGAAGCAAAGACACCAGAGCACCATTTTTAATATATCAATACATGGATAAACAAGATACAATTAATTCTCTCCCAAACTTCAGAACATCGCAACTTTCCTCGAAAAGTCAGAGTTTAAAGGAAGGTAGTCTCTACCAACCCTTCTTTTGAGCCAGCCCCTCCGCAGCTTGCATCCCCTTTTGCTCAAGACTGGACTCCATGCCCCCAGACTTTCCACCCGAGTATCCGCCAGACATGCCCCCTCCCATACCTCCACTCTGGCCACCAGAATTGGAGTTATCAGACCCTCCATAGCCACCGCTCTGGCCTCCTCCTCCATAGCCGCCTGAGGATTGGTTGCCGTTGCTGTTGGAGTCTCCGTATCCGCCCGAGGATTGGTTGCTATTACTATTGCTATTACTGTTGTCGTTGCCTCCATATCCGCCTGAGGATTGGTTGCTATTGTCGCTGGAGCCTCCGTATCCACCTGAGGACTGATCATTGTTTCCTCCCAATCCGTCGCTGTTGGAGTTATCTCCGTAGCCACCTCCTAAATGAAGTCAGAGCATATTCATGAGACTGGGGAACTGGACTTACCTTGACCGCTCTGCTGGTCCTGGTTGTTGTTGTTGTTATCGCTTGAGCCGAACATGGCTGCTGTGGATTATTGGTGGTTGGAGAGAAGTGAAGCTGGATATTACAAATGAAGTATATCTTGATGAAGAAGAAGGAGAAGCTTAATGATCTCCAAATTAAAGATGAGAAGAGCTTAATATATACCCAATTCCTCCCTCTCCTCTTCAAACAAGACACAACTCCTTAACGGCCAAGCTATAGACAGAAGCAAGTATCTCTCCTCAAGCTCATCATCGCGTCCCACCTAACCCCACAACCCAAACGTTCCCGGCACTTGCAGTCCCTCGCGCACTCCGAGTCTAATCTCAATCCATCACTCAAACTCCCCTCAAGATCCTGATCCAGACCTCCATTCAACCCAAAGATCAAGTTCGCCCCAAAGCATCCAAACCACCAAACCAAGATCTCGGCCCCTCTCCCCATCCAGCAGTGGCAACAACATGCCACTTTGCCCTCCCCAAAAAAGACCCATCCAAATAATCCGTGCCATGTTGCGGCTATTGAACCTTGAATATAGCGTTCGTGCTGGTGAAAGGCTCATAGGATATAGAAAGCGCAGGAACTCGTCATATCAGCAGCTTATTGATAGCACTTCCCTCCCGCTGCCCCTCCTCAAGCGAGAAACCCTGCGAATGGCATCAGAAATCCCCTTCCCCTCTATTCTCGGAGAAACCGCACTCGGGTTATTTTTGGAAGATGGACGGATTGAGATAGTAGCCCGTGATCTACACTGCAAGAGATTGTTTGGGAGAGGTGTGGGCGTGGTGGCGAGAGGCAGGGCGAAGCGCGGAGATAAAAGTTGGCTGCCAAGAAAAGGGGCAGAAGCTTGGTATTTTAGTTCATTGCGTTGTGGGGACTTTCAACAAGTAGAAAGCTCGATATTCAGGCGAGGGAACACGGAAGGTAACCTTGACGATCAATTGGGCCGCTGAGAATTGAGAAACGCAATGGAAGATTTCACGGAGAATGTTAATACTCACGTGACAACTTACCCCTGAACTGGGGCTTGAGGCTCTTGCTGATCTGTACAAATTGGAATTATAGTAGCTACCGGTATCGCACAAACTGATGCTCGAATCCTACAGTGAAACCGGCTCTCTTGCCTCATACTTGCCACTGACAAATTTCTTGCTCGTTGCAATTTCGACCCAGTTTCCTGCCGGTGAGACTGTGGTGGGGCTCGCAATTGACTCGTCCGCAAATGGATCATCTTCTTCCTTCTCCTTGCCCTTGCTGGGCTCCAGTCTCGACAAGCTGATACCACTTCCAAGCGGTTTTGCTGCAGAGCCATGAATCTCCCATCGTGCTTCAATGTGACCAGGTTCCGGACATGCGCCTTCTGAGCCCAGGAATCTACAGATTACTTTGTGCCACTCATTTGTAAGAGTCACATCGCCGATCCGCCAATAGGCAAGTGACTTTTCTTTGAGGTGAGTACCGGTTGGCTTAGTCTGGCACCCAACAGCTCTCGGCCCCTCGTAAAAGGCGACCAAGACTAGACCGTGGCAGGTTACCGGCTCTGTGCTATATGCTGGGTTCAGACTATACTCTGCCACCAAACCGAGCTTGTCGCCTTGATGTTTCCAAGCGACTTTGAGAAGTAAGGGACCAACGGTGGTAGCATTTTCGTCATCGATATGAACTCTATATGTGAATGCCATGGATGGTTTTGATATGGTTACGAGGTCGACCGTGAACTCATCTGGCTTGTCTCCGATGACTGGATGAATGAACGTCCTATTGGGGCCAATGGCTTCAAGGTTTGGAAAGTTATTGATTCGGATGGTGCCTTCAGCTATCTCAAATCAGTAAGAGCAGCTGTAAATTCGACATAATACTTACTTGAGGAATCGTCGGCCTCAACCTTGTTGTAGGCCAGAGCAATCTCACCACCAATTTTCGCTGTTTTGACCTCTCCATTCTCTAATGTTGCGCTCACGGTCTCGATGATGGATGCATTCAGTCCCGGTTGGTGCATATCAGCGTGTTTGGCCACCACGTGGTTTGTCAACGAGTGGCCAGAGCGAATCGAGGTCGTATCAGACCCGGTAGGAGCATTCTGGTCATTGGATGACAACGCTGCAAGAGCAGCTGCCCTTCCGGTTGCAATGCCTGGTGATGGAGGTGGCATGTTCTCCGGTGTGCTAACGTCAAGTGAGTTCGCTGGCGGCACATACATCGTGTTTCGGACATCTCGCCTTCCCCTCACAGTCCCAGCTTTTCGATTCAGAGTTGACGCCTGTTGGGATCGTAAGGTATTTGCGACATTTGACAGTGCCGCCTGGGCATCTGCATCTTGCTCTGGAATCGGTTCTTTCCGAATATCCAGCTTAAATTGTTGTTGCTCGTTTTCCTGTGCTGCATCATGCTCTGCTTGGGATATTGGGTCATTCATTGCTGCTGGCACAGTGTAACCTTCCGAATCTTTTTGCGCTTCAGAAGCAGGCTTCAAATGAGAGGGTGGTGGCCCAGGCGGCGGCTGAACGTCTGACAAGTCTCCGAATAGAGCTGCACCTGTTGTACCATTTGTTGTGCGAGAAGACGAACCTGTCGGCACCGCATCTGCAATAAAAGCCGAGTCCGCGTTTACTGCACCAGCATTTCCGTTGGTTTGTGAGGTCGGACTCTGCGGTGGAGGAGATTCAGCTAAGGATGAAAGTCGATTGTCCCGCGAAGGAGAATCATTAAGATTGCCCATCGAAGCTTGCGGAGAGGGTCCATCCCTACTTGCAGGGCTTCGGCCAAACGGTTGAAAGCCCTTATTTGGTGATGGATTTCGTCCAAAGGCGCCTACCATGCTCTGACGGCGCTTTCCAAGCATGGTTCCAAAGCGCCTCGAAATTTTGGACTCTATTTTCAAGTCAGTCAACTATCAAGCCTTTACGGTTGCACTTTAGCAGAGCGCCAAGGACGGTGCTCTTACCTCCTTTTTCATTTACGTTTGAATGCTCGCTTTGATTGTCGGTATTAGATCGAGGCGTCTGCGGGGGAGCCAAACTGGCTGCTCCACCGCTTCCACTGCCCGCATTTGACGGTTGCCTTGTCCTTCGCTCATTCAGCGGCTTTCCTGCAATGCTGGCTTGAGACCAGTTCTTTATCTCCTGCGCGGTGTCGATCTCCAATAATGATCTGAGGGTTTGCTCAATAGTCTTTCGGTTTTGTTCAATTACATCCGCTTCATGGGTCTCATATTGGGTAAGTACATCCCGGAGATGGTTCAGTCGCCTTTCGTCCAGGGCTTGAAGAGTCTCGTATATAAAAGGTGCTTGGGAATCCCATGCTGAGGTGGCAGAGTTCAGCCTTGACGATGCTGCATCCACTTTCAGCGCGCTCGCTTTGCCTCCCTTTTTGTTCAACTTGTCGGACTTTTCTTGTGCATCTTCAAGTTCCCTGGCCAAGGAAGACAGATTCCCATGTATTGTTGTCATCGCTGACATCTCGCGGTTGGTTGTCGCAAACGTTCGCAAAGGGTGTTCGACATCTTTCTCTATCCGCTCCGATAGCAAAGCATGCGACTGGGCAATATCCTCGATGGCTGCAATAAGCTTCTTCCATGGCCCGTCAAATATCCTTCGCAGATTGTTAGCTGATTTTCAAAGAGCCGATTCAATAATCCTACCCCAGATCCTGCCCAGTTTCTTGCAACGGCTTGCGTGCGAGTTTCCTCAGACCAGCTACGTATTGATCCTCGACCTTCCGGCGTTCCTGCTGGTATGTTAATCATATTCCAGTGCAGCTGTCGTCCTGATGTATTGTACCTGCAGCCAGTCCGCGATCTCCGAGTTGACTTTCCCGATCTTCTTCACGCGCTCATTAAGTTTCTGGACAGCTCCCTGTGGAGATAGTCGCTCCTTCCAAACCGTTAGCAATCGCACAAAGACTCGAGACTGCACTGAGAATGCGATGCGACAGCTGGCTTACCAACATAGCAGGATATTCCTGCCTCGACAATGCCTCCATGATCGCAGTATTTGCTTGCGCTCAGAGATCAGATGAAAGGCAGCGCATAACCAAGAATAATACACATGTACACTGTTGTCGTCGGCGAGTGGGATGCAGCACCAAATGGCAAGCAATAGGAGCTTTCCAGCTCATCACGGCGTGGGAGCGGCTCTTTTGTTTAGCGGATCATCGGGCCTTGGAAACCATGACCACATCCCTGTAAAGGCGGCGAGAGGCATGCATGCATAACATGGCACAAAAAGGATGCGCTGGACGTAACGAACTTCGCTGGGTGTAACAAACTTTTAACAGGGATTTTTCTTCTTCGACTTCTCGAACCTTTCTGGAAGCCCAAATTGTTCACGTTTACGATAGGGGTATGCAAGAAATCCGAAATAGCTCTGCTGTTCAAACTCTCCCTTTACAAACACCCCTCACTATCGAGCTAAACAGCCAAGCGTGCCTGGACCTGGATGGCACCGGGTTCCTCGGATGGGGTTGTTGAGGTAGCCATGGCTTCCGGATCCAATTGGAGATCTTCCTTGGGTGCAACGGAGCGGTACGCAAACATAGAGAAGTTGTGAGCAAGCCTTTCTAGACACAGCCTCGGTTCCATAGCTGATCAGCATTTATAGGAGGAAGAGTAATGAAGCAATGGGGCTAAGTTCGACTGGAACTGCCCATAAGACCGCTTTTGATACAGAAGCAGATGCGTACAATACCTCTGCATCAAGAGTAAGTAAAAGCTAATTACAAGAACGCTATATGTCACGTGACCCAAATCTCTCCCATTTCGCTGTAGCTGAAGGCCGGGCTATCCTTGCAGACCCTTATTACCCTCTTGTGTTAAGTTCATACATCAGAACCATCTATTTTCCCAAATTATAAGACGATGAGCGGGTTGACAACTTCGAAATACCCTCACTGATGTTTGCAGGAAGCGTACGATGGCGCCTGCAACGGCATCATCACTGTCGCAGCGGATCTGGGACACCCCGATACAATTCCTGATACGCCTGGAATCTCAATAGGTACCTATCGAGATTGTCACTATCTGGCGTCAGGTCTCGTAGCCGAAGTCTATCGGTCAAAAGCCGTTGCTCTGAAAGTCATCACCGAGACCAGAGATGTGGAACCCCATAACCCGGCCCGAGAAGTCAAAATCTTGACAGAAGCATCTCATTCGGCCATTATAAAGATAACAGAGACATTCAGAGACCAAGAAGGAAGGCTCGTGCTAGTTTTCCCCTTCATGCCTCTCACACTCGCCAAGATCATCGGCTCAGGGGCTGTTGCGGACAGCCTCACACGCTCATGCTTCCATGATCTCTTCTCAGCTCTTGAATATCTCCACGCAAGTGGAATTATTCACCGGGATATTAAGCCATCCAATCTTCTCCTAAAATCAAAGACAGGACCAGCATATCTCTCGGACTTTGGCACAGCATGGCATCCTACATTTTCAGCCGTAGATGAGCCATCGAGTCACAAAGTCCTCGAAGTAGGTACCACCTGCTATCGAGCACCGGAAACTCTTTTCGGCAACAGATCATACAATTCGAGTCTCGATATGTGGGCAGCTGGCACGATGCTCGTGGAGTGTTTACGAAATCCGCCGAAATCCTTATTTGAGTCCAGAGATACCTCGGAAGATGGAAATCAGCTGGGGCTGATATTGAGCATGTTTAAGACTTTAGGGACACCGATGAAGGATACTTGGCCTGAAGCAGCGAGCTTCTCAACTCCGCCTTTTGAGTGGTATCAGGAGTTTCCGGGGCATTCGTGGGAGGAGTTATTGCCTGGTGTAGGTGGGGATGCTAAGGATTTAGTGAAAGGATTGGTCTGCTATGAAAGCGGGAAGAGGTTGACTGCTGCTCAAGTTAGTACACCTTCTCAGAAATTTGAGATCGGTCTAATTGTTCCTGTAGGCTTTGGGTCAACACTTTGTCAGCAGGAAATAATAAAAGAACAAGTTATGAATCACAACTGGAGGCAAAGAAGAGGCAGTGAAGTCGATGCATCTCATTCCATAATGCAGCTCACAACCCATCATGCATTCTTTAAACCCCCTGAAATCAGCGTGCAATGTACCACCCCCAAGCCATCAAGTTATCAAGTCATCAGTCATCACACCCCTTTCCCCCAGTAGCACATCCCCTCCCCAATGTCCCATCCCGTTCAAGCTTGAGGAGTCGAGTGCTTTATCAATAGCTACAGAAGCAATTGCGACTAGTGCAGCTCGATCCATCCTCCGGGTAACTTGGCGTGAAGATCTCACCGCTCATATCGCAGGAAGCGTGATATTGGTCTTCACAGACGGAGGCGGAGAGCCCGCTGTGGCAACGAAGGTAGAAGCGCTTGGTGAGTTGATTGACGGCTTCGAAGTGGGTGGCGGAGGCGGAGGTAGGGAGACCAGAGATGAGGCTGAAGAGTGTGGTGATGGTGATGGTGAGGAGGAGCTGAGAGTGGTGGGTGAGTTGATGGGAGCAACGGAGCGAGAAAGTAGGACTTACTTGAAACTTCATTTTGAAGGTTGGGATGAGGGTTGTTGGATGTGTGATTGTACCTGGGATCGTGGAAGATTTTGGTTGTGTACTTGAGAGGTTGGTAGATCGATGAGAGAGAGAGAGAGAGAGAGAGAGAGATGAGATTGCTGCTGTTCAATTCTTAGAAGAAAGTGAACGGCAGCTCAAAGCCGTTGGGTAGAGAGGGAATGTTGCTGCTGTTGTTGGAAGAGAAGAGACGAGCGAAGGGCATCTTTTATAGACAAAAGGGAGAGGATTAACAAACTGTGAGTCGGCCCTGCCAAACCCGGAAGAAGGATTCTCTTACACATTCACTCTCGCCCAAGTCTCACTTAATATGAAACTGGAATATGCAAGTTCACAGTTTGGCTTGGCATGTGCATGCAGGACATCCAGCACATGGAGATGTCATTTGGAGCTTATTTGCTCTCGATGCAGGAACCGGCTTCCTGCATAGACTTCATTGCCACTCCTGCATCACACCTTCTCTTAACGGACGGACTCGCACAGAAAAGATTCCTACCAGCTATGGCGCCAACTCCTTGTGCTACATGAAGTTGGGGGTTGACTGAAGCGTTTTTCATACTTAAAGCCCGAGGCCAGCAAGGTGTTGACAATCATAGCAGCATCAAACATAAGAGAGTCAAAACTCAAATGCCTCGACACTTCAAAGGACTTTACGGTAAGAAGAGGGGAGTCTGACAGGAAGCTTTCGAACCCCCTCACTGAGTTATTCATTCTATTTGTGCCACAGCTTTGGCTAACCTTGAAACTTTAGCATGCAGCCACGCGTAAGCCACCTTCCAGAACAAAACATCGAAGCCTTCTCATGGATTGGGTAACGTGGTATCTGGACAGTTCGAGGCCTCAAAATTTCGTTTCGGAATATTCTTGGTTACTCAAAACGCTGTCACACTCAACGTCGTGGTGCCACGGAACAACAACTGCAACCGAGTGGGCTACTTTTTCGGAATGTCGAGGTCCTTTATTTATTTGAGGAAGAAGGATGCACAGATCTTATTTCCACATCCCGTTGTTGAGAGAAAACTACACTTACATTATTGATTCTTCTGAAGGTTGTGGTTCAGGGGATGGCTTTTGCGATGTTCTCAAACCCCAACGCCTCACCATGGGATGCACGAGTAGGGGTTGAAGAGAAAGTTAAGAATGACAATCTAATGGTCTGGGCTTTCGAACTCCGATGTTTTCGTTACATTCAGCTATCTTTATTGCTGTCACATACCACAGCACTGTCAATTAGCTTCGTTACCTGTTGGTTAATACAGTACTACCATCACGTTTTGAGATTCATCAGCAATTTATCAGTAAAGCGAGATGCATGCGGCCCATGACTCCAAACCTGACCGATTGCATGCCGACCCCGGATGTCCTTGTGAATCTTGCAGTTGAAGGCTGGTATATCTTGAAATTTTTGGAGGAGGTGGCATAATTTATACTTATTTGAGCCTCTCTGAAGGACTACTCTCTGCACCTTTGTGCGTGTGCCGAATGGCCAGCGCTCCTTCCTTTAGTGTCTCACTTGATTAGGGTACTATGAAGTCCTTATTTAATATGTACTTCCAAAGAACACAACTTTTGTACTAGTCATAGGAGTAAAGCCAAATTGTGTCTCTTTGCCATTAGCAGAATCAATTGTTCTAATGATGGTTTTCATCACTTACTGGAGGATGACGGTCCCAAATTAACGGGGCGTCTGCAAAGACTCGTTGCTGCGTAACTACTCTCATATGCGGGGGTTGGCACTACCGCAGGTAATTCTAGAACCATGGAATGGATCCGATTCTTCAAGAATTCCTCTTCCCTGGTGGACCTAGGGAGGCTTCGTCTACTATTAACCTCCGAACGGTTTTACTTTTTGCTGCCATTGGCCAGACTGTTGTCATTTTGTATGCTGCTCAATACACTGGCTCTCAGTTTCCGGACACTTGATATTGTGCCCATAGCCGCGGAACAACCCTATGCCAACTAGGGATTCCGTGTTATGCTCCCCGAGAACAAACCCAGCCTAGCCTTATCTCCCTTCTTTTCAAATCGCTGTGGTTTGTTCTACAGTCCTCCCCAAACTTCAGGAGTAAGACCTAATTTATACACATGCTAGCCACTCAACCATAGCTACAATACATTAACAAACAGGTTCCACCCAGTTCAAAAAACTTAGCATTTGCTTCGGAGCTTTCCTCATTTTGACAAGTTTCTAGTTGAGTACATATATATTATCTTCGACCGCTAACAGAAAGTCATCATTCGGAAGATTACGATCACCCTCAAAGTCAATGTGAGGGAGGATTTCGAGGACCTTTTGCTCTCACGTCGAGTGTGAAGGCAACCTCGCTGTCCAGCCGAGACGGAAATCCTTTGGCACCGCGTTCACGTTACTTAGCCGCCACACTTCCTACCAAGTAGAATTTGAAGAGATTCACATTGCTCTTAAAACATCTGACCCAAGTGCAGAAGCCCCTTCTCTCGAGCATAAATTGGGTGCTCCGGAGGAGCTTATATAGAGTGAAATGTGCCCAGGAGCTAAGCCCCTGAATCACGTGAGAATTGCACGCAGAGGACGGTAACAACATCAATTTGCTGTCAATTTCATCATTATCTGAGCTCAAACGCGTTCTAGAAAACTAGAAGGCCAACCAGGAATATGGAGGGTGAAAAAACGCAGGATCATTGTCATGGACCCTTCTTCCATTGAACAGAAGAACATTGATCTTGTCCGGTAGACTTGGTACTTGAAGTTGTTCTTAAAATCCCCAGAGTGGAGGTGGACTGAACTCGTGAGGGTCTTCAACGCATAGTTCCTCTATCCAGGGGACATTTGCTGTTTGCAGAGCTGTAAAGTTCTAAGAACAATCCCAGCACGTTGTTCTTCACGTGCCAGTACATTGAGAACAGAGAGCTCCAAAATGTTCCTTGAAACTTGGAGATATTCAAAAGTGAAATCAAATTAAGAGTGAAGACATCGTTCAACAACTTCCAGTACAGTCACAGTGTAGAATTCTCCTACAAGTACTGGTACGATTACACAAGCTGGAGCTCGAGTACATTGTTCACTTTATAACTAGTACACTGATACCTTGATGTGCAATACAGTACAGCACGCTGAAGGACAGACAACGCCGGTACTTGAGGTGAATGTTAAATATCACGTTGGACAAGCAATGTAAGAAAGCCGAGAATTATTCATTCAGCTATTCTCTACTCACTCTATCCTCTGCTCAGCTAGGTGTGTAAAGGGGAATGTAAGCAACCCATTCTGATCCATCTTCCCAGCGCCAGACGCCCAGATACGATGTGTACTGTACATTCAAAGTCCGAAGAAGGGAGAGGGCGGCTGTCCGAAGTTGTTAACTTCCTTCTTGGGATGGCCCATCAAATCATCCAGCGCATCATTCTCCCACCGAGCCCAAGATCGCGTGCTGGACCACTTGATACGATGAACGCCAACCCGAACGTGCTTTCGGTGAGACTTGCAGAAGAAGGCCAGGTAGGATCGCTCGCCGGCATTTTCAAAGCGCTGCGGCTTATCCAACTTGGCGAATGCCGTAAACTTCTTGTCAGGATTGGCGGCGAACTCAGCAGTGGGTGCGAACAGGATAGTGTCGATGTCTTCGAAGTTCTCCCGAACGTTAACCTTAATCACCATGGTGATCTTCTTCATCTCCTCTGGCATAAGCTCTCCGATGGCATAGCGAACATCACCAGCGTTAACAGCTTCCATGAAACCTTTGATGTCGCTGTGCTTGTCGCCTGACAGCTGGGGAATTGCCATCCATGCAGACGATCCTCGCTCATCTGCAGAATCTCGAAGTCAGCACCTTTGCGTGTGGAGCGAGCCGGGAGAAGAGAAGAGAGACTCGAGGCTATGCTTACAGTACTTGGGACCACCCTCGCAACAGAAGATACCCTTTTCGGTGTGCATCTTGGCCTCGTTCTTCGACATCTGAACGCGATCAGCTCTGAAAGGGGGGGGAGGGGCGAGTGTTTCCATACGTCAATGGCTTCGCGAGGTTCTCCTTCTTGCTTTCCGATGATAGATGGTTCTCTACCACGAAACAGGTGTTCTTCAATGCGGCGATTGAGGTCGAGGTCTTGATCAGAGAGGAGTCCAGGAGGAAAACCGGAGTGCTAGAATAAAGTTAGCGTCGACGAAGAAAGTACGCTAATAGCCGAGCTCGTCAAAGGAAGTCAACAGCATTCAGGGGCAATAAGGAGAACTCACAGTAATACAAGTAGCAACGGGAGCTACATGATCCAGTCAGCATTGTTTGAATGTCAAAAGAGGTGCCGCAAGTGTTGGCAAAGGGAAGGGCATGTGAAGGGAGCTTGCTTATACATACTGCATAGTTTGCACCCATATCTCGACAGGTACTCGGTCATAGGCTTGCGACCATCACTAGAAACTTCATCGTTGATATGGCTAGACAATTCTGCCTTGACTTGTCCGTCGTAAGAGAACTTGGTCTTGGCTTTCTTTGTGAAGGCACCCTTGAGATTGGCTTCAAAAGCGCTCAGCTTGTGCTCTCCGTCTTGTTCTGCCTTGATCTTCTCATCCATAGAGCGCTTGGACTTGGCGTTCTCGATGAAGGCTCCGATGGTATTGGCTTCGAAGGGGCTCAGCTTTGACTTGCCGGATCGGTCAGCAGTGCCTTGAACGTCCATTGTGACCTCGGATTTGGTTGGCTTGGCCCAGGCGCCCTTGATGTTTTCTTCAAAAGAGGATAGCTTGCCCGTGCCAGCATATTGCTCGTTGCTAGTAGTATGTTGTCGGACGTTGTGGGTGTCGCCAGTGCCAGCTACATGCTCAGTGTTTCCCTCCAGAGTTGGGTCCTCCAAGTCGATGATCTTGGCGAGTTTCATTCTCTCCTTGATTTCGTTCATTTCTTGCTCCGCCATGGTGTTGGTTGGTGCAATGGCACGTAATGAGGTGACAGGTTGTATTGTGTTTGTTGGAAGAATTTTCTTGTTGTGTGCTCGGCAGAAATCTAATAGAAAATCAAGCTAGTCCTGCGAAGTGATGTCGTTAGCTCTAGAACAACAACAAAACGAACGTGTGAATTGAGGTAAAGGGACCGTTTTTACTCACCTTCAGGCACTCAATCACCTCAGCTTTGCGTCCACAATTCAGGTGCGGGGGATCGTGTGGAGAGTGTGCACTAATGAAATTTGATCGTTCCCTAAGGCGGTAATGGACAAGAAGCGTGAATCTGACGGTAAACACTGTCTAGATCCAGATCCCCTTAGTAGGAAAAGAATTAAAACCTTAGAAATCTTGGTAGCAGACGAAATCTGGATGTCTAATGTCCAAATTGGGGTGGATATTGATTTATCTACGAGTATTGCAGACCAACAGTTCTTCCATTTCCGTGACCATATGTCTTGTCGTCTCAAGTTCGAACAGCACCTACTGCCGGGCTACTACACGGAGAACAAATCTAGACTGTATGTGAAAGTGGAGCACAACAGATTCCTGATGCGTTGATAAGCTGCAGAAGGAGGGGCGGGCAGATAGTAGAGGACTTCAGAATATTTCCCAGTTGAGTCCATGCAGATGAGTATCACCAATGACGAAGGAAGTGAAAAGAATCATCTATAGCAATCTGACGTTGTAAACACGTCTGAATGTGCTGATGAGAGTTCTCGAGGTGACCCAATTGAGCGCCAGCCAGCTGCAGTGTTCAGGTTGGCGAGGGACGTCTATAATATTTAGCAACTACATGATCTATGCTGAGAGCCACTCACTCTTTGTACTCGTAACATAGCGGAATGGCAGATGAGATCTGGAGATTTGTTTCCAGAGCTGCTGCTCTGCCTTAGCAATGCTGAAGTAGCTTTCAGCGCAAGCAAATATCAAATCTAGAGCAATCACGAACAAGTAAACTCAAGGCTACAAAGTTTCAAACACTAAGGGCGCATATCTCAAAGTCAATCAATCATTTACAAGCACTTGAGCTCGGACGCAAAGGTCTCATGTTTAATGAAATTCCATTTTTGCGGAATTGGTACATTTGTCCAAGTGGCCAGCATCTATCTAAATGACAGTTACAGGGCATGAAACTCAAAGAGAGATCTTTGAAGCTGCCTCGGTGCTAGTACCCGCTCCTGCAGTATCATCAATGGAATATGGGAAACAGGCCTCCGCACGTCAGCACTTGAAAATGCGGGATGACTGTATCTCGTTATCTCATGTATCGTAAAGCGTGTAATCCTAACATAATATCGGTTTCGTCAAGTTTATTTCCGGTGGGAAATCGAAGACTGTACCCTAGAAGCAGATCCACCGAGACCATCCAACATGTCAAATCAGACTCGCTCCCGAGGTCGACTGCCCACTGTGATGTACTGAAACTGGGTGCGGCAGAGAGGACATGTGCTGGAGTTGCTGGTCTTGAACCATTTGTGGAGGCAGTCGTTGTGGAACAGGTGATTACAAGTGGCGCATTTCCGGTCGGGGAGTCTTTTCTCGGATGAGACAATAGAGTAGCAGATGGCGCATTCTACGTGTCCCTTCAAAGCGTCGGCTACATTCTTTCGGAAAGTTTCCAAGCCGTCCACGATAGAACCGTCCTAGAAAAATGGTCAGTAGTGAACCGGTATTCATATAAAAGGGAGAGACTTACTGCGAACTGAATTCTCCCCTGCGTACTCCTGAGAAGGGTCTGCCACTTTTCGACCGGGATAGCGACTCGATTAACGCTTTCGACTGTAGCGATTGACAACGGGTATGCTGGAGGCAAACGGATGACCATTTTCATCTCCATTTCATCAATCTCATACCCCGCGGACACTTCTCTTGAGTTCTTGGAAACTTTGACCTGAAGTTTCTTCTCATCGTCCGATTCAGCTTCCTGCTTCTCCGACCACTGACTAACGTCATCCAATAGGTCTTGCACGATCAGCGTTGAAAAATATTTTTCAGTCCAAGCTCTGACAGCAATAGAAGTTTGTCGTTCCTTGCAGTTCAACCACCAGCTTTTGACTTCACCTGGAATGTACTTCAAGCAGAGATAGTACAGATTAACAAGAAGCCAGTGCATGTCATGCTCCAAGGACTCTGAATTCGTTGCGTCCCACATGTCGTATTTTCGTATCATGGAATCGTCGACATATTCCCTGTCGAGCTTGAGGGGGCTGGCCGCGGAGTGCCCTAGGATATCAAACATGAATTCCAGAAATGGGCTAAGGTAGCCTCCTGTTTTAATCTCGTCGCTGTAATCGCGCCGAACCATATTGGAAGCTGACGAAAACGAGTCAAAAACAAGGTGCCACGAGAGTAGATATCGGCGCACAGAGAGTGGGAATAATTCGAGATCTGCATCTTGGTAATCGTTGATCTTCGGAGCCTCAAGGAGTAAAGACAACAGTTCGCCCTCAATTGTCGCACCTAGGTACGCCTTAGCTTCTTCGGCACAGAAAAGAACTGCGTGAATATAACTTACTTGTTCCTGTGAGAGCAACTTCAAGAGAAATTTGTCCTTGGGCCTCAACAAGCGTCTTTTGAAGAATATCAAATGCAGCGGATTGCACCATTCGGAAATCTGACCAAACCAGACCATACAGCCCTGATAAATCTGTAATGGAAGCGGTGTCAATCTTGGTGACTTGTCGCAGAAGAATGTCATCAACAAATTGAAGTGGTAGGTTGTCCTTTGATCTTTCAAGCTTCAGCAAATTGGCCAGTCCACTGGAGATCGCGCTATTGGATTGAACAAGTGCATCGGTCAAGTCATCGTTGGCATCTGCTAAATTTTGCAGAATTGACACCAATTTTAGAGACATTCCAACTCCAGGAAGTCGGAGGTCTGAAAGGCAAACAAGCTCGTCTGCGCTCCAAATACCGACACCTAAGTTAAGCGCATCTTGCCAGTAGGAGCCGTAGACATCCTTGATGGCCGGGAGAAGCGGGTGCAGAGCGCGACATGCCTCAGAGCCGAGTTCAACATGGGTTGTAGCTAAAGCCTTGGACCAAGAGAGTATCTGTTTCACTACAGAGATTAGTCGGATCTGCGCGACAGGAATCTCTGCCTGGTCCTTGGTATAAACTGCGAGGCAGGAGTTCAAAAGAAAAAGCTTCTGAAGCGTCCTTTCGTGCGGAGATGCGACAGATATATCGCTAATAAGACGGTTGCACAGTGTGTTGATTGGTTTATGAGGGCGTAGGCTCGCTTCAAAACCTATCAGGATCGCAGAGGCTCCGAAAATATTCTGTGTCATACTGTTCATGATTCCAAGTTGCTCGAGCCATTCGTCGCCGCCAGTAATGATCCAGTCTTGCATGCTCGATAAAATCTCCAAAAATCGGGAGAGCGCCTTTCCAGCGTAGTATCCCTGGGGATCTAGAGAACGTGAAGCATTAAGAAATGTGCCGATCAGCTCCCGAACCGTTCGGGAAGTGTCGTGAGCAGGTAAACCTTCAACCTCCTCTCGCCAAGAACTCGCATTCCTTGCAACAGCAGCAAATGTCGCTAAAATGACCCGAAGCATTTTTCGAAGCTCTTCCATAGAATCTGGATCCATATGCGACTCGAAGAGAATGTCGTTCTCAAGCAGATCTATTTGGTCATTGACTAGCTCGTAAGTCAGGCCAAGGAGATACAGATATTGTGCTTGCAGGTCTTGCGATACGATTTGAGTGAACTCGTGAAGACCTAGTAAGTGGGTCGCGAAAAGTGCCATGCGCAGGGCAACTGAATAGCCTTTTGTATCTCTTGAGGAAATCGAAAGAGAAATATTCTTCAAATCGCTAACAAGGAACACGGCACCGGCAAACGGTCTCAGGACAGCTAAAGCCAGGCTAGGGGGCTTCTGTAGGAATGGTGCAAGTGCTTCGCCCCAAGGGAGGAGCTCTGGGAAAAACGAAGCTATAGTTTCTGGAAGCAGAACACGTCTCATTGTGCCATGTGCCTCTTTGAAAAGTGTGCCAACGCTGAGGATGAATTAGCACGGAATCAAGCATCATAGAACAGTTTTAATGCAGGAGAGGGGAGGAATTCAATGACTTACAGTAATGATTGAGGCGAGGCACTTTCTAACTCGTCGCGTACGAGTTGGACGACTCTGCGTCGCGACGCCTCGATTTTGTCCGTATCTTCTATATGTGGCTCCACGAGGACTCGCAAATTCATTGCCTTTGCGGCCACTGGTACCGTATCGCTGATCTCACTGAATTCCAGAAACTTGGCCAACAGAATCATCTGGGTATTATGGTCCTGCAGAAGCTCCTTATTCTTTTTGGCCAGTAGCTCTAGGGCACGGCAGGCATATTCGAGGTACACATTGACGATATCGAAACCCGAAATAATTTGCTGCACGACCATCTTTGCTTGAGCGGGTGCAATAGTGTGAAAAGTGACTGCAGTCTCAAATATCGGCCAAGCTTGTTGATTTGCGTGCAAGGCTTTGACACACATCTTATACAAAAACGTCTGCAATTCTTTGTTGAGGGCGCCAATGCTTTTAACTTCGTGGCTTGCTATAAGTGCTGTGATAGTTCGAAGCTTCTGTTCTTCCTCTTCTTCGGAAAGTTGCAAAATACTGCCCACAGCTGACTGCCAGAACTTTGCGAAGTCGGATTTTTGTTCAGTGAAATAATGAAACCCATGAAGTATGGACACCAAATACTCCATCGAGGGAGAAACGAGCAGACGATTGAAGTTCTGTTCGAAAAGTGTCTTGAGAGAATTCATATTTTCTGTGATCCGAAACAAGCGGGGAGTAAGGCGCAAAGCAGCATCCAGAGTTGCCGTAGCTGAGTAGGCTTTTCCATTGCGGGTGGTTATGGCTGCGAGAGCAGCGGTAATAATCCTGCTGGAATGCTGCTCGAGGATTTGGCTTACTTCGATATTGGGGGTATTTCTGAAAACCTCATTTACAAGCGAAAACCATCGATTGCCTTCAGCGACGACCGAGGCTTGAGAGACCGCATAGTCCTTTGATTGCTCCGGCAAAGATGTACGAATTCTGAGAATAAACTCGTCTGCCAATCGCTGCCACTCCTGACTCAGTAATGTACGCAAAGCAGTGTCTGTTGTTGAAGCGCAAATAACAAATGCCTTTGCGAGAGCTGGGGTGTTTTGGCCGAGCGACCATTTGGAGTTTTCGACCGAAGGATGAAGATAATGTTCGAAGATCGGAAACACAGCATCCTGGAAGAATTTGCCTTGGGAGGTCTCGTCAGGCAGGTATTTGCCCAAGAAATCGGCGATATGGAAATAGCAGGTCCAAGCCTGTTCGGCATTGTTTCTGTGCTCTTCTCTGCTGTTGATACCATCTCGAAGGGCTGACAAGAAGTCTAGTGAGGCTCTGATCTCTATAGGAAGAAGAGCGCGAGGTAGGTTTTTGAGGAGAGACTGGAGACTTTGCCAATATGCTGCAGGTCCACCTTGAGAACCTTTGGCAATGAACTTTTGGAGCTTCAATAAAGCGGGTTTTTTGGCCTTGTATGACGAAGTCCATACTTGTGGATATGCGTTTGTAAGCGGTTCCAAAGCTTGGATTAGCTGGTAGGCCGACGTAGTTTGAGAGCTAGAAAACGCTTCTGCAATGAATGTTTTGCTGATCAACTCGAGGTTCGCTTCAACAACACCATGCTGCTTCTTTAAGCAGACGACTAGCAATTTAGCGACCACTTTTCTGACAAATGCATCTTGGCAAGAAATTAGACCCCATAACTTGGCAGGGTTGTTGTCGAAGTAAAGTTTGTATTTGTCCTGGTGATTGAGAAGATCGGGCTTGTCCAGGTGCGAGAGAAGGTGCTCAACGAGTGATGCACTCGATCCGAGAACTCTTAAATAGGTCTCTTGAATCTCGTCTTCGCTCATCGATCTGTCGTCGCAGAGCGACTGTGGAGTTTCATCGAGAGCGCTTCGAGCGTATTCTAAGATCTGGGGCTGAAAAATCTTCCAACACTTCTGGACCTTGTCATCGGTGTATAATATGAGATTCAGGCCGTCAGTTGCTGCCTTGAGAACCACGCGCTCTCTATCCAGCGTTCCTGCCAGCCAGGAAGGGATTATTACAGGCATATGTTTCTCCATACGCTTCTTGACCGTTGCGGTAATGTCATATTGAATTTGATGTGCGAGTTCGCGGACCCGTCTTGAATTGTCTATACTCAATTTTGGATAGAATTGCACCTGTATGTGTGTTAGGAGGATCATAAATAAGGGGGAAATGCATTGACTTACCCAAGCCTCGAGTATTGCGCTCTCTATGCCTGCCTGAAACTCGGGGGGTGATTGCACGAATGCGCGGAGATCTTCTAGGGCCTTAGTCTTTGTAGTAGCGTCTTTCTTAGACAAGGCCTTGAATGCTACTGCAACGTTGGGATCGCTGATGTACTTGAGGTCAGGGGGAGGTGTGAGGTACGACAGCACGCTGCCACTCGACGACGCAGAGCCAAAAGCACCGAATCCTCCGCCGCCCACGGCAGCACGGCTGCTCGAGGCCTGTGACTTAAACTGCCGGTTGCTCATATTGGCAGAGCGATGCGTTGTCAGGGAGTTGTCAAGATCGAGAGTGACATTAGGGAGTCGGGTGGTTCGGTCGTAGCTTGTGGAGGGGCTCGGCGTCGATATTGCAGTGAGAATGGATCTGAATAGAAGGAGAAATCAAGAGAAGAAGAGAAGAAGAGATGAACAGATGAACAGATGAAGAGGGCGGTCGTGCCTGCTCGGTCTGCAGTTCTGCAACGTAGCAAGAGGCAAGTGCTGAGGAAGAAAACGAGTGATTGATTGATTGATTGATTGTCTTGTGGTGGGGTGTAGTGTGTACTTTGAAGCTAAAATAAATCATTGAATCCTCGCCGAGCGCAGGGGCAGTGTAGCGCTCGCCGCTGCCGCATTCGTCATCAACAGGGTAGCTGACCAGCAAATAGCAGGCGCTGCTTTACGCTCCACCCCCAGTGGCGGGAGATCACGGAGCAGCACCTCCTCCTACCCCGCATCAGTGATTCCTGGTTGTGCCGGCCTGTGCCCACAACCAACAACCAACAACCCCATCAACCATCAACAACCTCACATTCCCAAACCTCACTCGATAGACCGACCACCTCGCAAAGCTCCCTGTGCTACCCCGAAGCTCGCAGAGAATAATTGCTTGTGTTTTGGTTTTCGAAGCTCATCCAGACCTGTGTCGTCGCAACTCCAGTAGCCCCTGTGAGGTGAGCCCGTCCCCAGGGCCTCGGTGTGTTAACCAGCCCCAAGCACAAAGGCACCTCCAACACTGTTTTGGATTTCGACCGAATACTCTCATCCTTTGGACGCATTCTGTATTCCCAGACTTCCCTTGGGAGCCTGTGAAAACTGCGCCAAACCTTTGTTAGTGGACCCTTGTCTTGTGACCTCGTATTGCCTTGTCTGCCTTCGCACCAAACCTCGACCACAATTCCTACTTCACGGCTGCTGCGGATTCCAACAAAGTTGGCATACGCTCCGTACGTGAAGATACGTTTCCGAGGCTTTCAAGAAGGGCTATCTTCGAGAGCGAGCAACATAACGTCCTGTCAGTCGGGCTGTGCCCAGCAGCTTTGTCTCGATCACTGCTGACCGTTAAATAGCTCGAAGACAACCACCATCTGCAAGTGCTCACATCAGAAGCGATCCATACGATATACAACTTCTTTACATAAACGATCCAGCCCACCGACTTTTGAAGCAGTGGTCCTTCGCTCCAATCAACTGGAGGGGGCACACTTGGCCTGTGATAAGACATACAGATACGAAATACCCGCCAACAACTTTGAAGAAGGAACTTGTATCCGCCTGGAATCCAACGCTATCTCAGGCTTGGCTATATTCTGCAAGTTTGTACGCCCTAGCCAATTTGCGAATCGGACACTTCTACTTTGCTTGATATTTGCGTGAGGGCTTCCCTTCAATCCTTGACAAGTGGCGGACTAACAAAGCCTGGCAGACAACGACTATGCGCCGACGGAGATACTAATTCAAGATGCTTTCATCACAGATCACTTCCTTCCAGATGACCACGGCCGCTCTCCATAGTCCTCGGAGAGTTTCGGCTACCCTGCTGAGACAGGCAGGCAGCTTGCCTCGAAGATGTCGACCGCAACAGCAAACACGAGCCTTTCGACTAGGCCTATGGTCATCATATCTAGACCAAAACTTCCAAAAGGAAGTTCGTCGTCGCCACCGAGTGGTGAAGCACAAGTACATTGAAGCTTTGAATAGGAGGCTCTCGTGGGATCGTCATTTTCCAGCCAATCCTAAACATCTCGGCTTGAAGGGATTCATGTGCAGTGCATGGCGTGGACAAGACTCCAGGCCTGGTGGAAGACGGGTAGATGTTGATGAATTGTTTGATAGTAAAGAGAGGACACAGAAGGCGACAGGAAAAGGGATCGAAGACGTTGAACAGAGCGCCGTCGAGAGGCTTTTCAGGAACCAAGATGCGGTGTACGACTACATCCGGACAAGGTCTTCAAGGCTATGGACATGGAATGACCCAACTTCGGCCGAGAACCCTACGGTAGTTGGCGCAACCTACACCTCTCCATCTTCTGTGTACGATCTAGAAGCCTTCCGGAAGCGCTTCCAAAGCAAACAAGATTCGAACACTAGTTCCGAGCCTGAGTATGAGATTGATCCCATCACAAATCGAAAAGTATTCAAGAATAAGTCGAATGATTCCGCAGAACCCGGCCGCAAGCCAATCGAGATCCCGGTGAAGACTTTCAAGGGATACCGATCACAGTTTAAAGACAAACCCTCTCCTTCGTCCTCTAAGTCTGTTCCAGAAAACACGCAGGAAGGAAAAGATAACAAATTCCCGCCTAGTGAACTCTTCAACAACAATAGTACATCAAGCAAGGTCTATGAACCAGCCATCTATGACCCAGCCCACGGGTTCGAGGAATACGACCGCAAAGTGGATTACAAATCGGGCCAGTTCTACGATCCTGCTTCGATCAAGACAAGTCATCCCGATCCTGTCCAAGAGGGTCTGCGAGATTACGACGACAAAATTTCCAGCAAAGGAGCTGAATCCACCAAGTCTGCAGCACCGGGACCCGAAATCTCCGGCAATATTGATCCTGTGCAAGAGGGCCTAAGGGAATACGATTCTAAAGTTGACTATGGTTCTGGCCGATTTTATAAATGTTCTGAAAAGGACATTGACTATTCTGATCCCGATCAATCTGGTTTGAAGGAATACGATGAGAAGATTTCGGGCGGCGAGACTATATCTTCCAGCTTAGACGCGACGGTTTCTAAGCCCGTTGGTAAAGATGGCTGGAAGGAGTACGACAATCAGGTTGACTACAAGTCAGGCCAGTTCTATGAGCCTTCTGGGACGACCATTGACTATTCTGACCCTATTCAGAGGGGATTGAAAGACTACGATGGAAAGATTTCGCGCCAGGGACTTCAAAATGGATCTAGCATTGAACCATCGAAGCCTCTTGATCCTGTTGCGGAAGCTTTCCGAGAGTATGATGAAGAATTCCCAGCCAGACAGACTTCCAAGAAGTTGGATGAGGGAATCTCTCAATTGGACCCTGTCGAAGAAGCTTTTCATGGCTACGATCCTGTGCATGAAGAATTGAAGAAATACGAGTCCGAGGTCTCCAGCGAGCGTACCGGGAAGGCGACGAGTGACCCAGCCAGAGATTCTCTCAAAGACTATGATGCTCGCACAAATTACGGGCCTAAAGGAGCACTCGGAATTCCTCTGAAGCGTGGGGGTTTCATCTGGAGAGTAAGAGGCGCAGTCGACAGATTGTACAACGATGTGAAAGACGACCTTGAACTACTTCGGGCCAGTGATGTTCGTGCAGCTTCAGGCATCGTCAAAAAGCCGAAGAATGAGACCGACTCAGACAAACTTGCCATGAGGAAGCAATTAGAAAGCGACTTCAATGATCGTCAAGGAAACACGCTATCGTCTGCAGACGAAGTTGCTGCCGCTGAGAAAGTCAAGCAATCCCGAAAGCTTGTCGAGGATCTCAGGATCGAGCATAGTGAACTGCAAAACCATGCTGCTCATGCTCGCAGCCGGATAAATGCCAAGCTTGCAGAAGTTGAAGCTGAGTGGCCAAGCCCTAAGAAGATGACTGGAAATTTTGTAAGAGACTTCCCAGAAGAATTCGAGACATCTTGGACCGTTGATCAAAGCAACCCTGGAAGCTTAACCCCCAAAAAGAAGTCGAACAATTCGAATTTCGAACAAGAAATTGAGAACAATGTGCAGAGAGATGAGGTTGCCTATGTTTCCAGAATGGCGCCCAATGAGACGTCTTTGAACAGCTCAGGTGCCGTGAAGATTGAGCCATCCCTGGATCGAACTAATGTCTGTCAAGTCGACAAGGGGACTAGCAAGCTCGACATCCATGAGGCCAACGTAATTGGAGCGCCGGAAAGTAGCTCAAGAGAGGAGCAGCAACACGACAAGAAGACCAAGAAGGAGAGTGATCGAAAACTCATCCAGGAAGTCCGCAAGATATACGAGGATACATACGGCACGATCGATAGCAGACATCAACAAACTGGGGTGTCCAATGGTACTGAGGAAGCTATAGCTATCGAACCAACCGCAGAGACTGCCGAACCCACATTGTACAAGATCCTTGCATATGACCCAACTATGCAATCGATCAGCACGGCCGAAACGACTTCTATTGTGCCCGACTCGTCAGGAGCTTTGACGCCGGCTGAAGTTCTTCTCCGATTATCAAATCCGGCCAAGTTCTTCCCACACTTTCAGCCACTTCAGTCAGAGGGCTATGACATTGTGTCTGGAAGTGGCGATGTGCTTGTGTTCCGGAAAGTACGGTCAGGTGCACCCGTCAATACGATGATTGATCGTACTGGAAGGGGATGGACGGTACCTCTGAGAGGTTCGAGTTTCGAGCCGAAGCCAGTTGCATCAGAAAGGGCTCAAAGCTACAAGGCAACCAACCCTATTGATGGTATGCAAAGCAGTCCGGTTGCCGCAACTGGGAACTTTGCAAGTCCCACAGGCTTTGTCAACCACGATCTCCCTGGTGTATCCGATCCACCATTTAAGTCGAATATTGATGTCCGACGAGAGGAGCCGGTCTTCAGCGGCAAGCGGAATTGGGAAGACGAGAGTGAGGGTTCTCGGCGGAAGGAAGGAGGAAAGTTCAAGAAGGTTTTGATTGGCGGAGCTTGGGTTGCTGCTGCCTCCTATGCTGTGGGTGTTGTTGCTGAGTTCTTCAAGACTGGAGGTGCCGATGGTAAGGGACCTGAGGGTTTCTGAAGGTGTCCACGTTAGCAGGGCGTTCAAGTGGGGAGTTGGGGGCATCGAGCATGATGCATTATCAGGGTGAGGATTGTGTGAGTCTGCATACCGGCTGCAAGGAGATTAAGAGCACTTGTCGAGTTCCACGGTTCTTTGATGCTGAGCATTGGGCACCAAGTCAAGCTCCCAGCTTAGTGTGGAGGGCTTGTCGGTGGAGAGAAGATGCTTTTGATTTTTCATTGTGCCTACTCCTCTCTGGTGATACCATAGAGACAAATCCACTCATATTTCAAAAGACGTTGCTATCTACCTAGTGCGCAGCCTCGTCATCCGCCTCGTCCTTCCTCGTGACTTAGCGCCTCCTCGGGCCGAGTTGTTTTCTTATTGACGAGTGTGTGACGCACAATCTTTCTAATTCACAAAAATTCCTTTCCTCTTCCCATACAAACCATCTTCCCATCTTTCCAGACCCCAACGTTTGGCGTCTATGAGTCTGGTATTGTGCATAAGAATCGAGTCAAGAATCGAGTCAAGAATCAAGATCAAAAAGTAAGTAAACAGCCCCCCCTTTTCACAGACGAAGGCGGTCACGTCGCGTTTTGCCCCTCTCCCTCTCCCTCTCCCTACTTTGCCTTGCGCGTTCAATGGCGATCCTCCCTTCCTGTGGTCCTTGCTTGCACAGGTAAAGGCGAGCCCATCTTTTGCTGTTAAAAGCGAAAGCTTCTTCTGCGATTCCAGACGAGATCGTCGTTCTGGAGTCAAAGGCGAAGCTTCTTCCTAGGGTCCACTTTACCTGCCATGAAAGGCAACCCGCCCCCTCTCCCTCTTTCCCCGCACTTCCCCTTTCTTTAGTCAAAGCGAGTACGGACGAATGCGCTTTCTGCGATTACGGACGAGACTCTTTGCAGTTAAAGGCGATCCCTCGCTTTACGCTGAAGCCAAGACGAGATTGGGATTCCCGCATTGGTTTTGGAGTCAAGACCAATCCCCTTTAACACGAGTCGGGACGAAAACCCTTCCTACAATTCCGGACGAGACAGTCCGTGAAGTTAAAGGCGATCCCTGGTTTTACGCTGAAGTCAAGACGAGATCAGGATTCCCGCTTCGGTTTTGGATTTGAAGCAGTTTCACCTTTCTATTTGAGAGTCAAGGAGAGATTAAACAGTCCGGTTTTGCTAACATGGCGTTCTGGCAGACAAACAGAACAATGAACAGATCTCTGCTCTCTCTTCTCCTCAATGGAGAGAGCAGAGGTCTCCAAATCGATACTCGCTTTGCTCTGGAAGAGCTTTCTGGAAATTTTTGGGGTGTGGCCGCGAAATGGGGGGCGGGGGAGCATGGTTTTCATGTGCTTATTCTGCTTTATCCTCGGCTCCCCCTTGGCCTTCTATGACTTTTGCGGCTGCACCCAAATAACACGAGCGCAGCTCTGGTACGACCCTTTGATTCTTAATAGGAAAGATACTAATAACAAAGCCACCTCTAGTGTCTTTCTGCTTTCGTCCGGACAACTTCGTTTGCGTTTTTCCGGCTTTGCTCTTCGCGAAAGAAAAAGGGGGTGCAGCCCTGGGGTCCGCTCGGCAACTCCAACTCCGAAGGGGCTGCACCCAGACAACACAAACAGCACTCTCGTAAGTGGCCATTTGAACACTTGGTAATAGCAAAGGTACTGAAAAGTTCGTTATTCTAGCAGCTGTCTGCTTTCTCTTGGGCACAACCTCCTTTGAGGAGGAACATCCCAGGTTCAACTTTGGACAGAGGGGTCCGCCCTGCAGGCATACCGCAGGGTGGACCCAAAGAGTATGAACTCAGCTCTTGTAGGTCACCATCTGATCTCCTTTAATATAGCAAAACATTAACAACTTTGCTGTCCTAGTAGCTCTCCTCTTTTGCCGAAATCGAAGCACTGAAACATAAGGGGTCCTCTCCACCGGGCATTCCGTAGGGAGGGGACCCAAAGAGCATGAACTCAGCTCTTGTAAGTACCCGTCTGATCTCCTTGACAAGGCAAAAAGACTAACAACTTTGTTCTCCTAGCAGCTGTCTTCTTTCGCTTAGGCATTCTCGTTTGGTTTTTCTCGGCTCTTCTCTTCTCGGAAAAGGGGTGACCCACCGGACATTCTGCAGCGGTCACCCCAAAGAGGATGAGCTCAGCTCTTGTATGATCCGTCCGATCTCTTTGACAACGGCAAAAGCGCTGACAACATCAATTCTTTAGTAGCTGTTTGCTTCCATCCGGTCAGTTTTTGATTGCTTGTGGGCAGCCTTTTGGCGCGAGTTCCTTTGGACACTGGAGAAGGAACTTCGGATCCGTGGACATTCCGAGGACAACTCTACTTGGAATTTCTGGTCCAACGTCGTCGGCGTTTGTCACTTGTGTGCTCCAGATGTTCCAGCGCTTCTCTGGTTCCTCAAAAAGGGAAAGTATATCCCGTACGAGCACCCAGAGCAAGCCTCTGTGTGGGAGAAGGAGCAGAATCTCGCCCACCGCCAATGAAGGTTCTCTTCCAAACTGAATTGAGGGTTCTGGCAACATCACCTTTCAAGTCTCATAAATCCAGCAACTTTGACGCAACGAACAGAAGCCCGACTGCTCAGCAATAGTGGTCCTTCCACTGCGAGATGTCTTTCCGATTGATCTCCAATGATGGTCAAAAGAAAAGCTCGTCCTCAAGCTGTTGACACTGCTGAACAATCGCAACGACAAGCTCTCGGTTGCTACCTCCTGCGACTTTTACTTCCTCTAAATGACCAAGTTTGAACAACTTTCCGGCCTTGAGGGTTTGCTGGCAGTTCTCCAGCCGTGAAGATCAATGGAGACGACACCCAGTCACGAATTGGAGTCCGGCGGATCAAAGGAACTGCCAGAATGGCAACGCCCCAGGCCCGGCATGACAGAACGAGTCGCCGACTCAATCGACAGACCGGGGATCGTCCTTGGAAAGAAACCAACGGGTAACGGGGAATTATTCTGGAGAGGAGCCTTGAAAACTTTGCTGCTGGAGACCTTGCTTGGCAAGCGAAGAGATGATACCTACATCGGCTTCATTGTGCTCCTGGCCTTGCCCTGACCATTTCTGCTCCTCTGAAGAATCGGTGTCTACTTTGTGGAGTTTATACAATTTTGCTGGAATTCTCACCCTCTATGACGGTTTGTGCCAAGGAACTTAGACCGGAGCAAGCCATTCCCGAAGCATCTTCGACAAATTACAACTCGGAAGGAGTCTTTGGGTTTTGTGTTGCTCCTCCTTGATCAACACTGCTCCTGCTTCTGGCCCTTGACAGCAATTCATGGGAACAACTTTACATCCTTGGAGGCTCTCGGATGATCAGATCGGAGATCGTGAAGTTTTAGAAGTCATTGGATATTGAGTAGCCAAGACCGAGCAGGCAGAAAGTAATGATGAGCATACAAGGAATTGCTGAAATTCCAAACGCTCCTCGATCATAAAGGAGACTGAATCTTCCATGACCATTAAGGTGGATGAGAACGTCGACCCAGTACGCAATACTGAGGCCAGTATTACCTCCACTGCTCAAATCACGCCAACTCAAAGCACCTCACCTCCTTCCCAGCCAGCCATCATCAAAGCCGAATCAGCAGCTGCTCTCATAGGAGTCGAAGCTACACCCAGTCCGTCAAGGCGCTGGCCAAAAGCTGGATGTCCCAGTAGCAGAGCTGGGTTATCAAAACTGTAAGTTACGTCTTCCAACGACATGGGAGAGTAGCGGCGGTCCCAGTAGCAGATCTGGGTGATCAATAACTGTAGGTTGCGACTTCCAACGACATGGAAGGGTAGCGGCGGCTCGGGCTGCTCTCCCACGACAAGGGGGAGCAGTCAGAGAAAAGTGAGTCAGGCGACACATTTTATGCCGTCAAGGCATATCTTGAGTTGTATCATCCGAGGATCGTCTTCCTTGAAAACATCATGAACGCTCCTTGGACGGACGAAAAAGCCGCTGTGTGGAAAGGCAAGAAAAACCAGAAGAGCATTCGCTGGCACTTGGACAGGGCTGGTTATGAGTCCATCTACGACCCATTTTGAGCTGCATTCCCACACAACTCGACTCGTCGGAAGAGCTTTATACGAACGAAGGCACCCAGTCACGTACGGGGTTCTCACCATCTATGACGTCTTGTTCCAAGGAACTTAACTCAAGATGGATATAAGATGCTGGAAAGCTCAGTATCAACAAAGGCAGGGCTCCGGATGTTTACCTTCCCAACGACATGGGGGGATCATGGCCGTCCTAGTCGCAGTTCTTGACAATCAAAATCGAAGAGTTGCTCTCCCACGACAAGGGATAGCAGTCCGGCCGCGCTCCCAGCGACATGAGGGATGGTGTCGAGAAGGAAAATGGTATGTACTTCAGTGTGTACCCTCATTGATTGCAATGCTAACTTTTTCCAGCCATTGTATTGTGGGTCTGGTGCAATGGATAGTAGTGGAGGACGACAACAGACGAGACGGGTTGCAAGACTGAGGAGAGGCGTTCCCAAGCGCGCATGTACAGTACCTGGAAGGATCCGAGTAAGAGGAATAAGTCTGGGACGGGGAAGGGGAAGAACAAGTCGGGGGACATGAAGGTCTTGTTCGAATTGACCAACGTTTTCAACCCGTTGACCGTCTTCATCAACCAGCCGGCTGAGCATGTTCAATCTGTCAAACATGTGAAGGTTCGACTGCTCAGCTGTGGGTGTCCTTCCGATGGTGTGAATGGAGCCGGCTCGACTTTGAAACTTGAAAAAACGCCCAAACAACTTCTCATCTGACGTCAAATAGAAGATCGGAATTGAGCAGATGTGAATGGTGAGGTTGTGGTTATGATATTGCCGTCACCCACAATGACCTCTACTAGGGCGCTCGAGCTCTGACTGCAGAGGAGGTTTAGAGTGGCAAATACGTGATCTTCGACATCGTTCTGCCGACTCCTGGCTACGATCTGGCGGGGGTGAAAGAAGCGTGGGAAGCGTGGCAAGAAGATTGAGTCAAAAAGATGAGAATGAGGCCTTAAGGATTTCTATCTTGATCGGAGGAAGGAATAGACTTTCAGGAGCAAGCTTGCATTCATCGGTGATCCAGAGAACCACGAAGTTTGAGACCTGGGATGGCTTTCAATCCGTGTATAGTACAAGGAAACAGAGTAGTGACGTCCCAACATATGACGACTCTGCTTTCATCAGTAAAGATCGGTTCAAATATCCGTTACAGTCCACCCTTGCTGCATTCCCTTAGGTTGGGCCTCCCTGGGAATACTTGAGTTATCGATCTCCAGTCTCTAGATCTGAGAACTTCGTCCAAATCTATGAGCTTGCTGCTATGAATCTTGCCGTTGATTGTAACCCAACGCTGTTCCTTCTCCCAGCACATTGCACCAATTTTCTTTTGATAAAGACCTAGCAGTATTAGGTAGGGGTTTAGCACAAGTGCAGAAGAGAAGGCGATTATTGGAGGAACTTCTGTTTAATTCGCTCCATAAATGAGCAAGCTCAATGTCTAACTGAGCTGGATATATATGTACAGAGAAAGGAAGGGAATAATTCTATATACAAGAAAGCCACCGGTTCTAATATCAATCATGATCTATCCTAATCTGTGAGTCCTCTTTTCATGGGCCGAACTCCGCAGCAGCGAAGTGTCTGCCCGCAGTGGGGGCCACAAATCCAGACGCGAGTGTTCCTGTCGGCTTTGCAAAGCCAGTGCCATGTGGGAATCCAGTGCCATGTGGGAATCCAGTGCCGTGAGGGTGGTGGTGGCCAGTTGGGTGAGGGAACCCAGATCCCGTAGCCCCAGCCGCGAAGCCACCAGCGCGGTCAAACTTCTCCATCTCGGCACGCGCAACATCTCGTGCGTGACGACGGGCGACGGTGTTGCCGTCGTAGGAGGCTCCCTTGAACTTGTTGTAGAAGGAGGAGATCCAGGAGAGAAGATCGGAGAGTGTGGTTCCTGCTGGCGCAGTGACTGCGGCGCTGGAGGTGCTGGTTGAGTCTGCGGAATAGGAGGTAGGGATAGTGACGGGCGTAGCAAAGGGGAGCCCAGATGATGTAGGAACTGCTACGACCTCCGGTATGGTGACTGCCGTGGCAGCCGTCTTGGAGGATTTGGATTTGCAAGCGGACTTCTTGGTGCGGGTGCTGTTCAAGTATGGTGCGCCTGAGGACTGAATGCCTACCAGTCCACCTGAGGCAGAGGCTACAGAAGCAACATAGGTGATTTGAGCAGTAGGTGAAGAGGTGACCTTGTTGGGTGCGCTGGAAGCGGCTGAGGCACCTCCTGTGGTGATGGAAGCGACACCAGTGATTGCCTCTCCGCCCGTTTGACTTGCACTGATAGCGCCGCTGTACAGAGTTGGGCCAGGAACGACATAGGTCGACAAAGAGGTGTAGATGTTGATCTCGATTCCTGGGTCGGTCTCAACGTAAAGTGCCGTGCCCAAAACTCCAGATGGTGTTGCTGTTCCAGAGCCAGTAACTTCCAGGTTCACGCACTGTGGATAGTTCTGGGCTCCATCAACGGTGCCGGCTGAGTGCAGGGCGATGATCTCGTGGCGGAGAACGTAGTTGCCCGGAGCAATATCGGAAGGAATCGTGACAGTCCAGGAATTGTTGTTCGCAATCAGGGTATCTGACGCCCAGGTGCCAGGAATTGTTGTATCATCGATGAGCCCCACTCCATCAATCTTGAAGAACTCCAGTGTAGACTTGTCAACGGTCTTGCAGTCTCCATTGCAGTTGGCGAGGTAGTCTAAGTAAGTTAGTGAGAACACACAAGGTCTACATGAAGTAGAATACCTACCAATGACTGGGCCATGATGAGAGCTCGGCCAAGCTGTCCACTGAAGCTCAACTTGTCCGCCTGCTGCAACTGTCGCTGATGTTTGAGCATTTGTGGCACCCAGATGACAGATGATATCGGAGGTGGTGTAAGCATCTGGGGCAATGAAACCGTTGTTCAGATCCTTGGGGATCGACCAGCCTACGACTACTGGCTGGGTTTGCAAATATTGGAAGCTTGCATGGTAGCCCTCGTAGCTGCGAGAACGGTTAGCCTTCGGGTTCAATCCAGGATAATGGTGACATGCTAGACACCATCTGCGACGATTCCAGTGACCGTGCCGTGAGCAGCGACTTGTGATACAAGAGCAATTGCTCCAGTAAGGGCGGTGATGGTAGAGAAAGACATGTTAGAAAGTAGCTTCGAAAATCTGCGCGCAGCGTGATGGTGATGAGTTCGGGCTTGGTAAGTATATCGGCCGGCTTCAATCTATGAAGAGGATATTCAAGCAGTGAAAAGAATGGAGATGTTGACGACGAGAAACTTCCCGAGCTTTTCCAACACTCTTATATGCAACGTATAAGATGAGCACCAGTACCAAGGAGGACATGCCCACTCTAACTATCTGCTCCCGAAATAGGTTCTTCCTCTGGCCCACCAGTACAGTTTTTCTTTGGGGCCTGGGTCTAGCCCGCAACTCACAGTTGGGTTGAGTCAAGAAAATGAGGCGGGAAACCGTGCGACATCGAGTCAAGTTCGGCTGCCACTCCTCCCAGGCAGTGGCATGCTGAAGAAACATGGTTTCCTTGCCGCCAGGCATGGTGATCTTAGCGGATGTATGATAAAGATTAGATAGGACGTTGGTAGTTGTTTGAAGATGCTCAGAAAATTCCAGGTCCAACATATCTGCGCGTGGTGACCCCTTCTCTACCAGCGTTTCAAACACAATTGTGGAGCTCACCCCTGAGCTGAACGAGAAACCATTATGCAGCCCACAATTTTCCATCTGGTGTCTGGACATCGGAACAATTTTGTTTGAAACAAGCTGACGACTGGAAGATGGAGGATCACAGCAGCGGTGATCAGTTGTCTTCCGAGCATGATGCTCGGAGCAAGGTGCAAGCTGTGATGAAGGAGACGAATGAGGTGGCTGGATAGACGGATGGTGTGGAGATGACCAACACGAACTTCATGGTCCGACCGTAGATCCACAGTATTTTGTGTGACATTGAACATATGGAGAGGAAAGAAGAGAAGAGAGGGGGAACTGGATGGATTGTCGTTACCTCCTACACTGGGTTACTCCAGGGGACCGAGCGTAATTGCGCGATTCCACCGGAAGCGATTGCACTAGGGCCAAAAATACGTGCGGCGGTAATCCTCAGGCATTAAATCACGCAAACTAGGCTCCTTTTAGGATAGCTAATATAAAACCGAATATGCAACCAAAAAACAAAGCCATATATAACCCCCCCAAAAACCGGCTTTTATATAATATATATAATACTTAAAAGATTAATATTACTACCGGAATTAAGCTATTAAAAGTTTACTAATCTCTTACGCCTTTCTTTGCCTTGGAAGCTCTTTACTCTCAAAGAAATTAGCTTACTACCTTCGGTTAGCTCGTCGGGGGCCGGCGGGAGTGGCATATCAAGCTACTTCACTACCATAATATCGTTAAAATTAGTATTCAAATTAGTCGAATTAATATGCAAATAATTATACTTTGAATAGACCTCAGATATTAAAAACCATGAATTTTCATATTAATTGCAGCAAAATGGGACAATTTTTGGCGGTAGATAGAAAATACCGTCGTCCAAATTCGCTTATCAATCGGTGAAGCCCTGTAGACCCTAAAAGTTACGCTCGGTCCCCTGGAGTAACCCAGTGCAGGAGTTAAAGTAGGAAAACATTCCGCCAATCGGGGACATGGAGAGGCCCAAGATCGACCATTCATTCTTGTGAACTCCTTTCTTCTAATATCGTTTCAACGTCCAGTCCAGACGAGGCATACTTTTGAGCTTATATGCGAAGATACATAAGACGTACGTCGTGATCTGCCATCTCGGCGTCATGCTCGAAGCATTGTATTTGTTTCAAAAACACCAATTGGCCCGATTCACCGTCTCTCACGCTTATTGAAGCTTCCCCAGCCCTCATATGTATGCGCAATACATTTATCACTCCTGTAGCTATCTCAAAATTGAATCACATTGCCTCAAGATCACAATACATCCAAGTCTCACGGCCTCCCTCTACTCGATAGAACTTACCTAAACAACGATATTTTCCGATAATAAATAAGACTTACTTGTGTACCCAGTTCAAAGAGGTTGCTGCTGACGCTACCTCCACTCTCAGGAAAGTACAAGCAAGCGCAGGTGCGACTATCTTTCGGGGAGAGCCCTATTCCCGTATACCTTTATTCGAAGTCGAAGTCAAGAAGTGTAAAGGTAGTGAACGTGAAAGTCCAAGCACATGCTAACCCTTTCGTCAACAGCAGCGGTCACTTCTTCGCTTCCATCTTTTTCTTGAACGTTTTGCAGACTGATTTAGTAAGTCATTCCATGTTTAGTATTATGCTTGTTGCTGCCATTCGCTGTTCTCAAATTCAAGAGGTTCTGAGAACAGACGAGTCTAAAAATGCTCTCAAATGGAAGCAGCGAAGACTTGGAGTTCCTGACTATTTACGAATGATGACTGTTGGTGATGTGGGGAGATCATTTATCTCAAGTGTTGGATAGTATCAATGAGAGAGGGATCGACATTGTACTAGAAGGACACGGGACACTGGAACATAGGCTTGGGATGGAGTTCTAGCATTGATAAAGAGCCTACGGGAAAGATGAGGTCAAATAGAGAGAAATCCAAGCAGAATGAGAAGAGAATCATGCTCAATATGTACTATTGCAGACTCTGAGCTCCCAAACCGCTTGCACAATGAGATGAATCATTAGTCTCATAACCAGTCGTGCAATTTTGGTTCGTGATGCCGTGTATGCTCTTACGCCATATCCAAATCACCAACCAGTCCACCTAACGCCGAAACCAAGCATAAATGCCACTGCCATCATGTGTTTTCATTTTCGGTGGGATTTCCCTCATCGGCATCATCGCTTCGTAGTCCCCATTCGAGATCAGTCAACCCCTTCCCTTCAAATACGTCTCGTACCCGGTCCACCCTCCGTGAACCCCGTGCCTTGTCCCTTCTCGCACTCACCCATCTCTACCTGGTAGGCCTTCCGCTTCAAGTCTTCCTGATTCCAGCTCTGCACCCTGTTCATCTTCGGTTTCCAGCTCTCGGTCGGGCTTGGAAGGATCTCGCCTTGGCTGTTTCTTCTGCCATCTGGGATATGGATCTGTTCTGCGGTGTTTGCGTGCGCTTGGGCATCGGCGTAGTTGGTAGAGGTAGGATGGAACGGGACGCCTGCTTTTGTGGTTGAAGGAGCATTCGGTGAGCCAGCGGCTGTCTGTTTGACTGTTTCTGTTGCCATCGCTCTTGTCTAGTACAGAAAAGTTCTTGAGGTTTGTTGTTGTTCTGTGATCGCTGTAAGTGGAAGTCGGTGAACTACTTCAATACTACAACATCACGCCATGTTCAATCTGATAAACTTAACGGAAAGTTGAAAGTTAATCAGCCTTACCTTGATAATCTGAATCAAGTCCTGTGCTTCTATGCCAAACGCAACCTTCCAATTCAGGGTCGGCTTTCCTTATGTGCTTTCCAGGAGCCGCAATACCCCTCTTTTACAGGGCGCTGGATCGCGTTGCGAGCCTGACACCGTCACACGGGATTGACTAAAAGTACCCTCTGGAACGTGATTCAATTCGTGCTGATAAAATTGGTTGAGAGGATGAGCAAGGAGATTTCACATGATAGTTGCGTAGAATGGGATGATCGTGGATTGACATCTGATTTTCTATGTCAGGGAGGCGAGGGGCAAGTGCTTTGTTGGACGCCCAAGGTGACCGGACTCAGATTTCAGGGGTCCGCTTAACTGCGGGGAAGCTTTGGTGGGGTATTTATTTTGCAAGGGGGTGATAAATGCAGCACATCGAATTTCTTCTTGGTATTGCACACAAAGTAATAATTCGAGAAGGCACGAGAGCAGAAGAGAGGGGGATCTAGTTGATGGCAGAGAGTTCTTTTTCAGATCCTATCCTGTTCACTACTAAACAACGCCATCCCCAAGCTATTTGAGCTTCATCAAGCTTCAAGCTTGAACGCGATGACAACGAATCCACCAGGCGCGAAAGGAAAGGAAACTAAACATCATACGCCTCGCTATGCAATGGGTATGACTGAGTATGGACAACAGAATGTGTGGTGTGGTATCAAGGCCGTATACAAGGGGCTACCGTAAAGCAGTTGCGGCATCAGGCGTTGTGCTCATTATGGGGTTTTGGGTTTCTTCCAGTAGTATTGCTGATATCAGGTTAGTATGGCAAATGCTAATGATATGGTATTTTTGGGTTACGTACCTTGTGTTGCTTTCTGCAGTTTCGGAGACTCGGCTTTCGGAGTCCATCAACGACAGCAGCTCTTCGCTCCGCGTCATCATCCTTTTCCGGCACGTAGTAGAACTCACTCTCAAGTGGTTTGCCTGCTGCGTCCTTTCCCTCACGATGAATCTCGCCAATACAAGCGGTAGCGTTTAGTAACTTTCTCAACTCGTCATTCGTCATTCCTTTGTTTTCTTGCACTGTAGGACTGCCACCTTTGAGATCTGCCGGGAGATGGTTCATGATGACTGAAAGAGGTGTGGACGAGAGGCGTGAGAAGGCAAGCTGATTGACGACATGATTGACAATCGGGACAGGGTCGGCCTGACTTGTGGACTCGGAGCTAGCTCTACGGTTGGGAGAAGCAGCATGTTCGTATTGTGCACGGGGAACCTCTGGTGAGCCACCGTGGGTGAACGAAGCCATGCGGGAGGAGATGTTAGCACCGAACGGGCCGAAAGAATGGACAATGGGGTCGTTCTCTTCATCCGGATCCTCCTCTGCCTCGCTAAGATCACTGGACTGACTCTCGACAGGCGCAGGGAACGATGTCGCCGCTTGTGTCGAAACCATCGACTCCCCTACAGCGATTTCATTTTCATTACCCTCTGGAGATGGTGCATCCTCATACACCTTGACAACAGCAGGCTCTGCATCATCAGAGAAGAGTTTGGTCAGATCAGCCACAGACTTTCCGGGCCCTGCCGGAGTTGGGGAGACTGGAGACGTAATGCGAGTTGAATGGCGACGCAACGGGCTTGACTCCATCACTTGCTTACGAGCACTGATAACAGCAGCTATACGACGACTTGGCGAGTTTTCATCGTCCCAAGAAGAATCTGTCTGCTCTCCAACCGAATCCTTCCGATCTCTGGACGGCCATTTGATCAAGACCCGAGCATCTTGCACATCCAACATAACCTCAGCAAATTCAGTCTCCGATGTGAACGTGTCCTCCTTCGCCAACTCCCATGTCCGACCTTGACTATGCAGCTTCACGCCATTCCAGCCTTTGCACTTAATCTCCACCTTGTTGGGTTCGAGAGGAACAGTCGCGGCAATATACCGAGCTTCGACATGAACACGAGATATAAGACGGTTGGCAGATAATTGGTAGTGTGAAGAATTGCTCGATCTACCCATGCGAAGTATTTCACCATTCTCGGGAAGGATAATTGAGGGTACGGCTGAGAGAGGAGCGCGCTCTGAGACCGAGGATTGAGTTCTTTGCAACCCAGGTCTCGTAGTGATTTGCGGCGGTGAAGAGGAGAGAATACCTGTCGTAGAGGTCGGGATTGGTGTGGGGTACTTTTGGTAAGCATTTTCGCGTTCGGACGGGGAAGATCGAGCTTGTCTCTTCTGTGGCCGGGGAAAACCTGGGGAGGACGAGTGTGGCTCGAACGCGGGCAGCAGAGTCGGTGCTGGACGCTTTACACCTGCAGTCGATGGAAGACTTGGCTGGGCATTGATCTTGCTTGGAGTGGAGTCCATCATGGCAGACATCTACCAAAGGTTTTGTGTAGCAGAGGAAGACTTTTCAACGTGATATCAGACCGCGCCTGGACGCGACTGACACCACGGTTGATATTGGAGGAATTGTCTGCCGTAGAAGGAATTATGAAAAGCAGAAATCACGAAGAAGTACGGGCGTGACGAAGAAAAGTGGGAGGAAGTTGACTTTTGAAGGTCACGAACACGGTCGACTTTTGGCAGATCAGGAAGATTGGGTCTCTTGCTAGGAACGCGAGAGACGAAGACTAGCGCGTTCAAGATTCGCTTGGGATATGAAATGTCCGACCAGTCGTGCATGTTCATGAGACTCCTTTGCATTTTCTGGGCATTAATTATGCAGAAAAATCAGAACTTTATCTATTTCTCTTTACTATTTTCAAATTTCTTCCATAAAAATTTTAATTCCTCAGTTTCTGTAGAACTTCTTGGTAGTTCTCATCCCATGTCAACTTTCTACGGGAGCCTTTTCTGCCCGAAGGTACAAGGATATGACGTGCATATCAAAGAAGAACCTTTTGACAACTGAGAGAATTTCACATTAAAACCTTCTTATGAAATCTGACTTTCGACGTGTTGGCAAAGTATAGCCCGTGTATTCTTCAAATCCCAAGTCAGCATCAATTGCGTTTTGATTGCTCAGTCGCGTGCCTCGGCCGCTGACCCTCGGCCTTTATCCCAGCCTCCTCATCGCGCTGCGCACGCTAGAGACGTGAAGCATACAGGATCCTACGCGCCGATGAGACAAATCGGGTCTCGTACAGCAGCGGATTGTTCAGTCCTCGGCTCATTGATTTTCACTGGCCCACTCAGCAAGCAGGAACTATCTAGTTCTTTCCGTAAAATGGGACCTCTTCCGCAGAAATTAGTAAGATCCTGCATTCTACATGTAAGTGAAAGCGGTGTGACAGAAAGTGAAGCATAACCGTGTTCTCGGCTTTGGACTTACGCATTACGTGTTAGTTCATTGTTCAGGAAGTCCAATTTAATTAGGAAAGCCAATCGATTCCATTTTCTAGCCTCATATTAAAAAGTAGAGAGTGAAGTTTGAATTTGTGAGCCAGCCTTGTCGTGACATCTAGACCTTTGAAATGCTAGAACTAAAACGGGTAAGGCGCAATGTCGGAACTTTGTGGAAAGGTTGCCGACCTCCCAAAAAATCTCGATATCGAAAACTATTTTGCGGGACAATCGAGAAGACCAACTGCGATTGCAATCCATGTAACAACGTCGTACTCAAAATCCTCCTTAGATTTATGATTGCGTAATTGGGTTTCTCAATCCTAAAATTGCCATCATGTCACCGACTTCAACTGCGTTGACTGTGAGGGTGGAGAATGGTTCGCCTTATCAGCTCAACCACGAGCAGGTATGTGCACTCACACAAATCAAGCTGTAATACTCACAATTTTGCAGACCCTCAAAGCCTCGCAAGCTCTTCTAAAGCACATCAAATCTTCCGAGAAAGAAAAAACAAAGGCGACCGGGAAAAAGAGTCTAATCAAGGACGACGACGACTCCGAAGGAGACGAAGACTCAACCTCTCCACCAATCTGGCTCGTCCTCACAACCAAAAAGCACATCGTCGATCAAAAACGCCTCAAGCCCTCCAAGATCCCTCTCCCACACCCGCTCAACTCCTCAGCCAACACCACAATCTGCCTCATAACCGCCGACCCGCAACGAATTTACAAAGACCTCGTCGCCTCCCCCGCCTTCCCTGCCGCTCTCTCGAAAAGAATCAGCAAGGTCGTCGGAGTCAAAAAGATTCAGAATAAATGGACGCAGTATGAGGCACAGCGCAAGCTGTATGCGGAACATGATATCTTCCTTGCTGATGACAGGATCGTGACTCGGTTACCGCAGTTACTGGGAAAGACGTTCTATGGAAATACTATAAAGCGACCGATTCCTGTTTCTATTCAACCCGCACTTGCTAATGCGGAGGGGAAGAGGATTACTAGAACGGAGGGGGAAAAGGGGGAGACCAGAGGAGCAGCCCAGCCGAAAACTATTGCTGCTGCGATTGAGAAGGCAATTCAGTGCACTTACGTACACCTTTCGCCGTCTACGCAGACCTCGATTAGAGTAGGATATTCGAACTGGAGTGCGGAGAAGCTGGCGGAGAATATTGAGGCTGTGGTTGAGGTACTTGTGGAGAAGTTTGTGCCGAAGAAGTGGAGAGGGGTTAAAGCGTTTCATGTAAAGGGTGCAGAGACGGCAGCGCTGCCCATTTGGTTGGCAAGTGAGATGTGGGTTGATGAGGGAGATGTGCTAGGAGAGGAGGAGGTGAAAACGATTGAGGAGGCGAAGGTCAGCAAGAAGAGGAAAGGAAGAGCGCTTGTGAACGGGGAAGTCGAGGGCGAGAAGGGCAAAAAGCAGAAATTGTTGGAGAGCAACGATGATAAGTTGGATGAAGAGATCAAGGCTAGAAAGGAGAAGCTACGATTGCAGAAGTTGGAGGCGATGGTGGATGAAGATGCCGACAGCTTCATTCCCAAGGCTTCGAAAAAGAGCAAAAAGCCGAAGGAGATTGCGGTGTGAAGTACTTGGTTTATGAGATATGTTGCTTGGCGTCTAAGGAGTATGGACTGGTAAAATGGTTCGTGGTTACTGAGGTGCTACTTTCAAAATCGTAGTGTTATTGTACATCCTGGATGAGCATGCAAATGACTACTCTAGAATCTGAATGTGAAATACTTTAAATACAAGAGGTATGAAGCTTCATGACAAAAGAGCAAAAATAATCGATTCCGTTGTTCTCATAACTCCAAGTGGCGTACAACATAATCATATCCTACAAGTCCTCCTTGCTTTGCTCACTTCCCCCAAGTTTCCTACCGTATGGTCCGTAGTTGTCTGAAAAGACCTTCTTCAACAAGTTGTCACTCAAACTCATATGTCCTCCCGCCGTCATCTCAAACTTCAACGCACCCTTCTTATCCAGCGTCTTCAACCCAAGCCAGTCTTCTTTATAAATCGCCCTATCCCTCAACAGCGTCACATCCGTACCGTTGACCTCTGCAAACCAGCTGGTCTCCTTCGGTATAACCGTCTCATCGTCCTCGAACACATACATCACGAACCTCTCCAGCTTCTCCAAGTTTTCCTTGTAAGTTTGATTCTTGACTTCTCGTTCATTGTTGATATCTGCTAAGAAGTTCGAAAACTCAAGATATTGTTCGTATTGATTTGGATCGCGGAAGTACTGTGCAGGAACCAAGCGCGATTGGACGAAAGCAGACCAAGTGCTGGACCGCAGAAGGCCTTGAGCTCCGCGGCAGAGGAAGTCGGTACTGCCACATTTCTGGAATTCTGAGATACCGTTGTGCTGACTTCCGAATGTTACAAGGCTTCGAACCGGTGGGAAGTTGCACCTTTCAATATACCCTCTGAGAAATTGTCCGCCTTGAGAGAATCCCAAAGCATCAACTGCTGGTGCTGTTGATAAGATTGGATGGGCTGTTAGGTCGGCGCAGACTTTCTCGATTTGAAGGGTTAGGTTGCCAAAGAATGTGGCAGAGCGGTCTGCTGAAGCGTCGTCATCGATGCGGATTATGTAGGTTAGAGTTCCCGGATTTACATCCTCTGCGAGTGAAGCGATCTCTGCGAGGCCGTCTGCTGCGTAGTTATCACCCAGGCCGTGCCATATTATCAGAGGGAGAGGTGTGTCGTTGTCATCGTCGTCTGAGAGGGGAAGTTGTTTATGTTTTATTGGGAGAATCGAGGAGCTGATGAGGGGTAACGTTGCGAGGATGGAGAGAACTGTGGTGAGTTTGGCCATCGTGGCGAAGTATCTTGGGAAAAGGGTGACAATCAGATGATAGCGGGGACTTTTCCGGACGATGATGATAAGGAGATATCGTATTGGTGAGTTGTGCTGATGGAAATGGACAAGGCTGGCAGGGATGAAACTTGGGGTTGCTTGGATCACGTGATTTTGGCACTAAGGTGTGGAGCTAAAACAAAAGCTTATCGATACGACATGGGATCTCAAATCTCAATCGAGCGCTCATTGGCTTGTCGGCGAAAGTAACCACCGGCGCCGCCGCCAACCTTGCATTGCACGATGGATGTAGAGTCGTCCAAAATTGTCATCTCCCAACCACAAGAAGAAGAAGAAAAAGAAGAGAAGAACCAGCGTTTCCAGGAAAAGAGGGCAAGACTGAGACGAGAGTACGAACAAGAGAGAGCCCAGAAGGACCCCCTCGAACCTTTTTACATCAAGAAAGCTCAGGAAGAGAGGGTGAGAGCCTATCACCAGAAGCTCAGAGCATACTACCAACGCAAAATCGCGGACCTGGAACGAGAAGGGGATAACCCTGAGACCTACACTCCTAAACCTCGCACCGACAAAGAAATTTCTGGCTTCATCTGGGGTTCAGACGGGGAATGATGGCTCCAGCTCAGTCTCAACCAGCCTCTGGGCAAGCCAACGAGCCTCTAAACACGAGCAATGGTCCCGCAAGTCTTGTTGGCCCTACTCCATCCTTCATCTATGTCGCCAAGCGGTTTGTATTCCAACAGCAGATCCAGACCCACATGATAGCTATTGGCAACAATCCAACTCGCGAGGACAACTTCAGACTACATGGTGTTCAATGGATCAATGATGTTAGAAAGGCTTTGTCACTGTATGTTTTGTCCCAGCCATGTCAAAGTTTTGTGCTGATCTTTTGATAGACCTGTTAGCACCTTCACCGTCGCAACTATACACTACCATAAATTTCGTCTCACCCACAAAGATACTGAATACCAATTTCAAGACGCCTCGGCTGCTGCTCTACTCACTGCTTGCAAGATCGAGGATACATTGAAGAAGTCAAAGGATATTTTGTGCGCTGCTCATAACATCAAAGTTCCTGGTGCCGATCATCTCAGTCCGGATGATATTGTGAGTTTACCACATATCGGTGAAGAATGTAGCTAAGTGCTGTGTAGACCTTTGAGGGCCAATCTAAGGCTATCATTGGATTGGAGCGCCTCGTCCTTGAAGCTTCAGGTTTTGACTTCCGATCCTTTCACCCACACGAAACCCTCGTCAAGCTCCTCAAGTCATCTGGATTCAGCACAGAAGTCAGTACAATGGCTTATGATATGATGATCGATCTGCACAAAACCTTCGCTCCTCTCAAGCAGGTTACTACTACTATGGCCTTCGCGTGCACTGAACTTGCTACCTTGGTTACCGAAAGTGCAGATGATCAAGATATCATGAAGAGTCTCATCAAGGATTATGAAAAGTGGTCCACTAGCAGAGCTGAGGTTGTTGAAACCGTACTCGACCTTCTCGACCTCTACACCCATTTTCAAAAAACGTCGGAAGTTGGTCCAAAGTACAATATCGAGTTGTTCATTCAAATCCGGATAAAGTTCAATCAGGAGGTTGAGCAAACTCCGGGTCTGAGCAGATACACACACCAAGTTGAGCACCAGAAGACCAACGGCTTCAAGACGAACGTCAAGACTCCCAAGACCCCGATTACCCCTGCCAGCCCTTCTGATGTCCGTGCCAATGGTGCATCTCCTGCCACTCTGAGTCCTAGATCTTCTGATTCGCGTCGCCCTGGCCCTCGCCCTGGACAAGATGGCACTGCTCGATTCATGCTCGATCCGGACCAAGCCAGGAAGGAGCGTGCAGTCGTCAACGAGTACCACCGAATTGAGTACGAAGAATACGAGGTCGAGGTCGAGGAGCCTATCCAGCCAGAGCGCGCTCCTCAAAATCATCACCGCCCAGGCGGGCCTGGAAGCAGAGAGGATAGATATCACCCAAGCAAGCGTGGCAGACGTCTCTAAACGGCCTGAACAGAGTGCACATATTTTCTTTCTTACTCAAAAAGCAGGAATGTGTGTTACGGTGCATACGAGGTGTTGGCGGACATTTCTGCTTTTTCCAGGCGCTGAGGAATGCATATATGCATGAGCATACTGGAGTTATGGGCTTTAAGTCAGGATGATACCACAACGAAGCAATGAAGTACTTTGATTCAATCAAATTCTCTCCTATCGTAACCTATACTTACAGCTTCATTCCTGGGGCTCGATTCTACTTTATCTATTGATCCCCTCCATTTCTGCCCCCTCCTTGCTTTCAATCAGCCCGCCAACACTCCACCTGTCTGCCGTCGTCGAAATATTGACAGCCTTGTCCAGACGGAACTTGATTTTGTTCTGCAGCTCGATTTCAGAATCCCTGCAGGGTGGAGCTGCCTCTCGCATGTGATGGTCCCTCGGAATGGACGCCAGCCACCCGCGATGACGATGTTCCCTTGAAAGGAAACTAAAACGAGAAGTCAAAAACGCAATGTGGCTTTTCAACGCCGAATCAAGGCAGACGGCTGAGCACTACACTAGAATAATTGAACATTTGCGCTGTCTTCGATTGAATTTCGAATTTCCCTTCCTCATACTGAATCCTCAAATCCGCAAACGTGCTTGCAAAAATTTGTGAGTATGAATCCCACGCCGCTACCAGCAGTCAGCTTGGGTCGCTTGTGACGTTGTTGGCCAGCCTTCTGATTTTCCTGCAGAGCTCACCACGCCAACTTTCTTTTCCACACGACACCTTTCCATAACGCAAAAGAAGACCAGACCGCGAAGCGACTGCGATAGACAATCGATTATCCTCTCTCGCTAGCAGACCTCGAGTTTAGCAGCATCAACAATGGCGCCTCTCCCTTCGGCCAACCAGCCGCTTCAGCAAAGACTCCTGCAGCTTGCGCAGACTCTACAATGTGAGTACCCGTCTGAGGACTGTGGTGGATGCTTATACTAATGCTCTTTCTAGTCGCTTGGTTTGTCGGGTATGTGCTTCTCCCTCCTCGTCCTCGATCTACAATGTGGAGCTTTGGCAATGTGTGCTTTGAGCTCATCCCGGCTTCGGGGTTGAGCTTCTAGTTCCTTACCGCGTATCATGTTATGAAGGGTTCATGCAGCATTGCTAATGACTGCTGACAGACACTTGTCGCTCCTGTTTTGCATCTTCCGATATTCCTTGTCGTATATCACACTCAACTACTACTCGCGATGGGCCCAGTTCTCCTACCGTACTGCCTTTATCTCCGCAGCGGTGACATACGGAATTGTGGTCTACAAGGCGTTCCGTGCTCGTTCAAGAGCTGGTAGCAAGGCTCAAGGAGGTGTTCTTGCTCTTGCCGCTGATGAAAATGTTCAATACTTGGGTCAGTCTACTCATCTTGCTTGTCTGGCATAAGCTGTAGCTAACACTCTCACAGCTATGGCCCTCGTCTGGCTCTTCTCCCCTCAGTACCCTCTTGCCATGCTCCCCTTCGGTATCTACTCCATCTTCCACGTCGCTACCTACACGCGCACAAACCTGATCCCCACCATCCAACCTCCCGTTGCCCAGGCGCCAGTTGCCGGCGCGTCTCCCTCCGCCAAGCCGCAATACAAGCCCAACGCACTCGCTGAGACCATCGGCAAGTTCGTCAAGGAATACTATGACGCCTCCATGGGTCTTGTTGCCGTCCTCGAAATCCTCCTGTGGGGCCGCCTCTTCCTCTCCGCAATCATGTTCGCCAAAGGCTCCTGGATCCTGATCGCAATCTACACGGCCTTCCTCCGTTCACGATACGCTCAATCTGCTTTCGTTCAAGGACAATTCAGACAGCTTGAGGCTAGAATCGACAGTCTCGTTGGTGCTGAGTCTACGCCTCCTGCAGCTAGAAATGTATGGGGTGGTATCAAGACGGGTGCGCGGTCATTCCACGATGCTACTGATGTTGGGAGGTATGTCGGTGGTGCGCCGGCTCAGAAGAAGGCTTCTTAAATTCCCTCTACAACCGGTCTCGAAAATTATCAGAGAATGGGATGGGGTGGCCTGCTTGTGTTGAAGCACGGCAGATATGGCACAGAAGAGCAATATATGGAGGAGAAGTAGAATACGTAGTATGGACTGAGAGAGAATGAGTGGTGTTCCCTTTGATGATGCATCATACAATCATAGCGTTCTGGTCTGGTCTGGTTTTTCTTCCGGTTATACGCGTGAGGATGTGAGATATGTGGTGAGGGGTGGAGGGTGTGTACTCGTAGTTAGGGGAGATCAGTGGTTTCCGCAGCTTTTCTTTGGCTGCTTGCGTATTGTTTGTGTCTGTATTTGGTAAATGAAATAAATGGAATGGTATAGGAAGTATGGAGCTAGGCTCTACTTTTGCTTGTGGTATGTATTTGAGTCCAACTTACCTGCCGTTTTGCACTGCCATAGTTTTTTGTTCTGGAAGCAGAGACTGACCAGCCGACTTATTTACGATGCCCCAAGTCTATTGGAAGCTTTTGTGGCTTTAAGATTACCGTTGACTTGAAAGCTGATTTTCAAACATCACGAGGACCTCGAAGCTTCCATTCCAATCGATTTCGACCTCGCTGCTTCAAGCTTTTGCCTCTTCGACTCTACACCTTTTCCGGAGAACCCTTGAAATCAACATCACCATTGCCGATACCGAACGTATCGAGCAGGTTTTGGTCTCACTTCCACTGCTGTGCTACGTCTCAGAATATCCAACACTTGGAGTTTGGCTTCCTTCCATCTTGCTCCATCAACGGCGGCCGCCTTCCACTCTCATCAACTTTGGAAGGGTCGTTCCTGTTCGCCAATCTCGAGGGTCTTTTGAAGGAGAATCGGGCTTTGAACCTTGGGCATTAGCACGTGATAGAAGGTTTGCCAAGGTCATGGCCGGCTTCCTTCCGTCTCAACTTTGTCAACAGCCTACATCTTGAGCTAACAACAAGTTGAGCGGTCCTTCCCATTGTCATCTTTCGAGGATCTCCGAATCCAAGTTCGACACAATCTTCCACCCTTCCCTCGTACATTGTGCTTTGGCGTTCGACAGATCATCCTTCCTTCAGCCTCCGCCGGACATGAGAGTGATCTTTCAGCTTTCAACTTTCATCCTTGTCTTCAAAGACACTCTTGCTCATCTTCGAAGTCTCAACAACCATCTTTCTTTTTGGCAACGGCGTCAATAAGCACGCTTATTCAGTCACATTCAAAATGGCTCTACATAGCCTTGCTACGAGTCTTCACTCGGACCTTCTGGCAAAACATGTAATTCACTTCCAATGATGTTATGGATGCTAATGATTGGCATAGACTGGTGGAATCAAACATGATTCAGACCCGATGTGTTACCAAGGGAGATAGGGATGAATCCACTTTACACCGAGCCATTACTGTTTCCCCAACTTTGGCATGTGCTCTTTCCTCACGCCTGAGAGATATTTCTGTTCTCAAAGCGCCACGCGACGTGTATTTACTGCCGACGAAGCTTTAGGCGAGCCCGTTGAAGTCTTCGAGAGCCGTCTTACCGATAGCAACTTCAACGGAATCATACCATGCTTTGTCAAATGGCTTTACGGCTTTAGTCTTGATAATGGTGAGTGGACTGTTGATCGTTGGTATCTTGATAACAAGCTTGGATCCCTCAGGCTTCAGAACGCTCTACGGTGTCTCTGCGAGAGACTAGACGACTACAAAGGTGACATTAATTCCGCAATCTCTGTGTTGGCTAGATGCTACATAGTAGAACGGGCTTAGGACTAAGTAGACTCTACGAATGACCTTGACAAAGGTTTCGATATCGAAAATGACCAAGTGTATTGGGGAAACAAGCAAATATTAAGGTTTCATCTAGACTTCTTCGCTTTCTTCGGTACTCGCGAGGTAATGGTGCGTCGAATTTATGAGACTGGCGGCGAGCATGTAGTACAGCTCTTAATAATCATGGAGGCTGTAACAAAGCTGGTAGTTTCGATGGCGCTCCTTACGAAGAGAAGAATATCTACAAATATCTCGTCGATGAGAGCACGGTCAACGCACCTGCTGCGGCTCCCAAACTCAACACCCTCTCAGATCGCACCACCTGCTGCCTTGACGAGAGCACTGAACGAGGTCCACGCTAATGACTTCTTTCATGATGCTGAGGTCGAGGCTGCAGTGCTTGCACTTCCACCTAACGAGCGGATCGCGGTCATGAATGCGATGGCAGATGACGAGATGTGACATCGCAGTGTTTAGTGCTTGCACTTCCCGGATCTATCTCACAACATATCAACATAAAAGAGCTTCTGCACACAATCTCTCCAAATACTCGCTCCATAGCGCCATCATGGTACGCTCTCGGTTGGGACAATTCGAATCATTGGGGAGATGGAAACACACTTCCATGAGCCATTTTCACACTCGGCATGTTTCATTTCTTCTTTTACAAGTTTCCTTTTTTTCCCTTGATGGCTTCCAAGCGCAATCCATGGGCTTTCATGAATACGAAGCACTGCCATTTTCATACTCACGCAAACGCGTACTCTACACCACAAAAGCCCCTTCTGTCACATAGAACCCCATATCCGAGAAGAAGTTGGGTTGTAGCTAGGAGAAGGCCCCCGATCAATTCCTATATAAGGAGGACGAATATAGCGGGTTCTTTATCCCTCGGATGGTTTGTTCTTGCGTCTGCGGAGGTATTTCAGAAATGGACACACGGGGTGGATGCTAGGGGTAGTTCTTCATCTGAGGTTGAGAAGGAATTGATTGTGTCATTCCTTCCGGAAGATATCGCCTTGATGAGAGTTGGCTGCACAGGGGAGGCTTGTTATTGTCAAAACCATATCATCTGACGATTAGAAGTTCAAAAATGGGTGCCGGGAGTAGAGCAAGCGAATTCATTGGTGGAAAGGCTACCGTTCCAGTTGAGGGTAATTGGGATAAACGAGATCCAAGAAGGTATAAGGAGACTCAAACCAGTATTGAATCGGGCCCGCTTACTTCGGAGGCTGATAGTGTGCGAGTTAGATGAAGTCGTGAGAAGAAAGGTCGACCGGTCGGATTTAAGCCGGTTCGGCAATTCAGGGGTAGAAATCAGCGAGCGCTTGTGATTGGCCTCCCCGGGTTTCTTCGACGCTTCTGATCAAGCTCGGCTCGGCAACTTGTGGGATGCGGGATCCGGATTAATGCAAATACGTTGTAAGCGTGATTGCCAGCCGTGAAGCAGTCACGAGCTGTGCCTCAATCCGGCTCTCGATGATGCTATCCCCAGTGTAAGTCCGGTCCGGCTCCAAGTTGATGCAAAAGATCGTGGAGATTGGGCCTTGGATAAACTGGATATAAGTATCAAAGTGATCTCCCACATTGGGTTCATTCAGCACTCAATACTCTACCTTCAATCAACCAGCCTCATTCTCAAAGCAGCTTCAACCTCTTCAACCTCTTAAACAAATTCAATCAATCAACATGGCTCCACTTCCACCTCCTCGCATCGTCATTGCCTCCCACAATGAAGAAGGGAAGTCGGTCTTCTCTCGAGATACGGAGGCGCCTTTGTTCGGTCCCTTTGGTCTTAATTCAGGTCAATTCACAACCCTCTTCACAACCGATTCCGAACCTGCCTCCAACACGGGCGAACTTCCCTCACTCATCACAACCACCATCCCTCGCCCAGGGCCAAAAGGGTCATATTTTGGCACTTCAGATATGCCGCCAGGTGCCGAGAGTCCATTCCACAGAACCGTGACCGTGGATTACATGGTCGTTTTGAAGGGTGAGATCGTTGCGAGACTAGATGATGGGGTAGAGAAGACTATCAAGGAGGGAGAAATGATGGTGCAGATGGGGACGATTCATTCTTGGCTCAATAAGTCGGATAAATGGTGCCGGATGCTGTTTGTCATGTTGCCAGCCGAGAAGGTGGTGATGAAGGATGGGAAGGTGTTGGACGAGGCTTTCTTTCCTGTGAAGCATGCCGGGGTGTGAGCTGGTGGTATAATGCACATATACAGAGTATGTATTTAGAATCTCTGAGTCGCAGGTTAGAAACTTGTGTTTGAAACCTGGATATATCTGCACCACGTGATCTCTCGTGATTAGTTACAATGCTCTCCTTCTCAAGGGATAGTGATACAGCAACCCCAAGTTGGGAAAGGCTTCTCGTAAAAAAAATTTAACATGAATCCACTATGCTATCTCGTTAAAATGTCAAGTAAGGTTCTCACGTGCACGTGTACCAATGCCCAGATTCGGAAATTTTGTCTACATCGCTGAAGCGAGTCAACGTCGTGATTTCTAAATGCCATTTTTCAACAACTCACCTCAGAACTCCACTGAAAGAAGTAGCCAAGTGGGTAATTACGAGATTGCAGGGTCACTTCTCGTGATTCCAAGTTCGACCGAAAGCCGGCGGTGGGCCAATGTACATCCGATTCGATCCCGCCATTGTCCCAAGCGTTTCAAAGCACAACGAGGCTCAGTAATCACGACTTGGACATGCGAAACGGTGAGTCTTTCTGTTCATGGTGCAGCGAATCACGAATGCGATCGCAGCTGGTGGTGCCAAAAGCTGCCCTGCAAGAGCCTCTCATACGTCACAGCTTACTGTACATCATGGTTGTCGCACGGAATTAATCAGCAACTTGCTTTGTCCTCCCAATTTCATCGGATTTTAACAGGCACTTGGCGAGCGCCACCGTGCTTTCGTCCGCAGATAGGCTTTTAGCTGTCCCCAACCACCTCCCTACTCCGCATGAGAGGTCGGCTTTCTTTGGCCTTCAAGTACGGACACGGCCTGTGTTAGTAATGGTCAGTGCGCTGTGCCAGGTGGACAACGAGTGAAAGCCATCGAAATTGATTAGAAACGGAATTAAGTGCCTACGTGCGTTTGTCAGGTCCAGGGTCCAAGCTACCAGATCACAGCTCCCATGTCAGACGGGCAATAGTTGTCTATCAATGAAGTATATATGCTGTCTGGTGTCCCAGTAAGTTGTTCTTCATTCTTCATTCGATCCATCTGCTCTTGTGTGCGTTCTTGTGCTACGCCCTTGAAGCTTCCGCCTTGATTTGAGCTCAGCCTTTCGATACTTCCTTTTGCTCAACGATACCCCTCTGCGCCTATCCCACAAGCTCTCTGTACACACGATACCATGGCGGAGATTATTCGAGAAGCCCCGTTGGGCCAAATTATTAGATGGGCCACGAGGAACAGACTCTTGAAATATCCAGAAGAGATGGAAGGTTTCGAATTACCAGCGACATACAACGCTGTTCTAAATTCTACTACCTCCCAGGAGAAAGGGCAAGCTCCACGATCATCACCACCGGTATCACGAACAGTAACGCGGGAGAAGACTCGGCGATCGAGTGACGGATCCAACGAGTCAGCTACCGCCGATGAGACCAACACTGTCAGTGAGGACTTAGAGAAGGCTGAGACACAACAACCAGGACCTTACGAAGACCCGGTGGCTTTAAACATCAGCCGAACCAAAAGCCGTTTGTCAACAGTGCCTTACACCGAGGATCGTCTCGAACTCGAAGCAGAACTCGCCATTGAACGGACACAAACAAAGCCAATCGTGCCAATCAAGACAGCAGACGGAGTGGTCCTGGTCGATTGGTACACAACCGACGACCCAGCCAACCCCCAAAACTGGAGCAATGGCAAGCGTTTCGTCGTCTCTCTGATCATCTGCATGTACACCTTCGTAGTCTACACCGGATCGGCAATCTACACCTCCAGCGAGCTTGGCGTAATGGCAAAGTGGAACTTGAAGCCCGTCGACGCCTCTTTACCACTCTCCCTCTACGTCCTGGCCTACGGAATGGGCCCCCTCCTCTGGGCACCTCTCTCCGAAATCCCCATCATCGGCCGTTCCCCCGTCTACGCAGCAACAATGGCACTTTTCACCATCCTCTCCCTGCCAACCGCCATGGTAAACAACTTCGCAGGGCTCCTTGTCCTACGCTTCCTGCAAGGCTTCTTCGGCTCCCCCTGTCTCGCCATCGGCGCCGCAACAATGCAAGACATGTACTCTCTCCTGTACCTGCCATACGCACTTGTCGCCTGGGTATCAGCAGCCTACTGCGGTCCAGCTCTTGGGCCATTGCTGTCAGGTTTTGCCGTCACCGCGAAGGGTTGGAGATGGTCACTATGGGAGATCCTCTGGGCAGCCGGGCCCGTCTTCCTAATCATGTTCCTGCTCCTCCCCGAGACATCAACACCCAACATCCTTCTCCGTCGTGCCGCTCGCCTACGAAAACTCACAGGCGACAACAGACTCAAGTCTCAGTCTGAGATTGACCAGAAGAATATGAAGCCCGGCGCGATTGTCATCGACGCAATCGTCAAGCCGATCGAAATCACGATCAAGGACCCAGCAATCGCGTTCGTGAACGTCTACACTGCGATCATTTATGGGATATATTATAGTTTTTTTGAGGTTTTCCCTTTAGTTTATCCTGTGTACTACGGCTTCTCACTCGGTATGATCGGTGTTGTGTTCACTTGTATCTTGGTCGCCTGTCTTATTGGTATTGCGGTTTACTGCGCATATCTTCATTACTTCCTGATCCCAGATATCATGAAGCACGGTCTGCGAGCCCAGGAGTCGAGACTCGTGCCAGCGCTCTTCGCTTGTTTCGGTCCAACCATTGGGTTATTCATGTTTGGGTGGACTGCGAGACCGGATATCCATTGGATCGCGCCCACCATCGGTATCACGATCTACGGAGCCTCTGTCTTCGTCGTCATGCAATGTATCTTCGTCTACGTCCCGCTTTCATATCCTCAATACGCCGCTTCACTGTTCGCAGGTAACGATTTCTTGAGGTCTGCGTTTGCTTGTGGTTCCATTCTGTTTGGGAGACCGCTGTTCATCAATCTTGGGGTTGGCAAAGGTGTTAGCGTGTTGGGTGGATTGAGTGTAATCGGTATTATTGGGATGTTTGTGCTGTGGATCTATGGCGCCAAGTTGAGAGCAAGGAGTAAGTTTGCTATCTAGGTAGCGGCTTCTTTCGAGCTTGATCCTTTGCCTGGATTTGGAATACAGGGTGTAGTGGGGTTGGAAAAGGATGGGTGTTCAGGGTTTAGCGAGTAAGGGGTTAGAGAGAATTGGTCTGGATGAATCAATTTGGATGTGCAATTGGGGTTCTGGGCTTGCACTGCATCCTGAGTGCCGGCATAATAAAAAGAGTAATATATCATAGAACCGAATTTCTTACACTGATCTTACGCTTCACATGCGAATGAAAAGTGGTTATTCATCAGTGAGCGGCATGCATTTGTTCTAGACTGAAACCATGAACACGGCGGCAGGTAGAGCTGACTCCCTCAAGGCTTATGCTGCTAAATTAGGGCGGATGCTCAAGGGTGGCCTGCAAATTCCCTTTCCGCCGAGGACTAGCATGCGATATGTTGTATAAGCTATCACATGCTCCATTTTGGTATGGTATTGCGAGCTCGCGATTAGTGAACAAGATCGAGTAAAATGCCGTTACACAAGACAGCTTACAGAAGATAAGCTTGCTGAATGGCTTCGTAGGGATTTGAACAGAATATATGCTTACATTGCAACTAGGGAAGAGCGATAGCAAAAGGTTGGTAATTTTTCTAGTGTTAACTGACTCCTGAACAAGATAGCACTACAATTCTGTTAGACACAAACAAGAAAAGAAGTAGGTCGAGGCTTACTTACCCGATTCTCGGTGGACCTGGCAGTTTTCGTTGACTCAAGAACAAGATACCATTATGTCAAGTCGACGAATCTTCCTCCATAAACGCCGTTGGAAAATCCACTCTCACGATGCAACCCCGTCCTCCAGTTGGGATTTTCGGGCTCACCAGGACCCACTGTCCATTCCTTCCTCAAGCCAAATACGACTTTGTGACTCTTGAGTCCCCAGGCTTTGAAATGTTCCGAGGGAGCAGGAAGATCGGGATTGATCTGAAGCTCTCGGTTCTGAAGACGAAGAGGAAGCTCTTTGGAGAATTTAATCTGACCTCCGTTGCTATAGAGACTATCCTTCTCCGGAAACCAAAGACAATGCTCTGCCCACACGCGCATATCATGCACCTCAGTCAATTGTTCTAACTTAGGCAGTACATTGACAACACGTTCGAGTCCTCCCGATAGCGTTTCTTGATAGGTACCGTTGTCTCCCACGGAAATGTACCTTCGTCGATGAATAATGACATATCGAAGGCTAGATAACGGATTTGGGAGAGTTCGGATTGGTTGAGAATGGCGAAGAAGAACGCAAGTTCGTGGAGGATGCCATAGTCCAGGTATATGGTATCCAGCGCGTAGTTAAAGCGTGTAGTAGGAGGATACCAATATGTACCGAAACAGAGTGGGTACAGTTGGATGATTGCGGCGCGAGAATCGCGGGACACTTGAAGTGCTGGGGGGTTACTGACGAGGGCTCGGAATCCAGCATCAGGATAACGTGCCAGTTCGACAACACGAGGCTCGAGCGTCAGCTTCCATATGATTGCTCGGATCTCTGTCGGTAGCTTGGGAAAGAGCGAGAACTTAGGACCTTCGGGCGCGGACTTCTTGCTTCGACGAGCCCTCCTCATCGGTCGAGGCATCTTGGATTGTTCAAATCCTGTCGAGAACAATCAGAATTGAGGAACTCAAGACACCGTCGAACCCGGGGGTTCGGAGGTGATGATGAGAAGGTGGAAGAGAATGAGTGAGGCGGGGCTGTGGACGTTGATCTCGCGAAGGAGGCACCAGCGTGGCTTCCCCTCAGCACAACTACAGCGAACGAGTCGTGCTTGTTGAAACCAGGAGAATGCTCGAACCTTGAAAAGAAGTTTACTTACAGTGCATCAGAGAGACAGAACAGTTGAAGTGAAACCAGAAATTGCATTTCTTTTCTACAACCTCCGCCTCAGCAGAGTCCAGCTTGTTCGGGCACCCACATAACTCAGAATCCTTACTTTGGCACTATATCCAGACCTGCAAACGTGGACGGCACACTCTCAGTCCCCCTAATCTTTGAATTACCTAGTCCTGTGCATACCTTGCTCAATGCTGTTAATTTCCGTCTCTAGCCCTCTCTTCCAGAATATCAACGGCGGGATTCAGCAGGGCTGACCAGCCCTGCCGAGGCCAGCAGCGTCTCTCCATTGACTTCCTCGCTCCGAACATTATCTCGAAGTCCCGCTTTGGCAATTTCTGCTATTTATTTCGCAGATTCCGCGCCGAAAATGGAGCAGCATCCAACCAGCCAAGAACTCCATAGTCTCGCGGAGCCCCATCGGCTCCTCCTCCAGATTTCGACCCTGCTCCCTTCCATGCACACCACATTTCTCCAATCCGAGGAGTCATAAATGAGAATCTTTCTTTGCAGAGCGGGCATTGCAGAGATGTGTTGTCCGAGACGTATCGAAATTGCGAGAAAAGAGTAAGTTGTCGCCGTACGCGAGGTTCTTGACGGAAAGGACATCTTTCCGTTGTTCATTGACGGGGGCATAGGTATTCAGATACAAGATGTCGATGTCGTAGCAAAATCGGATGTACCCTGGATCGGTAGCTGTTCCGAAACAGATTGAGTACAATCTCCCAACTTCCTCGCGCGACTCCTGGCAGACTAGCGCAACAGGAGTTGCTAATTTTATGTGGAAGCTCTTCGACCGGTGAGGATGGAGCTTGATAAGGCGTAGCTCGGTGGTGCCGTGCCGTGCCATATCTGGTGATCTCGAAGTCAACATTACCAGATTGGGAAGAGTTGTCGCGGTTGGAAAAATGCTTGGGTGGTGTTTTCTTGTTAAGGCTATGTCTAAAGAGAAGACATATCTTGCCAAACACCTTGGAGATAAAAATTGAGCTTGGAGAATTGAACATACCTGGTGCCGAATCTCATGGGGCAGGTCCTTGAAACGGCAGAAGCTAATCGCGTCACGTCGTTGACGCCATCTTCATCGATTTGTTCGCGAAAGGCAGATGTGATGAGAGAACAGGTGACTGGACGAAAGTAGAGCGGACAGTGGAAAGAAATAGAATAAGTTGGCTGAAAAAGGAATGCAATATGTGATATGTGGCTCTAGTTGCGGGACGGACCATGGGTGAGTTCCTTTTTCTCTTCTGGCATCTACACTTCCAATTCTTACTAGAACAGAAACCCGAGAGTAATCAAAAGGATCGAACTTAACATTTTCTATTACCTATCCTCCCGCAGCGTCAAGTAGACATCCATGCCCTTCTGCCTCACAAACCACGCATTGATCAACTCCCACTCCTTCTCAGGATCCTTCAACCTAATCTGCTCATCCCGTTAGCGAACATCCCCCTTCACTTTAGTAAGTACCAACTCACCTCATACCTCCAAAACAACGAAGGTATAACCTTATAAATCTCCAACAAGCTAACGTTCTTCCCAATACACGTCCTACTCCCCGCCCCGAATGTAAACGTAGCTCTGATCATTCCCCCTGCCCTGGCCTTGAACCGGGTCTCTGTCTCTCCTTCCTTTCGCAGCCAGCGATCGGGATTAAACTCATTTGCCTCTGCACCAAAAATGCTCTCGTCTCGGTGGATTATCCATGGCGAAGCCCCAATGATCGTGCCTGCCGGGAGGGATGGGCCATTTGGGAGTTGAAGGCCAGGAGCAGGGACGAGACGTTCAAGTGGAAGACCGACAGCAGGATGGAGACGGAGCGCTTCTTTGATAACAGCATCAAGATACGGGAGGGATTGGGATTGCTTCCAAGTCATAGGAAAACTCAACTTTCCTTCTGCAAAGGCAGTCGAGAGCTCAGTGTTCAAGCGGGCGAGAACTGGTGGATTTTTGAGAGTATAATAAAGGACCGCCCGGAGTGAGATTGCCGTTGTGTCTGAACCTGCAAACATGTTTGTTACCGTGTAGGAGAAGACTTGTTTGTCGTCTACGATGTCAGGATGTATGGTTTTGGCTTCGAGAAAGCGTGTTAGGAAATCTTTCGGTTGCTTGAGGGATTTCGATATCTTCTCGTTGGTGTTGAGGCGTTCATCCAGTCGATCTCTTGCGAATTTTGCGACTGGCGTTGTTTTGGTGCCGAAGAGCTTGGCTCGGATGGGGTTCTTGACGAAGACGTAGTCGAGCCATGGCATTTGACCTATCTATAATCTTGGTCAGCTGGAGGGTGGTGACAAGGTTTCTGAGACATACTTTGCCGCTGTAATCGAAAGTCTTCTCCAATGCTGCGATGATGCCATCTATGTCTTGGCCTTGCTCGAGAAAGCCCAAAGACTTGCTGAATGTGAGCTCTCCGATAGTATCAAACGCGTCTACATTCTGGTAAGCTTGAGTATGTCACACGATGAGGGAACTTTACAATATTGAAGCCAGGTAGCAATATTACAAGGTAGCCCTGGCTTAACAAAGAGCTCGTCCAACTGTGTTACCAGAGCTTGAATGGTCCTGTTGACAAAAGGTTCAAACTCCGTAAGTGTTGTCATTGAGTAGGCTGACGAGATGGGTTTCTTGATGGAAGCATGGAAGTCCTCATCCAGGGATGTAAATAAAGTGACAGTCGGTTTCCCATTAGCCAATTGTTGCTGCACTCTGTAGAATGAACTCTATCCTCAATGTTAGCTTTGGACGTCCAAACTAAAGAACATAGATGTTACCTTTGCATACCCCGAATTGATGCCATAAATTGTCTTCAAAACTTGTATGTTCTTGACACTGACTGCTGTTGGTCCCAGTCGAACATAGTCTCCATATTTCTGATGCAGTTTATAAAGGGTGATGTCTGGTCGACCTTTCGCGACATCGTGGTATCGCCATATATTAGAGAATTTTGCAAGCCAAGGGCCAGGTATGGATCGTAATCCTGGCTTCAGCCAATTCTGGAGCAGAAATGAAAGCACTAATAATGCCCCACCGAAAAGCGGGTGCTGCCATAGCCACGAAATGAGATCAAGGGAAGCCATGATCTGACTTGGCCACAGTGTGTCAAATGAATAGATTAGATTAGAATACTGGCTAGTAATCTAATCTATTCATCAAAAATACCCATTAATTATATTCTAATCAGATTCTAATTAAGGTAATCATGAATATTCATGAATATTTTGATTACTATACACGTGACTATTGCACGTGATATACTAACCTAATTAGGTATGGCTCCCGATCTAGCATCGTCTTTGCAAGGCTTTCGACCCACTAATTAGGCAGCGAGGTGGCGCTAAGGCGACACTAGAGCGGGATCTCTACTTAATTAGGCCAGCGTATCACGTGCCATAGTCACGTGCAGAGTAATCAAAGTATTCATGAATATTCATGATTATATATTCTAATCTAATCAAATTATTTAAGCATTGCGGTAATTATATTCTATTCAAGCTAATCATGAATATTCATGAATATTCGGAATACCTTGATTACTTTTTTGACACACTGCTTGGCCAGACGGAAAGGCGATGAGACCTGCAAACTGAAGCAAGAATACTAAGGCTCCGGGTCAAATTCTCTGAGGCTTCTGAGCATCTCCAAGAAATTGTGATATCCTCTAGCTGATTTCAGCCCTTTCTTGTGATCAGGAGACTCGCGAAAGAATATAGCCGCTCCATTTGAGGTGCGGGGAACGATGAGCGGGGAGGAGCAAGGGTTTCCTCCTGCGTATAAGGAACCAACAGGCAGACTTTGATGATCGAAACTCGATGCATCAGGCTCTGCTAATAGGCTCATTCCGCTCGCGACTTGTACCCTGATGGAAGGGGTTCTGATCACCATTAACAGGCAGACTTGGTCTCCCAGCTCGATCAACCACCTCCAGCAGCACCAGATTTGAGTTTCTCATTGCCAAACTAGTTAAATGAGCGTAGCCTATCTTTGAGAATTCGGGCATCAATTGGCTGCCGTGAGGAAAGCTTTGGTGATATAGATGGAGGTCGAAGTGTGGCTGAAGAGCAGCTGACACATCCTCGGCAATGAAACAGATCGAAACCGAATCTTCCACGGCCCTTCGATGCTTCTACAAAGTGGCAAGCTCCAGCCAAGAAAGGTGGCACAATGCCTCAACCTGATCTTTCTAGCTCTGCGGAACTGTACCTTGGATTCTGAAGTATGCGGAGCTCCAGGTCTGGAATTGAGAGATGGAAGCGTCGCTGCAGCGTATTTTAATTCTCGATGAGAATCGAGGACAAACATCTGGTAGGACGTCAGACTTGGTGCCCCATACCGTCGCTTTAATGTCGTCAAATTCCCCGATTCTAGACCTCAACTTGGGTTGAAAACACCATCGACCTCGGCCGTGCTCGATCACCGCGTCGTCCGAACTCCACGGTCTTCGCTGAGCCGCCGGACGATCCCATCTTTCAGTGGCACAGACGCTGTGAATGACTCGGACTTGGACACAGACGGTGGCATGGGAAGCTGCACGGACGATGTGGATTGGGATGATGGGATGCAGATGAGGGGTCGTGACTTCGCGAAGTAGTGGCTTATCGTGAACTCGTGAATTGGGGAGCACATGGCATAAGAGACAGTAGTTATGGTGCTCCCCTTGATTGCCTCTGATGCAAGTTATATCGGTCCAGCATATCATGACCCTTGATTCATAAGCCATCTTAACGCTAGCCCCTTGGGTGTCTTGAAAGCAAATCGAACTCTGTTCCGATTTTCTATCTCAGCAAACCTTAACGCTCTTGAGCCCCGATGTTTTTTGAAATCTAGATCTGTGCCTGATTTCTCCGAAGCAACACCACGTAGACCCGAATAGTCTATAACTATCCGCTCGAGAGCCCCACTATCCTTGAGAATCCATTATCTCATGGCGAGAACGTCTACTTTGCCTTGGTTGGTCGCCAACCCCAGATGGAACCTATCTTGGGAACATCGAAGCCGTTCAACAGGTCCTTACAGGCGGGTTTCTCCATATAATTGCGCTGCCGCTCAAAATTATCCAAGTGGAATTCGAAACAGTAATCCTGAACGTCATCGGGGAGCTCGTCAAAAAGCTTAGTAGTTCCATCGCCCTCTGGGATACCATGTTCGTGCCACATACCATCGATTTTGACGACAATAAAGAATTCTTGGAGGGCAGGCATCGCAGCAACCGCCATCTTTAAGCAGTCCATATTGTCATAGAAGTTATAGCCCATGTCGTCTCATTTGCGGGCCTCGTCGATGAAACGGTCGACCGCGATAGATTGAATCTGTTTCAACTCGACATCCCCGAGACTGACAAGGAATTTAGGGAGCTCGGTCCAGATCATCTCATCAAAGCATAGCGTGTCCATCGAGAAGTTGAACACAATTCTTGGCTGGTGGAGGATGCTGCCGAAGCAGAGAGGGTAGAGCAAGCTGACTACATTGCGGGAGTCTCTGTTGACACGCAGAGCTACTGGGATCCCGACGTGAGAATAGTACCCGTGATTATAGGTGTAGGCGATTTCGACAGCCCGAGGTTGGAGAGTAAACCTCCAGGTAGCCTGGCGGATCTCAATTGGTAGTTTTGGGAACAAGGTGAACTGCTCAAGATAAGGCTTCCACGTTTTTGAGAGACCTTTTTTTTTGGGGCGATTTTGGGAATGGGCTGTCCGAGTTGGAGCAGTCTTCTGAGATGTCAGAGTCCGAGAAGTCATCCGGGCCCGGGTTTGCGAAGCTTTCGTGGCTGGAGCAGACGATTCAGGATCCATTGTGACAACCGCTGTGCTCGATGTCTCTGGGAGCTCTGCCTTGGTTGTAAAAAGTTGTTCGGAATCCATTGGCACAGTGACTATTGTTGATCCCGCAGGAACTGGTCGGCACTGTGCATTTGAGACAACTAGCGACTTGCGATAAATTCCCCGATCCGTGAGCGCAACGCGTGCAGAATGCAGATATCGCAACGACCTCAGCTTATCAGGCACAAGTCCTTGAGAAACGTGATGAGTGCTCTACCCCTCATGTAGAGCGAAAACACCACAGCTTGAGAGCCGGAACGCCGCAACGCCGTGTCACGAGACCTGCGCTCTCCCCTCGTGTCAGCGAGATCTTGTCAAACGAGAGATAGCCGCCTCGGCAGGGCCCGCTGAAAAGGCACTCACCTTGGTCTGTAGACTCTGTAACGCCCGTCTCCAGATGCCAGCCTCAGAAGCCGCGCTCTCCCCTACTCTCTCTCGTCGGCCTGGGATGAAGATCAGATTTCCCCTTATATTGCGTGCCAAATCACAGTGAGTCCGGCTAATGTCTGAGCCCAAGCCGTTCGCGAATGGAGAATTTCTGGTCCACTGGAGTCGCGTCACGTGCTGCGCTAATGGTGTGCTACGCCAAATCGGGGCGATAGCGTCTGCCCCCTTTCAGACCTCTCCACGAGTCCACAGGAGCCAGCATTTTATTTCGTGCAACCTCCTCCTCCTCGTCCTCGAGCACGTACGACCTCTGCCTACCAGGAGCCTCGACAGCTGTAGCCCTCTGGCCCCTCAATTGTGCCTTCGGCCAAAGATACGGTGCGTTCTCTTCTCTGCAGCCCGCGCAAATGATCCGCCACAATTAAATGACAGCTTCACGATCCCTGTCAATATCCCAAAACCCCCTTTTGCCGCGTGAAGTCCACGGCCGACCTCACAAAACTTTGTCACATCCTCCCAACATCAACACCACCACTGACATCGTCGCGCCGGCAGCAGATCGAGTCTCACGAGCGACGTACCGAGACCAAGAAACCTCTGCGATTGCGCAAAGACGCGAGTGACAGCTGGACAAGCACAATTGGTACGTGTCCATCGTATTCCCTGCGTTGCGCATCACCCCATCCCATCAATACGAGGCACAGGTGCACAGCCATTTGTCTTGAAATTATCTGTATTCATCTGAACGTTGCCGCGGAATACAAGCGTCAGTTAAAACGGAAGCTAATTTCGAACCTTCGTTGATGCAGACTCTCTCCTCGCACCTTCCTTCACCGCAAACACGGTCGATCCTTCTTCATCGTAATCGAGACAATGGGTAAGCAATACATTTCTTTTCAAAGGAGCAGGAACCCGGGAGCCATGGCCAAATGCACCCTCGACGTCACGAAAACTACTTGGTCGAACATAAACACCCAAAACACTCTCGATCGGCATAGCGCTGTGGAACAACGGTGCAATACCGTGCCCAGAGGGCTTGCATACTTTCAAGCACCATATCCAACCTCTTCACACATCTTGCAAACGGATTGAATAAGGCAACAATTCTTGGCTGGTTTCTTCCACGATGACATCCGCCTTCTCTAGCCTTCTGCTGCAGTCGCGGGCCACTCGTTCTGAGAGCTCCTCGAAGAGCCCAGTCATGGTAGTCAAAGAGCTTGAGAGCACTGGCGACCCTCGGATCTATCCAGGAAGCTTGCATCGTCACCAATGGTCGAATCCCGCAGTGCCAATTTATCGCAGCATGCTCGATGTCGACACTCCAAGCCTTCAGGCTATCGCTATCCAGAAAGAGGAATCCATGGAAGACTGGGTGACCGAGAAGCTCAGTCAGACAGCACGAAAGCATATCACGAATGATTGGGCTGACATCTTATGTTTCTACACAGCTACAAATGGCGTTCCCTCAGTGGCACCAACTCGAGCCTCCCCAGCACCGCAACAAAATGGCAAAGCCGTATCTTCCCAGGAGATACCACAAAGTGTGAGCTCAACTGATCCAAAGATTGCTGCACAGCAGGCGAGCGATATGCGAAACATTGTCCGAAGAAAGTTGACCGGCTATGTTGGATTTGCGAATCTGCCAAATCAGTGGCACCGCAAGAGTGTCCGAAAAGGATTCAACTTCAACGTTATGGTAGTTGGTATGTTGGGTCTTCCACGTGTGATTCATCCATATCTGACAAACCAAAGGTGAATCTGGCCTCGGAAAGTCCACGCTGGTCAACACCCTTTTCAACACCTCGCTCTACCCACCGCGGGAGCGCAAAGGACCTAGTCTCGACATCATCCCAAAAACGGTTTCCATTCAATCTATTAGCGCGGACATTGAGGAGAACGGCGTTCGTTTACGTTTGACTGTTGTTGATACCCCGGGTTTTGGTGATTTCGTTAACAATGATGAGTCGTGGCGACCAATTGTGGACAACATTGAGCAACGCTTCGATGCTTACTTGGATGCGGAGAACAAGGTCAATCGTATGAACATTGTTGACAACAGGGTCCATGCTTGCGTGTACTTCATTCAACCAACGGGTCATGCTTTGAAGCCGTTGGACATCGAGGTCATGCGCAGACTGCATACCAAGGTCAACTTGATTCCGGTTATTGCCAAGGCTGATACCATGACTGATGAGGAGATCATTGCCTTCAAGGCCAGAGTACATTTGATGAATTCAATTCCTTAATTGAGGCTAACTTTTCCAGATCCTCGCTGATATTAAGCACCACGATATCCAAATATTCGAGGGTCCTCGATACGAACTTGACGATGACGAGACGATTGCCGAGAACAACGAGATCATGTCAAAGGTTCCATTCGCCGTCGTTGGTGCCAACTCTGAGATCACGAGCGCGGATGGCCGTAAGGTCCGTGGACGCAAATACCCATGGGGTATCATCGAAGTCGACAACGAAGAGCATTGTGATTTCGTCAAGTTGCGCCAGATGTTGATCCGAACACACATGGAGGAACTCAAGGAGCACACCAACAACGCTCTGTACGAGAACTACAGATCCGAGAAGCTCACCGCTCTTGGTGTCGCTCAAGATCCAAGTGTATTCAAGGAGGTCAACCCAGCTGTCAAGCAAGAGGAAGAGCGCACGTTGCACGAGCAAAAGCTCGCCAAGATGGAGGCCGAGATGAAGATGGTCTTCCAGCAGAAGGTTGCCGAAAAGGAGAGCAAGTTGAAGCAGAGCGAAGAAGAGTTGTACGCGCGTCATCGCGAGATGAAGGAACAACTCGAACGCCAACGAATGGAGCTGGAAGAAAAGAAGTCACGAGTCGAGAGTGGAAGACCATTGGAAGAAAAGGGAAAGAGGAAGGGATTCTCGCTCCGTTAAGCCGACTACACCACCACATCGGACATACCTCCGTCATTCCGGTATCGACACGACCAACAGGCACTTTACTTTCAATTCTTGTCTCTTTAATCACAGATCCTTAATACTGCGGAATATGCCGAAGAGTGAGGGGGAGCAATGAGAGGGTGTAGTGATCTAGCTTCTGCGAGGCTGGTTGTTTATGCCAGAATATTCGTGGCAAGCACGGGTGGATTCGAGGAGTTTGCTTGCAGGATGAGGATGGAAAAAAGAGTGGTCCAGAAATCACAAAATTGGCTGAGCGCTTTTTTACTTGCCTTTCTTCCCTTCTTCCTGTGGTCTGTTTTCTTCGGAATCGATCTGTATTTATTATGATAGCTCGAGATTCGCTCTCCTTTGGGTTTTCTTGTTTTGCTTTGTTATGAAATGGAAAAGGGATATTATCTCAAAATCATGGCCCCGATTGTGAGCTTTTAGCTTTGTCCTTCTGCCAATGCCCGAAACTATCCGTAGTCACGGGACGCGCAAACATTCAGGACTTAGCTTGTCTCGATTAACAGCGAGCGGTAAAAGGAGAAACTTGGACCCGCTATCCGTGGATAGAGTTCCTGAGAAAAGCCACGAACAGAAGAGGTTTAGCGTCAGTACTATTTTTCATCTGTTGAAGTGCACTCCATCCGTCCCATATCGTTTTCAATCAAGCTCTTGCCGTGGGAAAAGTCCTAAGCTCCCCTTGTACTCTCACGCATCTGATCCTTTAGAATGTTCCAAGCTCTCATGAACATTCAGGAACTGAAGATATTTTGTCTTGACCCTTATGCGTTGAAATAGCATATTCTAGCCAAAAAAAAAGGGGGGGCGGGCGTGGTATTTACAAATTGAATGCAAAGAACACACATTTGAATGTAACTAACATCGTATTAGATTAAGGTAAATAGATAGTTTCAGGCAAAGGCGAAATCACGTCAAGTGGACCCGAATTCAGAAATAAAATTCATTTGTTTGCAATTGAAATTCCTCGAGGGTATCCGCACCATCTCAAACTCCATTCCTTTCCCATTTCCTCCAGCTTCCCCCCAGACTCAATACAACTTAGCAGTGCAAATATCCCCCTCTCCATGCCAATGATACTCGCAGGGGTCAGCATCCTCCGCCTCCGCAACCTTCATCCCATTCTTTCCTCTCAACTCAGCCAACACGTCCATACCAAGCTCATTATTCTCCTTCATAACATCCCAAATCCAGTCCGTCTCAACACCTCCAATTCCACCATCATTTGGCGACTTGTTCATAATTGCATGTGCGAGGGATCGAGAAACATACAGGCGGAGCTTGGAGCCAACGCTGGTCTGCGAGTAGATGTACAAGATGGATGGGGCGGAGGGGGAGAGGTGGTGGGTCTTGTAGAGTTGGGTGAGAGCGTCCATGCAGATTGCTGTGAGCGAGTCGAGACGGTAGCGCTCGGAGACACAGATTAACCTTTGCAGGTTGTGGCGGCCTTCTCTGCTTCTGGCGTCCTCTTCCTCTTCCTTTTCGCTAGGACCAGTAGATTTCTTCATTGATCTGGTGAAAGTTGAGCCGTTGGTGTCACGCTCTGCCTGCTCCTCGAGAGTGTCGATGAAAGAGAACATGCGGCGGCGGAGGTTATGAGCGCAATTGCTGATCGGATGGTTGAGACCGTTGAAGGTGACTGAGTTATTGTACAAGCGGTCGAAATGGGGCTTCAGTTCGTCCAGGTTGTTGTACCAGTCTCCCCAGACGTTCATTTCGATAGTAAGGAGGTCAATCGGCTGGCCGACCTTTTCGGCGTAGGCTTCTGCGATCTCGGGCCACAACTCACGGGCAGGTCGTTGGAATGGCTTTCCGTATTCGGACTTGCGGACCCTGCCAAGGTAGTTGAGGAGTTGGGTCTTTTGCTCAACGGTGATGATGAATGGAGGAAGGGGGATGACGTCGGGGAGAGTACCTCTGTAGAGGTACCTGCATCATCTCCAGTCAGCGATTGCACTCCCAGTTCCCAATGTAACTAGAAAGGAGAGATTTTGGGTGTACTCCAAGTTCCCGTATATCTGAAGAAAAGGACCTCTGACGGTCCCACAACTTCGAGTGACATTGGAAAGGGGGAATTCTTGAATATCCCACAGCTTGCAGATCATTCAAGGAAGGCGGAAGCAGTCGAGAATATACATACTGAATGACGAGGGAGAATACATAAGGGTCCTCGTCGGGGCGATCAATCTCTGTGACGGACGGTTTACTTGCGAGGTAATCTCTGAAGATCTCGCTCCGGGCACAGAGACGGTCTTTATGGACTTCGAAATGGCGGGCATCCTTGCCAGTGCCGACCTTGATAGTGATTTTCTCGACTTCGGGCTGACCTTTTTGGCTTTGAAATTGTTAACGTGGTGTGTTGAAGTGTGAAGGGGGCTCACTCGTCAGATGCTGGCTGGTGCATGAGGAGACGCGCCATCGCTACTTCAGCAGAGACTTCTCGGATTTGCGCCATCATGGTTCTGTTGGCCGTTGATTGATTTGTTGGAAGGTTTGATGGATTTTGGACATTGATTTGAAATAAACGTCTTGTGTGGTGGGAAAATAGGATGGCTGGGATCCGAAAGACGTCCGATATCAGTCATCTTGGAGTGAATATCTGATGTTTAAGAAGCGTAATAAACATGTTGAAAGGTGAATACTGGGTGCCGTAAGATAGAATCAACACCTTTGCAACTTTAAAATCGGCAGTTGACGTTATTCAACAGAAGTCGTGTGATATTTCATGAGTTGCAAGTGTTTCAAGCTGCTATCGATCATTGAAGGGAGAGTAGACGCTCGTAGTAACATGGATGAGGAAGTTGAGAAGTGGCATACTGTTTTCTTTATGGCATGCTATTTACAATGGTGAAGAGAGACCGTATGCTGCCGTTTTGATACCTAAATACCTCCAAGCTGTCGCTTCCGAGTTCAGGATTTTCCGAGATTGCTGCTTGCAACTTTGGCCTTGCTCCAATTTAGCTTGGTGGCTTCCTCCTCCCGATTGAAAATGATGTAAGCTGCGCAGCGAGAGATGGGGATTCGAAGCTTCGAGGCCGCGTGGGTGAGACTGTAGACTTTTGCCGTTATAGTCGATGGTGGGACGTATGTTAGTTTTTTGCCTTCATCACGTCAACCAAGCCAATCGCGGTTTTGTCTGCCAGCTTTGTAATACCATACTTTTCGGCGAAGACAAAGAGCTTAATATACGGCTCATCACACTATCGGTCTTTAAGATCTCAGTGGCATCCTTGTAGAGCTACGCGCGGGAGAGATGGAAAGCCTTTGGGCCGACTTCGGGCAAGGTAGCTTGTTGAGATGTTCCCTCAGTGAATTGACTGTTGAATACTTTGTCGAAAAAGGTGACCTTTTGACAGATCAATTTCTTGTAGAGAGAGAATGTCTCCTCATTCTCGCCAGAGCCAGCTTTAGCCGTTAAAAATGTCGACCCCGAGCTGGCTGTTTTCATCAGTATCTGCATTGCATGGAGCATCAACGTCGAAAGCCTACTCGCTAAGGGGCATAAGTGTGACGGTATACTGAACCGGTGGGATTGTTGCCATGATAAACGGCGTATCTGGAGGAGCTGTGTGTTGACAGCGTTCCGGAGCGGATGTAAAGGCCTCATAGATCGGGAGGGCTGGGAGCGGCTTGCGATGGTTCTAGAAAAGTCAGCCTCGAAGAACACTTCGACACCACTGATTTATGTCGGCTTACGCGAATCACGCCGAACCTCTCCTGCACGTCTGCTTTTGTGATCAACTCAGTGAGTAAAGTTGTGGTTTTGCTTCCGGAGTGGGTGGAAGGGAGGAACTCGAAGAAGATTGAAGAGGAAGGAGCGGAGTTAAACGCGAAGGTATAGATTTAAGCAGTTCCGCAGCTCGCTAAAATAAAGAATGCAAATTCACTTGGCGGCGTCGACATGAAATTACCTTTAGCAAAAGATTTAATTGTATCAAAATAAGCATGGAAATTATGGATTTCGATTCTGATTGCCGATGTGGGCTGCGCAAGCTTGCTAAATTTTGCTGGGATGTTTTGAGAGGAGAACACTGAGAATTGAAGGCATTCTCGCCCGTGACGGCCACCTGGTTTGGGCATGACCTTTCGGTTAGGACTTTCGAGGGCTAAACGATGCAATATTTTCATATCAGTATCCCATATGACCCTGGTGCCAATACCCTGGGCCGGTATCCGAAGAACTCTGCCGCTTCAAAAGACTCGAGAACAGTGTGTCAAAGAACTACTCATGCTACTCATACTACTCATGAATATTCATGAGTAGCGTGAGTAGAATATGAGTAGCGTGATGTCCTAAAAATTTGAGTAGAGTAGAGTATATACTCATGAGTAGTATGAGTAGTTATGAGTAGCCGTCACGTGACAATAATAAATTAAGATTTATTTAATAATAATTAAATAATATAGGTATTTATTAAGTAGCCCTAGTAAAGGTAAGTTAGAGCTTATATAAGACTAGCTAAATACTAATTTTCTATAATAATAAACTAGTTATACTCTTTAGAATCTTGATTTCCCCTATCTTGCTTACTAAGTAATGCCACTGCCTAATTAGGCAGAGACATGGCGCTAGAGCGGTACTAGACGGGGGGCTTACCTAATTAGGCTAGTCTGTTACGTCTATCTGTCACGTGGGTACCTACTCACACTACTCATACTACTCATGAGTAGCTTGAGTAGAGTATGAGTAGAGTATGAGTAGCGCTATAATTGGTTGAGTAGAGTATGAGTAGGACCCACTACTCTACTCTACTCTACTCATTTGACACACTGCTCGAGAAGGGAGGCAATCCCTTCGAAAATCGCAAATCAAATCATTTGCAGCCTAGAATGAGCGCCAGCTATGTCTTCACTATATATTTGCAGCTGGGAACTAGTAAAAGCTTCGAGACGCATTTCGAGGGCATTTCGACGGGGCCGAGGTCGGCAACCCATTGCTATTCGGTTTCTACCAGTCAGCACATTGACGAGTGAAGAGGTCATAAACCCGCCGTGGGCTTTGGCCACAGCTTGAATTCGGCTCTGTGAAACATTCAACCCTCGCGCTTGTCGATGTCAGCAGCAGCACACAAATCCTAAAAAGCCACCGCACGTCAACTAGAGCAGTTGATAAGGAAGCCCAAACAATTGGGCCCAGTTGAATTTGGACTGGGTGCTCAGGTCCGACTTCGCCAGAACTTAATCGAATCAGATTCGGAGAGATTCCCACAAGATCTAGTGTGAAGATGTGTGGATGAGAAGGAGAGAGTGAAATGGTAATTCGCGGTTGCCGTTTCTCGCTTATCCAAATCTAGCCCCTGAGTGCACGTGCCGAATGCTATAAATAGCAATCATGTGACTGTTGCCTGGCACATGACCTCGATGTGCTTGCATTTGCCCCCCTTTTTAGCAGGGCTTGGTTGCTGCCTAGCAACAATCTCGTGATAGCGTGTCAAAGGCGTGTTCAGCTTTGCTATTTTGAATTCCCGTGTTTTTTCAATAACGCGACTTGAAATTCTACATAAATCCTCTCAATTTCCTCAAAAGTTGACTTTGAATCTCAGTCCTCAACCGAAGAAAACATTGAACACTTGAACATCATCCCTAATTCTTCACATATATTTCTAACAGAGAATCTTAACCCATCATGGCTTTCCCTCAATTTACGTCCTTCCCTCCTGAGATCCTGTCATTGATCCTTGGGTCGTGTCCGCCGAATGATCTCACTTGTCTTCGTCTCGCATGGTAATGCCTTTTGAAACATCGCTTCCCCGAGATCTCCTACTCACACCTTCCAGCAAGGCTATGTATAACCTCTCACCATCAAAAGAAGTTGTCTTCCTCGAAAATACCGACATTCGACCACTTTGTGGCAAGGACAACTCTGTTCCACGATATCCTCACAGATATGAGTGCCACAAAGCCTCCTATGAAGCAGTCTGCAAACGCAATGCAGAACTCGGGCGTTCAACTCCAGAGATGAAGAGGAAATGTAGGACGAGATGGTCATCAAATCACTGCGAATGCTACACCAGACATATGAGGCTGCATCGGAGAATCAAATCCTGGATGCCAAGCAGTCTTCATTATTGTGGCGAGTGTGAGATGTTTACCAAGAGGAAGAAGCAACATAATGGACGCTGTAAGTTCAGGGTTGATTTGTTCAAGCGCTTGCTGACAAGTGAAGGCTACCATGGCCGCCCAAAACAACGCAGATATGAAGGTCACTATTGGACACACACTTCAAGAGGTGGAGCATTTGGACGTAAAATCTGGAAAAAGTGGTTCAATAATCGTGCGATGAATCGTCTTGAGGCAAGGTTAAGACAAGACCGCGAGAATCAGAGGAAAGGAAGTAACAGATACTCGCTGAGGAAGTTGGAACCGAAGGCTGTGAATTCTAGAGTGGTGAGAGGCCAGCCATCATATTTTTAGGATTCTCGATGTGTATGAGAGTGGACAGTTCCACTTGGGTTGGAACGATGAGAGAACGAGTCATGAACGTTACGATATGTACAAAATTGTATTTACTGCTAGTCTCGATGTTCGGCTTTATGTTTTGCATGGACAGTGCTTGCTGTTTTGAAGCTCGTTCGTTCTAGAAACGCACCTTACATATCTGTAATGACAAAGTATATGCCTGGTTTCTGAGCGCCGGCTGTGACTTCTGGGTCTGCGAGCCTCCAATTTGTTCCAAGCTAAAAAAATCATGCACATGCAGCTTCGTCAATCAATCCGAGTGGAATTCTGAAAGTGACCTCTCCACACGGGTCAAGTCTGTTAGGATCCAGGAGGTCGGAATTTAAAAAGCTCGCCTCGTACCCCTTGTCAAAGATTCTGCAATGGCGGCGGCAGTGGTGTCTTGAAAATAACTGGACCTCTGCCAAGATTGGTACATAATTCTCTCTTCACGCAAGTAATTAGAGGAAACACTTGCTTAAAGTGAACGTCTAAGTTCGATATTGACACCATGTACTGCATAGACTTTGCTCCTAAAGTGGGTTTATGATTCCCAAACTGTTTCTGGGTCTTTCAGAGAGGCTGAAGGGAAGTCTTTGATCGATCTCGTGAAGCACCTCAATTTCGACGTCAGCGCTTCGGCAACGTTATCTAGGAACGGTCCATTTCTAGTTCTGACTCTTAATCCAAGTGCTATCAGAAAAATCGGTATTTTCTAGCCAGCAATTGGATTTCACCGAGAATTTCTTTCGACGGTCCTATCTCGGTCCCTCACTCCAATGACGACAAACGGCGATAGGAAGGATCGGATTATTATGTTGAGGCTCCATTGAAAGCTGGCCGTTCTCACGATGCTCGAATATCATGGAGGTCTCCCTCTGGGATGGAATTCTCTCACTTAAACTTTGGAGCCTATCCAAACCCTTCTTGAATGTCGGCTAATAACCAAGAAACACCAAACCTAGCGGGGATCGAGAAGCATGAGCCAACACTATCACCTTTAGCTTCGAAGGATTCCTCCTCGCCGGACTTGCCTTCTAAGAAACAGGAAGAAGATAAAGATAAACGAGGAAGAAAAGAAGGGTTGTGGAGGGGTCATTCCTGAAAGATCTCCATAAGAGTGACTCGGACAATGAGCAGAAGGACCATTGAAGTAAGTCGGCTTCGACTTACTTCTACCCTGACTGAGGCTATCTACCGAAACGGTCAAGAACATATACTCCTCAATTTCGTGGGTGGAGGCAAGAAGAACCCATTCAATTGGAGTGTTGCACGGAAAGCATTCATCACTTTGTTGCTGTGTCTCATGACACTATTCATTGGTCTTCAACAACAGCATACAGCAGTGAAATTGATGGCATGGTGGAAGGCTTTAGGGTATGGTGGTATCCACTGAACTTGGACAACTTGGGTTATTCTGCTTCAATTTTGCATGCGCCCTTGCTCCTCTTTTCCTTGCACCTTTGTAAGTCCCAACTTCTCGGAGTATTACTCTATTCCCTCCTCTGTACGGGGTTTATAGCAATATCCAACAGTTCCTGGAACATTCTACTCCCGAACATACTTTGAAGAAGTGTGCTGACCCCGATATCTTGGGGAACAGCTGCGAGCTTGCTGACCGAATGGTTACTACGTCGGGGCATGTGCGCGTTTCGTAATTGTCATCATCGGGCTGGCATTGGGAAAGGATATTGCAACTGTTCTTGTCATGAGAGCCCTCTCAGGTCTCTTCGGGTATGTAGGAACTACCCAAGTCAGTGAAACTTCTAGTGATAACTATCGACCAGACCATAGAGCTGTGCCCTATAGCTTGCTTCCCATATGTGGCTATCCTGGGAGCAATCGCTGCTCCTATCTATGCTGGGTTTATTGTCGAGACGACCGATTGGAGGTGGATAGAAGGCATTCAAGAGCTTGCAAATGTATACCTTTTGTTTGTCATTGCTGTCTTCCTTCGAGAGACAAGAGGAGGTGTGACGCTCCACAAGCCTGGCCTCTACCCAACGCAATTAATATGAGTATGGGAAGACATGCATGGGGTCTGGAGGTGGTTGTGGCGATGGAGCGGATTGCGCCTTCAAGAAATAGCGGTGGAGTGAAACAGGGAGAGAATCCTTGGCTATCATGATGTTTAATGAATTTCGTTCGTAATATGTATGGATTTCGATGGATTCCACTGCTCGGCGCTCGTATATAGAAGGAGGGTCTCACTGGGTCTGTGTTTAGTGGCCCAAAGCTTGCTAGGCCATTCTTTTTCTACTTAATGGTGATTGGTGGAAGCCTGTAGATGCATGATGTGTGATTCGGAGTTTGGCAAGCCATTGCAGGAGTTGGTCTTAGCTATCAGAAATGGAAAAAGCGGTCAATTTCGACAAATATCTCAGCATCCGCATGGCAGTTTGGAAGAGGTCTCACGTGCAATGAGGTAGTGCAAGCATAAAGCCCTCTGTTATCCGTGCACCAGCGTTGCAATGTTTACCCTTGCACCTTGCCACAAGGTCCCTCTCAACTGATGACCCGTGATACCAATACCACTGAGCTTCTTACTCCTGACATGCTTTAAAACTGTCCCGCTCCTGATCATGTTATTCATCAAATTATTCCATGATATTCTGCTGCATAGACCGACAGATTGTGGCTTTGGAGGGTAGGTTGTTGTGTAAGGAGCTTTTCTCAGTGAAAGAAATGACATGCACAAGCAACCACTTTATCTCTGTTGTTTGGCGTTATTTGCACCAACTTGCCCAGAATAACAGAAAAAATTCATCTCTTTCAGTTCCTCCACGTTGTCTCTTTGTTGACACGTCGAAGCGAGATTCAGGGGTTAGTCAGCTGACCTTGCTATCCTCTTCCTCTTGACAACCCGACACTCCAACAGCACCAATGCCACGTCTTTTCAAAGACAAATTTCCACAGATTTACACACTCTGTGCACTAACGCCACCACATCTTCTTGTTGTTAGCCCGTCATCTGCTGTCAACAATGCCTGCTACACCAAGTGTCACCGACCTTACGTCTGGCAATGGGGAGGAGATGGATGGGGTCATTGAGCCAGGTATTCATTTCATCCATGCTTTACACCACCCTCGGAGGTAATCTAAGTTCAAGTTAGGAGTTGCAGTAGTTGTCCAGATGAGAAAGACACAGCAGGGTGCTGCCAAAGGCATAAAGGAGGCTCATGTAAGTTGGACTAGGATGAAATTAATTTCGAAGGAGAGAAATGAGGCTCTGATTATATCCAGGAGCAACAAGAGCCCAACTTCCAACCTCCATGTCAAGTCCAATCTGCGTCGAATGAAGCCCAAGTTCGCCAATCCACGCCCATCGACCCTTACACTGCCTGGAATTGGCCCTGTTACCTCACTGACGCACAGGAAAATGCCCTGGAGGAGCATTTCGAGAAAGATCGATACCAATGGCGTATCGAGTATGTGGAAATTGCTTCACAAACTCGCGCTGATGTGGATATAGTCAAGGCAAGAGGTCCCTGGACTCATCAAATTGGCCCAAGCGTCTAACGTTCCCATAGGACTGGTTTAGTAGACGCAGACTTGCGAGTCGTGGCTGCTACCTTGATGGCAACCGTCGCGTTCAGCGACGAGTCAACTTCTGCGATGTAGGATTGACCTTTCAGGGATCGAGGGTGGCAGATAGCTAACTTCTCCTAGCCTCCCGCTCCTATCGTTCCTCGTCCTTGGGAATAGTTGCCGAGCTTCCTGTCACTCCTTACACTCTTATAAACCATTGTGGCTCTTAGGCTTCTACAATTGCTCTCTGAGAAAAAGGCTCTACAAATTTTGCGAATCTGTCATGGTTTCTCGACTGCGAATACTTTGGTCATACTCGATGGGCTGTTGAGGGCACACTGGGGGTTGCCATGGATTCTTGGAGCTCTAGCATGCTGTTCGCATAGGTTTCGAGGCAGAAGGCAGAATTTCGCAATTGGGGACATGATTCTTGGATTTTCGACTGCTTGGGCTGTTCCTCGCGGTTCTGTTCTTTCCATTGAGCTAAACTTACAATCGATTCTTCCAAATCTCTGCATTAAGAGATCGGACTATATTGCTGCATGATTTGCCCTCGACTGGAACTTGTGGTAATAGCAGTTCCTTGAATAGAAAGTGAATTACATGCTAAGATGCGCTCTTCCCAATCCTTGGTGCAAGCAGCTAAGCTATTAAAAATTTGATTCAAATTTATCAAGCTTGAAACTCATTAATTTCCATTGCAAAGTGGGCTGGCTGTCTGAGCTAGACAGGTCAGGGCTACAAATTTTGGTCAACTAACCAACCTCCAGACCTTCCTTCAGCAACCATCTAGACTCAGCTTGCAGAAGTCTTTGGGTGCCTGCATATTACTGCATCCACCGCCTTTCTCTACCTATTCTTTTGCACGTTTCGGCTCAGATAATAAATCTTGATTCTGGTAGTGTCACACCAAACTTGTGGGGTGCAGGTCGAGCTTCTTGCTATCAAAGCCTCTCGAACTCTCCGCCTCTAATGAAGTGACTTTAGGGCTTGGGATGCAGAATATGAGTCTCTTCAGCGTTTGTGCAAGGAAATGAAGACGTGATACAGGGAGATATGTGTGGATGTGTGGAGAAGGCTATGGGGGCGAGATACTTCCAACAACTTCTGAGTACCGTTTTCCTGTCTTCCTCTTGAATACATGTGCGGATTCCCCTAATCAGCGAAGCGTCTTTCTCCTTGTTCCTTTCTTTGGTGGTGTCGACGGATACGGTGTCTACATAACCATCTCACTTCAGACTTGACGGCTTTAGCTTGCTAAATTCGAGTCCTTTTAGCGTAATATTTCCGCGTAGGTTCACTTGCTGATTTTGAGCCGTTGAAGAACTCGAGACCAAGGCTGGGGGTCTCATGCTATCCCTCGCAGCAGTGATGCTGGTCCCCACTGTAAATTTACTGTAAATTCACCTTGGCTCCAAGCTGTAAATTTTTGGCCAGCCTCAGACTAGGCTGTCAGAGCTAGCCCAAAGCTCTATTTAAACTAGTCTGCTGACCTGTTCCCTCGTGACTTTTCTTCAACTCCAGACAATCACCATCTGGCCTTAGATCTCCTGGATCTTTGGTTACCTTTACGCTTCTTCCTCCTTGCACCTATTCCACTTACTTCTAATTTTCTTTTGCACGACATTGGGTTGGCGTCATCACGAGACCCACCCCCTGAGTTGCCCCTGAATCTCTTGAGCTCGGGCCTCCCCGCCTGTTGTCAAAGAATAATTGTCGACATGGCTTCTCAGTCTTTTACTCCGCCTGACTCAAATCGCTCTCCATATCGTCCTGAGACTATCGACCTCACGGGAGATGATTCGGAGGATGGCGATGGGCAGCAAACAAGTTAGCAGTTCCATCTCGCCTTTACTTTTGACATTCAGCTAAAGTTTGTTTCAGCTGTTAATTCGACGAAAACTAACCCAAGTGCGAAAGAGCGTGCAATATCAGTCAAGCAGGGAAATCCGCGATCAGATAGGCCAACAAAGAGACATGATGTGAGTCTACGCGGTCCATATCTTCCCTTCCAAGACACAAGGATTGTTTTATCTAACCTCTTTCTGTAAAGGAATCGAACACTGGCGCCACAGCTCAACAAAGAAATCCCTTGGCTGAAGCTGCGGCTGAAGCTACCGATACCCATGCCCCTCCAACCGCCCCTCAACAACAGTCTCAACAGATTGGTGCAGATACGGAGGAGAAAGCTCCGAAAACTAAGAAGAAGAATCCCTTGAAGGGCCAGGCTTCTGCTGCAGCTAGCATGACTTACACACCTCCAATCCTTGCCCCTCAAACCGCCTCTCGACGACAACCTCAACAGGGTGGTGCGAATAAGAAAGAGAGAGCTTCGAAAAACACAAAGAAGAATCCTTTGAACGCCCCGGTTTCCGCGGCAGCTAGTACGAGTTACGTGCTTCCCGCTCCTCCCCCTCTAATTGGCTCTCAACCACCCTCAGACGTAGGTCTCGTACGTGAGCGTATCCAGGAGTTGGGTGATCTCGTGCGGTGTGTGTGCACATATGATACGGGTAACCGCCAAGATAGCCATATCGGAAAGGCTGCTCTAGGAAACCCACGACAACTTCCTACTACCACCGTTGGACCCCAATCACTGGTTTTGCCAACCGATACCCCATTCGCTCCTTCGCAACGGGCTAGAAGACCTTGCGCACGAGGAGCACAACGCTTCTCACGAAGAGTAGGAAGAGGGGCGAGGTTCGATTTATCAGACTTCTTCTTCGACGAAGATTGGAGAACGAATCCAAGAGGCTACGCTGCCTCATTTGAGTTTATGGTCACGCGCAAAAACATTAGAGGCTTAAAAGCTATCAAAGGAACACTGATCAACACGACCGGCGACAGAAAGGGCGATTTTAAAGTAGGGGTGAATCCCTTGATTGTGAACGAATTTCTAAAGAGAATCTACCACCCTTACAATGGGCCAACATTCAGTAGTCGGAGTAAAGACTATGGAGACATCGTTGACTGGCTCTTGCATCTTGGGAAGGCGAGGCGGAGGCAGTATGGGAGATTTGCCACGAGCAAAATCCAGTGTGCATTTTCTGAGGGCGACAAGGAACGAGTCAGGCGCTTGAGAGAAGATCCTTCGCTGAGCGCTGGACTGGAATTCCCTACCTTGAAAATGGCGGGCATCACAATGGGCTTGAGCCTCATTGACGGCAATGCCCCTGCTCAACCCGTCGAGGAAGATGAATTGAATCAGAGTGAGAACTCCTACTACGAGGACGGCGATGATACCGGTGGAGAGGATGGCAACTGAGTCAATCAGCCAGAGACACGGCCAGTAGCAGTGGTGGCTGCTGATGATTGCATCACATCTGTTGCGCGGGGCGAAGCGCCCATGGACCAAATTACACATCCTCGCCAACAACATAAGGGTCTGAAAGGGAAAAGATGCCTGCGAGCTGGCTATATTTTGAAGGAGTTTCTGCAAAGTAAGCCATAGGATGTTTGGATCCTGGTCTCGCTTTAGATGGATGGTTTTGGAGCGAGGTTCGCCGGAAGCGAAATTTTACTACTTTCTGGATGATTGGTTGATGGAGGGATTTCTTTTCCAATGTTTCTTTTGACATCGAGCCTCAACGTCAGACATCGGTGATTCTTGCTTTTCTTGCGCTGCTTGCTGCTTGGTTCTCTTTTCTCCTTGCTTTTTCCTTGGCTTGCCCACATCTTCTGCATTGTCGACGGAGTCAGACTGCGTGTGGCAGTACACTGCCTAGCTAGACGTGATCGACCTGCACATAAATCTCTCCCAAAACTAAGGCCACTTAGTGTTTCTTTCATGGTGAGAATCTAACGTGGACCAACGGTGTAACCCATTGATCGCAGCAGGGAAAATTGAAAGGCAAGGACAGGATCTTCGAAACAATCGAAGCCTCAAAAAGTAAGACTAATCTTCCAAGAAGCAAAACAAATGGCTCTTGCCATCAAATATCGGACACAGAGCGTTAAAGCAATGTGGAAGGACTCGTAGGCTGGGCCTCCTGATTGTGCATCTGCTGAAAGATGGCCAGAACGGAACCGGATCCATGGTGCAATCACCAGCAGGAACTTCGAACATCGCAGATCACGAACACTCCCTGCCAACTTCGGCAGGCGGTCCGAATAGTTCGTGGGCAGTGTGTCTGAAGATATAATAAATCTTGAAGATGAACGGGAAGGATGGAGGTCGGAATAAAATTTGCCCAGCTTCGGCTCCGGTGGCGCGCTTGACATGCCACTGAAATAAAGCCACCGTGGAAGATTTCTTCTTTCTCCTTTCCTCCCTGCATTTCTGTCCAACTTTCTATTCCTCGGGCTCTGAATTAATCATATCGAAAGGCTCTGAGGACAAGCGCTTTCAGTCAAGGCTCTGGTTTTGCGTTGCTGTATTGTTTTGGTTGAGTAAGTACGCGTTGACTCAGCCAGGGGAGAAGGGTGACGCGCTCTGGATTCGAATTGAAGCCGCCATTTGAAGGACGTATAATACTTGGATTGATTCTGTTGTGGCTGCTGTCAAGGCTACGAGCTTCCCCAAAAAGGCGTGCTCGATTGAGAGTTGGTTTGCACCTGCCGATTCCGCAGGTTAAGAACGCTCTTGTGCGGGGTCAACGGACTTTCCGCGCAAGTCAGCGTAACGAAAGCCGTCTCACAAATTTGTTCCTCGACTCCCTTTCCGTGTCTCCTGGTCTTCAGTTCTCTACGAGGAAGCCACCCAAAGGGGAGGCTTGGAGAGCTCTGTCCTGCCTCAAGAAAGACGTTGTGCGTCCCACTCATAGCTCCAGGAAGTCAACTGTAGTAGCAAAGCTTTGAGAGACCGCCGCGAATTCATACGGGTTCTTGTTTTTCGTGTTTGGAAAAAGAAGGCGTCTTGTGGCAATCTTGCAATTGGATCATTTCAAACTAGAGATGGCTATTGGCCTGCTGGTGTGCCTCAACTGTACACCGCCAAAATCTCCGGGGTAAAATTGACCTCAGTTGTTAGTCGCTACTCGGTGGAAGTGCTGGAGTTATGTATACGGCCAGCAATGTTGGCAGTGCCTGGAGGTTCTATCGGATGACAGATCCCGAGGGTATGACACCCATGTGGCTCAGCTTCCTCACACAGTTTCAACCCCACGGTGTGGAGTTGCAGTGGCCGTGAGGTCGCGTACCGAACTCCGCTGTTCGTGCTTTGTTTCTTGCTTGAAATGCTCTATATTCCAGTCCTAAAGTAGCTGAAATCAGCTTGTCTGGCTGGGGTGGAGATCGGTTAAAAGGTGCAATTCATGGGTCTGGTGAGAAGTGATTTGCTCTCAATACTCTTTAGGAGAAGGAAGTTCCATGTCTCATCAACGCTTTTACAATATGCATACTGTGTGGTCCGAAGCTCGCCTCGGCATAGGGCTTGAGACAGCAGAAGTTGTGCAGCTTTTGTAGGGTTCGGTGGCTCAGTTCCCGCCTTGCTGTCCGCAAGAAGCTGAATAAATCGTCAATCTCAACATGCACTTCAGAGGCGCGTCATAAAGTATCCGCGCTACAGAGCAGCTTTGAAAATTCGCCTGCACAGGACAGCACCTCAAAATGTGCTTCGATTCTGAGGAGTAAAGGGGGTGGACACATCGGATTGAACTCCTGTACATGCAGCTATATGTTGGAGACAGGTGTTGCTATAGTGAAAGCACGTGCAAACCCTATCTGCTAAACTTTTAGGCGTAAAAGCCTCTATGGCAACAGCACAGCGACATATGATCACCTTACATGAGTCCAATCCGATGCGTCCGCCCCCTTTACCTCCTATACAAATTTACTATGTGAAATACTTGGCACAGTCGCTAGTATGGCCCAGTCACTTTCGCGAACCACCAGTAGTAACTGGTGGGAGTTACGAACGGGTAGCCGGTTTGAACTTTGAACATTCTGAAAAAGAAGTGGGTTTCAGGCATCACTGGCTAGCTACGCTAAAACAACCTTTCAAACCCCCTGCAACAGGCTAGGTGGAGACGCCAAGCAAGCCAGCTGGGCTACCTTCCTCTCTGGACCCCCTCATGTCTTGTCAGCATTGTCACCAAGTTTCCCTCAAGGTTGCCTTGATTCGAAATCCACGATAGTGCAAACATTTTGGCGGTAAATGGCCCGACAATCAGTCCAACCAAGGCTTAACAGCGGACGACGACCAAAGATTTGAGGAGGTTGAGAGGTGGGGGTGGTGCGGGAACCAATTCGCGTGAAATTCTCCCTAGCCCCCCGCACTCTTGTGGAGGCGTCTCGCTAAATATGGATATCCCCTGTCTACTTCATACAGTAGGCTGTCTTCAGCCATTCCCTCACTTGCCAGACTGCCAGTACTAAAGTAGGCTACCTGACTCTTCTCTCGTCAGGCCCAAGGCGAGGGTGCATGAGCCTCCATACTATGCACCTCTCGCGTGGCTTACAAGGCCCAGTTGTCCACTAAAGCAGTTACCCAATAGAGATTTGAGGATCTTCCAGGGCGTTTGATTTCGAACTGTCCGGCGAGCTGCATCTTTCCTTACCTGTCATTGCAGGATGTGCCATTCAACCGTTGACCGTTATTTGCTTCTGCCTCAGGATTCCGAATGGCTGCTGCAACAGCAAATCAAACCAGCCTACCCGTTCGTAAATTACCCCCACCAGTTAGTTACTGCTGGCGGTTCGTGAAAGCGACTGGGCCACACTACGAGTAGCGACTGGGCAAAATCACGTGCAAATTATTTGAAGGGTTTAGTAGCGAAACGCCTACACCACTCAACCGTTCAAAACCATATTTGACGATCATAATATCACAATTTCAAGAAACTAATATTACATCCGGGCTTGCTAGAGTGTTCTTCGCAATCTGTAAACTTCTCAGAATTTTCTGAGCACTTTGAAAAAATCTCAAAATTTTGGTATTCTAACAGGGGCAAAAGTGTTTGGGCAGTTGCTAGTGAGCCCTTCAAATAGTGTGCACCTGATTTGGCCCAGTCGCTACTCGTAGTGTGGCCCAGTCGCTTTCACGAACCACCAGTGGTAACTGATGGGAGGTAAGCCCGTGAATTTCAATGACGATCTCCGCCTTGCATTGGACCTCGTTGTAAGTATGGAAATGACACGGAGCACGGTGTCGCATCCGCTTTGGGGGCAGGTGCTGGAGGGTGCGGAGATAGCTTTTCACTTCCTTATATTTCCTTCCGGTCCAAGTGAACTCTCTCACAAACCATATCACTCTGAAATTGTCCTCGAAAACTCGGGATTTCTTAGTATTCCAATTCTTTGTCATTTTGAAGCAGAGTCGGAGCCTCGATCTATCCCTCGGAAATGGCCGCGGAATCGTACACACCATCCTCGTTGGAAACTGGTTCCTTTCAAGACAAGCAACCTACTTCAAAACCCCATGAAATAGTTGCCGTTTCTCGACAGCAACCTCTAGAGTTGAGTGCAGATGATACAGACAACCCGCGATCATGGTCCCAAAAGAAAAAGGTTTCTATTGGTCTTTTCGCTCTGATGTCCACCTTCGTCACGTAAGCCTACCATCAACACTTCACCAATACTGATTGACAATACGCCCAGCACCATCGGAACCCCCATCTACATAGGAGCAATTCCTGGAATCCAACGGCAGTTCCACATCACCACCACACTAGCCATCTCCCCCATCTCACTCTACGCTTGCGGTCTCGGAATCGGCGCCCTCATCGCAACCGCGGCCTGCGAGATCTACGGCCGAAGAATCGTCTTCCAAGTCACCCTCCCCATTGCCCTAATCTTCACCATCGTCGGCGGGTGCTCTCAGAACTTTGCTACGCTCGCTGTGGCTCGCACTCTGGCCGGTCTTTTCAGCGGTCCTTGTCTCACTGTTGGAGTCGGCGTCCTCAACGACCTCTGGGATCTCAGCCTCGAAAAAACGGGAACCACTTTCGCAGTCTTCTTCGTCCTGTTCGTCATCTTGGCCACGCAGATAGGTCCTATGGCCAGCGCTGCGATCATTGAGCACCATTCTTGGCGCTGGACTTTCTGGGTTGCTGCTATCCTCGTTGGCATAACGACCGTTTGCAGCTTTCTGCTTCCGGAGACGTATCATCCACAGATCATTCGTGCTCGCGCGAAGAAAATGGGACAGGCGTTGCCGTCACGGGGGACAAATGCATCTATTTTCCTGACAGCTATTGGAAGGCCGTTGCACATGATGTTTGTCGAGCCGATCATCTTCCCAACCGGCCTCATGCTGGCTGTCGCACAGTCTGTCATCATGGCATATTATGTTGGGTACGCACTTCTCTTCGAAAGAGTGTACGGCTTTAGCCAGTTCAAGGTCGGGATGGCGTTTGGTCCGTTGGTTGTCGGGGCTTTTCTCGCCGTTCCAGTTGTGGCTCTTTTTGATAAACTTCTGTACCAGAAAGCAAGGGCAGAGGCGTTGAGGTTGGGAAAGACGGTGGCACCAGAGAAGCGGTTGTACCCTGCCATGTTGGGAAGCATCACTCTTCCCGTCTCATTGTTCTGGTAAGCTCTGCTCTTCTTGACCGATGCATGAGGGAAGGATACTAACGTGAAGAGGCTCGCCTGGTCCGGCAGGAAGGAAATCCATTCTATCGTGCCTATCCTCTCAGGCGCTCTTTTCGGCTTCTCCAACGTCCTGACCATGGTATTTCCCTCCCCTCTCCCTTCCGACCGTCCCTTTCCAACTCTCGTCCTAACAAACACAGCTCTGCCTCCCAATTTACAACAATGACGTCTACACAATCCACTACGGTGCCTCCGTCCTCGCCGCCACAACCTTCATACGCTTCACCATCTCGTCCAGCTTTCCTCTCTTCACCGCGCAGATGATTGATCGGCTGGGCTTTGCGTGGGCCACGAGCGTGTTGGGCTTCATTGCTGTGGCTTTGATTCCGATTCCGTGGGCGTTTTGGAAGTGGGGGCCGAGGTTGAGGAAGGGGACGAGGTATTTGAGGCATTTGGAGGTTGTTGAGACGAGGTGAGGGTGGTGGGAACCGGCAGAGTTGAGGAATCTTTTGTGGCGAGGGAGTTTGGTGTTAGATGATTTGTGCATGGTGTGCTTTGTTGGGTACGGAGTAATGAAGTAGCGAGTAAAGCAGCATAAGTGATTTCAAAAATGAAGAACGCTTGATTTTGACAATTGTCTGTGATACCTTATTGCGATCGACGGAGCAAGGGGCCGGGGAGGAAACCATGGTATTCTCATATGCCTCAATCTATATCATATATCCCCACCAGATGTCACAGCTGCCTTCGCCTCCCTCGTAAATTCTGCCCACTGCGTATTCGCCCAACCCCTCAACTTATGATTCGCCATCCCTCTCTCTGTCATCTCATCAAGTAGATCCCAAGCCCTTTCATCCTTAGAAACCACACATCTCCTTACCAACTCTTGCGCAGTTCCGGTCCTCATCCACCACCCCTTCTTCCCGTCTTCTACTTCCTGCCCCTGTCCAACTAGAATCATCTCCTCGAGATACCTGAATGCGTCTTCGTAATCGTCTACTTGCAAACACGACAAGATCAAACGGTCATAGGTTAGCCTGTCGGCTTTGACCCTGAGCGCCGCCATCTCGGCTGCAAGGAACATGGCCAGGTCTTTCTTGTCTTTTTGTTTCGATACTCCTTGAAGCAGGATGTTAAACGTCTCTGTGTTTGGGCCCTCTTCACAGATATCATGGAGTTTTTTATACACAGAAATCGCTTCGTCCACTTTTCCAAGGACATTTAGAGATTCGAGGATGACGTTGATAGCTGCGATGGGAATTACATTGCCTGCTTCACAAAGGGACGTTAAGATGGACCAGGCGTGTAAAGGGAGAGACTCAGAGGAAGTGAGGTAGAGGAATAAGGGGCGAGTTGTGCTGATATCCGGCAATACGCCGGCTTTGGTCATGATGGTTAGGATCCTGAAAGCGGTTCTTAGATCCTGAACGCCGACGTAGGCGGTCAGGAGTGCTTCGTAGTGGTAAGGGGAGAGGGCTGATTGCCTCTTTGACAAGATCCTGATGCAACTGGTAGCGAGAGGGGGATCGGAATGGCGGGCTGCCAGGTTGAGGGTTGAGAGGCACATGCCGTCTGAAGGCACCATATCTGACGTTTCGATACGGCATTTCCAGATGAACTTCGTACCTTCGTACTAGCAATAAAATTAGCCAGGAATAGTGAAAAGGGAGAGGCGACATACATGGAAATCATTGCTGAATTTGTCGAGCAGATAGTACCAGACACTGGGTAGTATCCCGCTTCTCTGGGTATGAAATCTATACTGCAGCAGCTTGAAAGCTTCGTCCAGTTCCTCCGCCTCGCAGAGTTGGAACATGAAAACATCATAGAGCCATGGCTGAACCATTATCTCATCCGACTGCATCTGCTCCAGCTTATCCATAGCAACTTCGTATTGCCGGTCACGAATAAGCCCTACGACCAGATGATGCCAACCCTCTGGAGAAAGCCCGAACCAACGTTCTTTCATCTCTTGCATGATCTGTTCGCGGAGCAGGTAATCGGGATGAATTGCCAGCACCTATTTCCTCCAGTCAGCCAGTATCCAAACCTCTCTCTATGACCACAAACCTGCAAAACACCGTGGTAAAGCCCAGAATCCACAGCAATCCCCTCCTGCTTCATCTCAACTAAAATATCTTTCACCACCTCCGCGCTCCCAAATTCCGCATCCACATTCGCCCTTATAAGAGCATCATAATGTATCAGCGCTGGCTTCTCTCCCTTTTCTCGGATGAGGAATTCCACAAGCTCGGCGATCCTATGATAAGCCCCTATTTCCGTACACAGCTGCCGCAGTTTTCCATGAAGCTTTGCGATTTCGTAATTGTCGACTCGATTAGTAACTTTCACTTTGGGAACGATGGAATGGTAGCTTTCTTCATTTCTGGGAGGAATGGTGCGAGACTTGTCTTCAACACCGGTAGCAAAGTCAGGCCTGCTTGCCCAGCCTCCTCCCCATAACGCTTGGGGTCGAGTCGAGCTATGAAATCGTCGAGTTCGCGGACGGACGGAGGGATTGGGAGTGATGGGAGCTTTTCCGGGGATTGCTCTGGATGGTATGGGATGCGCGGAGGTTATTGTATTGATTGCAGGGCAGAGGCAGCGCCATAGTCCGTCAATTGGGATTCGAGTGGTGGGCATTGAGATGCGTGATGTTTTCGCGAGGTGAAGCTTCAATTTTTGAGCCCTGACGCAGCCTTGCAGACGGTCACGTGCGATTGTCAACAGAGCTCAAGAATAAGTTACATACTTCTTATCTAGCAGGAAAAGAGCTTTATTTTCTCGGCGCTTTTTAGAATTCTCTGCTTAAGGGGGTATGTTGTGTCATAATTCTCAGCCCATTGCGCATTTGCCTTTGATAGGCCTTGCCTAACTTCGCGAACTTGCGCCGTCCTTTCCACAGCTCCAGCAGAGGTCCCTAATCATCTCACTTCATGACCTCATGCCAATTAATCTCTCGTAGCTCCAGCCAGCGAGCCGATACGCCAGGCTCCGAGTCCTGTATCACCTCTCTCCATCTCACGAACCTCTCCCTCCTCTACCCCTCCCTCTCGCACCACCTCGTCCCCTTCCTCTATCCCCACCACCACGGTGATCACCCCTCTGCGCACCTCCCCTACCACCTCTGTACCCGCTGCCCTGATCTCTAGACTGTTGCTCCTTCACCAAGTCGATAATCTCGTCTGGTACACGCAGGTATTTGATCTGCCAACAAATCCCATTAGCCACCTTTTGCTTCCCAAGAGACTAGATGCGACATACGTTATTTCCCTTAACATAAACCTCCGGTAATCTGTAGAATTTATCGCCATCCTATTATTCCCACCAAATTAGCTTTCTCCTCCCTCCCTCCGGCTTCTGTCACCATCCCCTCCCTTCCTCTTCGCTCTGCCCTGCCTCAGGTCTCGAGGGGGGAGCATACCGAACTAGTCTGCACCACCTCCTTCAACGTCAAGTTCATCCAGGTATCGCACGTAACGAGGTGTCCGTTCAGCGTTTCGCCGTTCTTGAGCTCGACCAGCATCGGATGGCCTTGTGCGGCCGTGAGGAGGCCGAGAGGAAGCTTTTACTATCATTAGCCTGCAATTCTTGCCTTTGGGTGAGGCGCAATAGTGACGCGACCGCGATGGAAGAAAGGAGGAGAGGACGTACCATTGTGGATGGTTGTGTTGTGATGTTGCTTTGGTGGTGGGCTGGAGCTTAGAGAATCATTAAGTTGATATTGCGGGTTTGCGCGGGAAGGGCACCGTAGCGATTGGAGAGGCGATGCACGTGACTTGAGGAACATACAAGTTCACTTTCGCCCTCTTCGGGGTGTAAGTTTCGCTCTAAGAGCTGGGTTGGAAAGCGGATTATTTATGGCAAATCATTGGGTCGCGCTTGGCTGTTCTGGAAATCCGGTTTCACGAATTCTGGGCATGTTTACAAACACCTCGCTTGACAGAAAGGGGTTGGCAATTCGAGCTTAGGATGAAGAGAGAGTCTCCTGTATTGTCCAATTCGATTATAGTACTTAAAAACTCTGTGCGTGTATATCAGTCGGACTCAGCCGAATGAGCATCGAATTTTCCCAAAGTGTGATTGGAAAATTCCAAAAGAAAGGCTAAATTCCAACAAGCCCGCATCCAAAGGTAAAACATCAGTTCCAATAGTCTAAACCTTTCACAACTTCGCACTGCCAACTGACTGTTTCTTATTTGCCTCCACTTCCTCTTTTAGATACTCCATTAGGGGAGCCAAAATTCGCTCATCTTTGAGGGCTTGGTATATCCGACTGATGTGAGATCCGGTGTTGAAACGAGGCCGCTGTTAATCATTATCTCTTCCATTTGAGCTCTCAAATTTCGGATGACCAACAAGATCCCGGTTAATTGGAACTTTCAGCTTGTTTCTAATGAAGCTGTACATGCGCTTGGAGGTGCTGCCTAGGCACTCTGAAGCATTTGGCTTGACGAGATGGCTTTCTCTGTTGGCGAGGATGATTTTCTCCATGAGAACAGCAATCTCTTTAGTCCAGGAAGTAACTAGAGCCACGAGGTTAAAATTTCCAAGCTTTATGCCAGTGTTCCAATATGCGACCAAGGCGTCAACCATTAGGTGTTGAGCTGATTGAGCAATGGTGACGAAGTGGTCGAATGAATCCTTGGAAGCGGTATCTCAGCCAGCGATTGGAGAATTGTCGACCAAATCGTGGTATGAAGTAATTGCAGTCGCTCATTAGGTGCGAATTAACGGAAGGCATCTGATATAAGATTTTAGATTTCCGGCTTCAACTTAATCATAAACTGTTCATTCATGGCGCGGAGATTGAGAGCTTCGCAGAGAGCATAAAGATAGGTCGAGGACGTCAATGAGACTATCTCAACAGCTGTAGTTGTAGCACGAGCGCGGATCAAGACCGTATTGTTGACCGCTTGGCTTGATGACCCATGAGTGCTCATAGGGTTCGCGACGCAAGACAACTCAGATATGTAGCTGCCATGTTGAGGTCGACGCTATTCAAGGTATGAGATCGTTAGCTGCGAGATTCGGCGGAAGGTTGTAGGCTTAGCCGGCATCTAGAAGCTCTGTGCTTTGAACAAAGAGTAGTCTTCCGATTTTGTCTAGGGACAATCCTGTCGTCTCTATTGACGAAATTATCGAGGATGCTTGGGAATTTCCTCCGTGATGGATCATGTTGTTGGCAACATTGATCAGGAGATCGTCAGTTGTGGAGTTCAATTCAATCTCAATTTGCGATCGTGCGAGACCAAGATCTTCAAGAACGGGGCCTAACCACTTACTGCTTGTCCTCAATGCGTAGCTGTCATGATGCGGTCTTCGACTGAGAAGCACACTAGAATCTCCGATTGAAGCAACTTTGGAGCCTTTCAGAAAACCGAGAATGGTTTGAGCCACTTCTACCTGGCTCCTCTGAGGTCGTACTGAACTAATGAAGGGATGAAAACTCTCTGTTGTTCCCAATGTAGCCTCTACGCGTATTGCCGTGAGAATCGAGGCTGGCACCGCGAGCATATCAGCTCAATGTTGGGCGATAGTTGCAACTGAAAGTGAAAAGGCAGTGCCACTTGGAAACCTAGGAGTCTCCCCGGACTTAAAAGAGACTGGATTGAGCTTGAATGTCTCGAGAGCTTGATCTGCTGGAAGCAACGTTCGAGATGCCCGTGGTCTTATCTATACTCGAACTTCAGGATTTCTTTCTAAAGTGGCAGCACCGTGTGAGTGGGACTTAAGCTTCCTCGAAGCGGGACCCGCGGAATAAGGTCATGATGCAGTAGCTTGAGCAGCGAATCGGTAACCTCGAGACGAACCCCCGAGTGGCCTCTTAGTAAAGAGTTACAACGTGTTAGGATAGCACCTCTAACCCACAATTCTGGCATGAGCAGCTGGGCGGTTTCATGCATGTCCTGGAAGTGATTCTGGGCAGCATCTGTTCCGTCTGCGACTGTAAGATCCCACTCAGCTGCAAATTGCTGCCTTGACTCGATGAGTCGAAGAGGAATCAAACGCTTTCCTCGATCTTGCCCACAACGTATTGTGGTAATTCATCGTTATATGCATGAGCTTGATTGCTGTGCAAGTGTTGATAGAAGATTAATGTTAAATGCATCAAAAATGGGAGTAATCCACCTGGCAACTGCAACAAGAGCAGGCATTGTCAGAGAATCTCTTTCGAGGTTGATTTTATGCTTCTTGTCTAATTGGCAGAGAGGCGTCGCCACTGAATATGTATCAGCCTGTAAAACTCCTGTCAGAATCCTCAAGCGGATGGATTTTAGGTGTGATACAATTCTCGAAAATGGCAGTATCATAATAAGAACGACGAACCACCTTTCTAAGAACGCGCTATTCACGTGACATGTCACGGGAAGGTGGACGAGGTGGATTGCAGACCCGGACTCAGAATCAGGTCTGGCTCCTCGGATGAGTTCGTCACTCGACACCTCGACTTGACGACGTCAACGTCAAGCTTTTCATAGCAGATTTGGCTTTCGATATGAACTTTGGTCCTCGCCCGTTCCCGACGCAGCGGATCCACCTGCCTCGTCGCCCTCCAGCCATGACCGCGTTCAGGCTTCACAATCACCGGATTTACATCGCCAGATTGGGATTTCATGCATCTGATTCGTTGTCGGGCCGCGGGTGGCACCATGCCCTGAAATCCGCAAAGCGCTGTGTGCCCGAGTCGTCGTCAGCGTTCTGCTGAATCCCCCCACACGCCGACGAACTCACAGAGATTGCGCAGCCACACCGAAATATTTCAAGACTACTTCTTCAGGAGCCACCCCAGGCTGCGGTTTGAGTCCTTTCCTTTGCTGTGTTTGGAAGAAATTGTCCTCTTCAGGCGTCGACAAAGTCGGTTTTCCTTAGGCTGACCTACGTCTGCCGCCTTTTCGTATTCATATTTCCTATCTTCTATTGTTTTGAGGGTTTCCAGTATGCGCGGCCTTATCGGCACCGCTTTGGTGCTCGCACCGGCGCTCGCATCAGCTCTCAGAGTGCGAGAAGTCGGCTTCGATCACGAACGAGTGGGAGAAGTTGCCGCTATTGGTATTCATCCTATACGTTTCTCTTGGAGAATGCCTAGGCTAACACTAATTAACTCAAGACCGTTTATACACCCAGATCAATGTCGATATTCCGGCTGGTTCAAGGTCACCTGATGGGTGGGAAGCGGATTCATACCTATCATTGGCATTTCGCCTCCAACTTCTCAATTCTGAGGCAGCTTGTGGCTATGGAAATGTGACTGTAGAGGGCCAGGAACTACCTCAAACCCTCAATGGGGATGTCTCGACAGGGAGTGGCACTTTTGCTATCAACCAAAAGAGCATCGTCGCCTCATGGTCGTTCAACTGCATCAAAATCAATGGTGTTCCCAACTCTCAGTTCATGAAGTTCATTGTCGACTTTATCGATGGCAAGGCTGTTCAAAACGTCGGGTTCTCCGTATTGTTTAGACAGGCAGGGGCGATGGAGATCATGAATATCGAGACAGACCTCTCCATTCCCGACCAGATCGCCGCCAACCCCAACCCGCAATCTCTGCAGCCAGTTGATCAGGAGGACGAGTTCCCTCAGTGGAGCATCGAGGATGATATTGCCGAGCTCCAGTGGATGGAAGCCCAACTGCAGGAGCTCGCATATTTGATCTTCGAGAAGAAGCATGCCATTCGCATCCACGCTTCGCACCGCCTCGAACCAGAGATCGAAGAATGCGATAGCCTCAAGTGTCTTCTCAAGACAGTTGCTGAGAAGGCTCAACATGCCGCTCACCATCTATATGGGAAAATTCGAGGCGACTACGAAGATGATGAGGAGTTTGATGATGAGTTTGACCACCCACATTTCAAGCCTCACTTCCCGAAGCTTCCAATCAAGAAACCTCATTTCCCAAAGCATCCGCCCTTCCGTGGCGGCAAGAATTGCACTGGGCCCCCAAAGGGTAATCACACCCACCCAGGAAAGCCTCACTTCCCACACCATCCTCTGCCAATTTGCAGATACCCTCCACCTCACCACGGAAAGCCGCCTCATCATGGAAAACCACCTCACCATAGGAAACCTGGAAAGCCCCCTGGACATCCTCCAGGACCACCGCCAGAATGGGCACACGAACCTGACTTCCATCACGGACCTGATATGGATGGACCTCATCCACCCCATCACCCCGAGGAAGAGCATATGCCTCCTCCACCCCCCAATTTCGATGAGCCTCATCACAGAGAAGGCCACCACGAACCCCCACCAGACTTCGACGGACCCCATCATGGAGAAGGACACCATGCTCCCCCTCCTCCTGACTTCGACGAGCCGCCTCACCACGGCCCCCCTGGTCCCCCGCCTCCCGAATTCGAGCAAGAACGCATCGAATTCCCAGGCGACGAGCCCCATGGACCTGGTCACAGAGGCCCACCCCACTTCGATGGGCCTCCTCCTCATGGCCCACCACACTTTGATGGCCCCCCTCCACACGGCCCGAGAGGCCTCGTCAAAGCCTTGCAAGTCATAAAGTTCACCGCCATCGGTTTCCTCTTCGCATTCCTCATCCTCGCTCTCCACCGACGAGCATGCACGCCCAAACGCCGTGCAGACCGGCAAGCACGACGAGAAGAGCGCAAGCGTCGCCGAGCCTACCGTCGAGCGGTGCACAAGCACGCTATCACTCGCCTCCTGGCTCGCATCTCGGGCAACGAGTCGGATTCTGAATCTGATGATTACGAAGAGAAACGCAGGGCTTTACTCTCAGATGCCGAAGATGGAATGTCTACGACAATGACTGAAGATATCACGCAACTTCGCAACGCAGCAGAGGTTGTAGGTGATGTGGTTGTTGCCGAAGAAGACCGTTCGATGACCGTTGTTGAGCCAATGCCCATCCCGGCAACGGAGACGAGGCCGTTGATGCAAGATTTCGAGACTTTGAGTCAAGTTGGCGATGGAGAGGAACTGCCTGCTTATGAAGACAACGATGGTAGTGAAGCGAGCAGTTTCGTTGCGGATGGGTTTAGATATACGCCTGGGAGCACGGAGTATAGTCCTTCGCATTCGCCGGCGGGGAGTGTGAGTGATATTTTGGGTCCGGATACGAAGTCCTAGTTGGATGTTTTCTTTGTGTCATTGTTGGATTTTGGCGACTAAGAGCCTAATATACCTTACCTTGCTGTAGAATCTTTCATTGTCTCATATTGGGTTTGGGTTTTTATTGCATATACAGATACGACATCGGATGACTATTGTCCAGCTGAGGAATTACATTGGAGAATTGAAATGACCATCTGGCAGGCACTTCCCTGATTCTCTGCATTTTGAGTGAACTTTTGATGACAAGTGTCAGGAAAAGGTAAGGTAGCTAAATTGAAACTTACGGAACAACTACAAAGGTATGGTTTTTTAGTACTTCTCTTCGCTGCGCCAGATGAGTTGCCACATTCATTGCATAGGTTAGTGACCTTCCTTGGTCGTCTAATTTTTAGCGTCACTGTTGCGGTGCATATAGTCATCTGACGAAGGACGGTGAGAAGCTCACAAAGTCGAATGAACATTACAAGAAGGAGTTGTCACACTTCAAGTTTTCTATCGGTCCGAAGACCGGAGAGTTTGTTGATCGTGAACCTCGGGCCCTCCCATGGGTGAGGGAAGAGCTCGCCAGCACAAACAGTCGACTCTCAGATCTGAATTGCTATCAAAAGGCTGACAAGGACACAATCAGAAATCTCAGGGGTCTGAATGCAGACCTCAGACTCGACATCTCGACCTCTTTTGGAGAGTTCGTCTGTGGAGACTTTTGCATGCCTGAGATTGGATGCAGTCTGGAGTTCACGCCAAAAGACGTGATAACCATGGATGCTCGGCTTATTTCTCACCTCGTGTGTCGTTTCGATGGCTAAGTCAAATCGAGCGGCGGAGAAAGCTGCACTTCTCCAAGACTTCATTGCTCGTCGAGAACTTGCTTACGGAAAGTGGCAAACTGCTTGGGAGTTAGGCCTGGGTGTAACCAACGAACTCATCAGAGGCATGCCCGGGCACGAGCAAATGGAAGTGAGAAACAAAAGACTTGGCGATGAAGTGAACGCGGTCGTTCCACCATACCCTCTACGGAGAGACCCTCGATATCCCTTGACTGGATACGATATCGCCAAATCGGAGTACTACGACAGGAATGATCTTTCCAACGGTACATAGCATCTGCTTCTACTCCAGGAACAGGCTCAAGACCAACGCGCGCGCCACTCCTTGACGTTAACCTTTGAGGAGTGACAATTGGCTTAAGGACAAAACACGGAATAGGGAATGACTTCTGGTTCTTGGTCATGTAATAATTAGGAAATGAAGCAGTGAAGACCAATTTCATAATACTCAATCACACAAAAGGCAACAGATAGTCCAGCTTCGGAATATTACATGTTGCATGATACTGTGAAGTGCGCCAAGTAGGCGAGTCGCCGACAAATGAAGTAAAAGAATGCAAAAGGAATGTTAAATGCCCCTATGAGATTACGTGACATCAACCAATCATCGTACACTCGTACAGGAAACACACTCGATCACACCAAGGAATCCGAGATCTTTCAGCAGTCACAAGTCATTGATACTGAGTATATTTGAGGAACCAAGATCCACCTCATACCTCAGATATCAGACATGTATATCCACTCGACATTACGCTCTTTGCCATACTTTTCAATGAGACTCTCCTTGAGGAGCAAGAAGAACTGGGTACTCGAGTTCCAACGTTGCTTTCGGGTTGCCCTTCAGCGGTGTGAAGTCCACAATAAGGGAGTCTTTGACAGCGAAGACCGAGTCATTTTCAAGATATGGATCTCTACGATCGAAGATCTGAGTAGTGACTGGTTTGTACCCCTCTCGTTGCACCTATTGAAGTTAGCTGGCGTCCAACTTAGATCCGGGTGATTTACAATCAAATGGATATGGGCAGGTCGAAAGGGATGCCTATTCAACAACTGCAGCAGCTTCCCAGCAGGGCCTAGAATCTTGTCAATGCCATCCCTCAATGCAAACAATCTGGAGTTATGTCCGTACCATCGAAAGGGACAGGGTAGGGTGTGGGCCTCAAGCAGTAAAAGCCATAATGTCCATTGTCATCCGTCTTGAATTTGCCACGGAGATTATGTTCAACCTGATCGTTGTCCTGCTGCTCGTACAACCCATTCGTAGACGCTTGCCACACATCGATCCAAGCACCGGCTACTGGTTTTTTCGTGACCGAGTCAAGCACCTTGCCATGCATGTACGTGATTTCACCGTCATCGACACCATGTACGATTGTGGATTCGTTCTCGAGTATAGGAGCATCGTGCCGGAAGAAGGGGCCGAGAATGGCACTTGCAGTTGCTGCGTCCGTTGTCTCTGCCGCTCTTTTAAATGTGATTTCGTCGACGAGCCTGGGGGAGGTCAGCCATCCTGCTCTCGACTAAAGTGGGTGCGCCTCAACTCACGACTCAAGCCCGATGACATCGCACATGAGCTGGCCCTCATTCCTCTTATTGTCACTCATCTTCCCTGCCCAATTGATCATCTCCACCCCCGCCATCCACTCGTCAATCGTAAGCTCGTTCTCCCTGGCAAAGTCATGGATATGTCTGATCAGACTACCCATGACTTGCCGCATCCGTGGGGCCGTCTTTGGGCCCATAGCCTCGATGACATGCTGTGTGAAAGTCGGATCGAATCTCGAGTCAGCCGCCACATTAGCACTGCCGTTCGTCGTGGCCATCTTGTCCTTCTGTATAGATAGTTTGACAATTGATTGAGAGGATATGGTACTGTCAATTAGCTGTTAACAGAGTTTGTTCTGGCGGTTAGGAGATGGTCTTCGGCCTTCCCACGAGGTTGTCCATTACCCGATATGTCTTTTTGGAATGCTGTCATACTTGGAAGCTTTCCGGCGTCATCTCAGCAAGCTTCCGAGTGGCCCAATTACTCTGGGCGTTGAAACCAGGGGAACCTGGACAATTGTTCGCGGCTGCCGCTTGGAAGGAAGTGTCATCTTGCTTGCCGACGTGTGTGGCCTGGGTGGTTGGACAATTGCTGATATTCGTGGTGAGGAGTGCGGAAGGGGCCATCGCGCGACCCCTGCACTTGCCGCTCGGCTGTTTGGGGATGCGGGTGCGGGGTTGCGGATATGGCCCCAAATCAAATCCTACTCGCCGCTTCATATGGCGAGCTCGTGTAAAATTAATTTATAGCACAATACCACGCCTCTAAATTAAAAAATAACGTGTAGTATACTTGTGTAATAGAGTTAGAGCATTCAATATACAAGCTTCTATAAAGGTCCGATATGTGGTTGCGTTTTTATTTAATAAAATAGGCTCAACAACCTGTGTCGGAGTTGCTGTGGGGTATGTCAGAGTTGTAGTGGCATCAGCCTGTTCAATAAATATCAACACAAAGCCCCACTTCAACCTAATCACGTGCAAGCCCCTTTTCTCCGTCTCGCTAATTCCCTGCGACTCTCCATCCCCCCACCCCCCTCTGTCTCCCAATTCTCTGAATCAAAACAACCTTTAGCCCAGATCCGGCCACAGCAGCATCCCTTCCCCAAGGCGTCCCCGTTCCTTTTTCTCAACTGAAACCTCTCATCTCCTCTTGGCATCTAAATTTCTCCCACGCAGACCCAACTTAGCCGAGACTCTCCAAGCCAATAACAATGTCACCCCTCTCACACATGCGTCAAAAGCATGCACTCAACTCAGGAGTACACACAACAAGATTGTTTTACGTACATCTTTGCTTCGATAGATTAGATTTTCCAGAAACATGGGCATGATTTTTGGTGCCTGCTTTTGCTTGAAAAGGGAGATGAAAATGATCGGAAATGGCCGCGAAGTCTCGGCGCACTGACAAGAACCGACTTGAATCAAACTCACCAGTCAATCAGCAATTTGCGGCTCTGAAGAAGGCCAGCAGTATTCTCGGCGGAATAGTCGCTCAGGTCATTACTATATCAATCTATACACCAGCCTCTGGTGTTGAGCTGGGAAAACAAAGGGCGGATCGGAATACACATGAAGACAAAATCTTTCAAATCTTATTTAAACAGAAAAATCGTAACATCTAACCCCAGACTCTGCCACCTCTTGCATGTCTTCTTGACTAAATTAAACTGAACTCCGGTCTGATGCACTGTTAGACTTTCGCCTTGGCCATTGTCATCGGAATAAAGGTAGTACATGTCGAGCCTGCGTTCATGGTTAGCGATTTATTTAATTGAGATGAGGGGAAAGGAGTTTACCTAGAGGGGCCTCCACAGAATTCAGAGCCACTGCTCGAGCACAACATCTTGCAATCGCCGACGGTTGTATTGGCAGATCCAGCAGACAACGTGGTGCCACAGTAACCTAAACTGATGTCTGGTATGATCAACCATTAATTTTTAATTCACTCACATTCGCGAGCATACTCGACACCGAAATGGAGAGATCCACCAGTCTGTCCAGCGAAGAACGTCTGGAAAGCCTCAACAGTCATCGTATTGCTAGCAAATCTTGGTCCCGTCAACGCACGCTGGGTGGCGTCCTTGTCACTGGTAGCCTCCTACTTGGGGAACGTGGGCAGGTGGTGGTGGAGGAGGAACATAGACAATGCTCTTGTAGACGTTGAGTCGATTGTTCATTCCACAGAGTTCCGAAGGATTGCCAGCACAGGAGGAAGTACAATCGGTTTCTAACGCCTTCGGAGAGGTGTTGGGAGTGTCTCTGCAGTAATATTCGCTGCTGTATTCAGCGCCGAAGAAGTTATAACCGGCGCGGTTCTGAGCGCACATTTCGAGAGTCATTTCAGGGTCAACTTTGATGTTCTTGGTCAAGCTTCGGACAGGGTTGACACCGGTGTTGTCATAGTAACATCCGATAGACGTAACTGAGCCAATGGCCGCTGGCTCAAGAGGGTTAAGGGTTGAGCCGGGTGTTGAAGAGCTGGTCTTGGTTGTAGACGCTGAGGTGGTCGAGAGAGTGCTTACGGAGGCCAAGGGGGGAGGGGAAACACTACTTGAAGTTGAAGTTGAAGTTTTTGTGCGGGAAAATGAGCTGGAAGAGGGCGACTTTGTGCTGGAAATTGAGCCTGAAAAGGACGACTTCGTGTTTGTTACAGTAGAGAGTGTGCTCAAAACTTTCGTCGACGATGTTGAGGAACGAACAGATGACGAAATTGAGGATGAGAATACACCAGATGCAGTGCTTGTCAACAAGAGATCGATGAAACCACCATTGGACCAGAAGCTAAGCAGAGACGAGGTACTTCCTGCCGTATGAGGAGTAAATGCCATTGTGATAGTTGTCGATGCGCCCGCTGCTAAGCTTGAACCAACAGCCGGGGAACCCGTTGCTGCATAGTATGTACCGATGTTTCTGGAGGCTGCAACAGTGATATTCGTGTATGTCATCGGAGCAATGAGCGGGTTTTGGAAAGCAAAGCCGGTGAAAGTTACAACAGATTTTCCGTGTTTGTAAGGGTGACTATTTTCGTCGAGGCTTGCGTGGCTGAGCCCATTACAATCCCACCGAAGTCAACCGTCTGTCCGTTGGCAGCGAGGTATCCTGCGGCGGCAATCACTGTATTGCTAAGGAGAAGTGCATAGACGGTGTTAGGGGCAATTCCAACGGTATAGGCAAGATTGAACAGAGAGGCTATATTTCCGGGCGCAACCTGAGTCTTTTAGTAATCCCGAGCGTACGCCAACGCAACTGGAGTCAAAGCCATTGTAACCGGGAAGGTGAATGTGGCTCCAGATGCAACTGCTGTTGGCAGCGACGAGTTCAGGCAAGACCATATGGCTAGGTTAGAGGTACAGTACTTCATGGTGATAGCTGTGCCTGCTTTGCAAGTGATCGTAAGCGGTGATGAGGCACCAACAGTCCCGGAACCGAATGCAGCCGGATTGGGCGTACAAGTCAGAGAAGGTGTGACTGCGGGACCCCTACTACCAACAAAGGCAATACTGGATTTGGCGTAGAAGACCAAAACGGAAATATTGAGCTCCGAGTCAGACGGCTGAAGCCCGCGGTTAAGGATTCATGCACAAAACGGAGGCACCTTGCATCTGCAGGAATATAGTGCAAAAGCCACTTGCGGCCAGGCCCCCTTATCATGCCATTGGGCGCTACATGTGGCATGATCCAGAGAGCATTGGCAAGAGGCACCCCAGGAGGGAAAAAGGAGCCGCATGCTATGCTGCCAAATACCAAAACGCCATTGACGACGGGAGGTCACCACTAGGTAGGATCTTGGATTAGCGACGGTTGATCACAGCGACGTCCTTTCTTTGGCACTCCTGGCCATGCGATCCTCATATCCTAAGGCACAGACCTAGGGTGGCCAATATTGGAGACCTCAAGCCTTTTGCAATGGTTTGGATGGATTGACGGCTTTGTACGAAGATTGCGGCATAAGTGACGGGATTATCTTCATTTATTATCAATTTGGTCAGCTGATTTAGCCCCCCTAAACGTTCATTAATTAAGCGAAATACCCTTCAGGGGGCAAGTGAGACCTTACAGGGCTATTTAGTGGACTGCATATAATTATGCCCTGTAATCCCGTCACTTTACGCCACAATCTTCGTAATTGCAATGAAACCACTGGTTGGCTGTCAGCTATCACGATCTACTACTACTCTCCCCCCCCCTAAATAAATGTAACAGTGGGTCCAAGTGCAGGGGTTTTTTGGTATGGCAACTGGACCGTGCCAGGCTGGTTTTGCGGGGACCCACTGTTACATTTAATTAGGGGGGGGGGGGAGAGTATGGTAGAATGATGGGATTTGCGCTGCATCGTGGGCGGGCTGCTCGCCTGAGGGCAAGTACCGACCAATTCTTTAACTCTCCGATGACATCTCCGTGCTTGGAGGAGATGGTTCTTGCTTCTTCTGCTTCTCCTTCTGGAAAAGTTAATGCTGAGCAGTCAGGAGCGTTAAGGCCGCGATCTGATAGACGAGATGGGAGGATATTTTCCAGGCGAAAGGGTGGAGATGTTGTAGATTAATAGGTTCGAGGTCGTGTAACTGTGAATCTATGGAGTCAGGAGAAGCATTCAATAACAGGGATGAACCACCCCTGCCTCTGCCTCAGCGAAGCTTAAGGTAACCTCTTAGGACGATCACGTGTCAATACTCACGTGTTTCAGCTTCCTCTGTTGGCAATTGGCCAATCGTCGGAGGTGTGTATATCTGAGGAAGTAAAGATATACCTCTTCCTCAAAACCTCAAGCCAGGACGGTTGGCATTGTTCTCATGCAGATATACGGCCTCGTGACATCATTGATCTTCGCAGACGGAAAAGCGGAGCATCTCCAACGTCGTTCTTTCTATAGCCACGGAGAGAACCTAGATAAGACAAGTCTCCCCTCTGTTTTTCCTCGTAATTGATAGGAATCTTCGGAAATGCCTTCAGTGGGAGTTAATGGAAAATCGCTCTTCTACACCATCGACCAGAATGACGGCTCCCCTGCCAAGACCACAGCTCTCCTCATCCACGGCCTAGGATCCAGTTCTTGTTTCTACAAAACCATCACACCTTCTCTGATATCTACAGCCCGGTGCATTTCCCTCGATACTCCCGGCTCGGGACTCTCCGAGCTGGGTACGGCAGAGCAAACCATTTCCAGCATCGCCAGAGACGCAATGGCGGTTCTCGATTCGCTCCAAGTTCAAGAGAAAGTCGTGGTAGTCGGCCACTCTATGGGCGGGATCGTGGTAAGCTATATTGCTGCTGAGTATCCGGATCGAGTGAAAGGCGTCGTGCTGGTTGGGCCTGTCAATCCAGACCCAGCTTTGGCGGGCGTCTTTGGCAAGAGAATTGAAGTTGTTGTGAAGGGTTCGTATCTTTTCCATCACCAATGAAGAGAGAATGTAATAATGAGAACGAAATAGATGGACTCGAAACCCTTGCAAACATCATTCCCACAGGAGCAACAGGATCGAAAGCTGGTCCCCTCCAGCACGCTTTCATCAGATCATTGATTCTCGGAACATCCTCGGAAGGCTACATATCTCTATGCAGCGTGATTGCAAAGACCTCCAAGCCAGAATATAGCAACATCAAAGTTCCTTTACTCATTCTTGTTGGCTCCGAGGACAAGACTGCACCTCTTGCCGGCTCTGAGGCAATCTTGACTGCCTGCGGAACATCAAAGGACAAGAAACAGCTCGAGGTATTAAATGGCGTTGGGCATTGGCATTGCGTTGAAGCGCCAGATGATGTGGTGAAGCATCTTGAAACATTTTTTAAAAGCCTCGCATAAATATCTTCCAAAGCAAATTCATTGCCCCTTCCTTTGCCTCTCTAAGCGCAAATTCAGAATCAAAAGAAACTCGATGTTCTGCTTAAGCCCCGTGTCCGAGACCTGTCTTTCGTACACGTCTCCTTATCTCATGGCTATTTATATAGGGATGGCATGGTATCATATTCATAGGCGGTGCCCGGCGGCGAGGGTGAAAATGACCAGATACACAAGGTGAAGCCAAGATCATGTATGATCTTAAAAGGAGAGATGAATGCTTCATTACAGTGAAAATATCTGCTGTTAGCTATCTTGACTCACGACTGTGGTTAAACCCCTGGCAGAGACGGTTAAATATCAAGCTTTTGGTACTTGGAAAAGAAGTCTGATCGATGGTTCCATTTAAACGGAGGTGGCTATCTTTCCGCGTCATAGAACTCCACTGGATCTTCGTCCTGTTCCAGGGGCAGCTTGATATCTTCGATATCCCCTCCTTCTCTCGCGATCCTGTCAAAGAGCTTCTTTGCTCGCTCTTGCTCCTCTTTATGCTTCTTCTTCCCACGCTCATGGTCGCCGACCCGTTGGCTGAATAAAAACCTACGCTCCATGTTCTTGTCAGCGCTTCTCAATCGTCGGCTTCTCTCGAGGCCTTCTCCCTCATTATCTTCGTTTGTCTCATCCGGAGGCGGTGCTGGAACACTCAGATGGCCAATATAAAGTGCGATCATTCCTCGAAGTCGAAGCAAGTTGTGGCTGTCAGAATATGGAGGAGTTGTCATCAGGTCGTCCAGTCTGGCAGCGATCTTCTCTGAAGCCGTCAGAGCCGTCTTCCGAATCTCGTCTCTCTCTGTCCACCTTCTCTCCGCCCTCCGTCTCATCCGGCGAGATTTCCTCCTCTGCTCTGCGGCAAATGCAGCATCCATACCAAATTCCTCGTCCTCTGCATCCTTTGCATCCTCTTCAGATTCTTCGCTCTGACTCTCACTTCTCTCTCCACCCTCATCCTCCTCTGCCTCCCTAGTAATCCTCCTCAACTCCTCATTCTGCTCAAACTGAATCCCATAAACCTCACAGCCGACCAACACAGGCCAAAAGTCCAACGCGCTCACACTCCCGTCAAACTGCCTCTTATACGGATGCTGCAGAATCAACCTCTCATAATAATCCCTCGCCTTCTCCAGACCCTCCCTACTGCCCCACATCTGTTCCCCTCCCCCTTCCTCTCCCTCGCCCTCACTCTCCTCATCATAAGAGTACTTACCCCTCCTCTCCAGACTCCGAATCAGCAATTCAGCCCCAATACCCCAATACCCACTGCCCCTCAAATCCACCCCCCGTCCCCCAACCTGCGCCCGAATCAACATCGCCCACGCACGACTCGCTCTGCTTATGTCGCCCTCCAGTAAACACCGCTGTAATATAGTCATTAGGACACTGAGATGCTGTAATCGTAATCTTGGTCCTCTCTCTGCTCTCTTTTCTTTTATCCCCTCCTCCCCGTTGTCCGCTCCGATCTTCCTGACCTCTCCGCCTTCGCCATCCACTCCCTCTCCATGTTGCAAAATGTGCGATTTCTCTTTAACCTTTCCCTTCCAATCCTGCTTCCCCTCCGCTGCCCTCGCGGGCCCTAAACCTCGATGCGGCCACCCCTTCACCCCCGGAATCTCCTCATCAAGCCTCAGTCCCGCAACCTTATACTGTGCTATCTCATTCGGCGTAAGACTCAGCGGGTTTGTGGATGCTGGGAGCTCGTTGTCGTGGTCGTGGTCGTGGTCGTCTTCGGACAAGGATGGACCGGGCGAAGGTGAGGGGCGGCGTTTGCGCTTGCGGATTGGGAGGGAGGTTTGGAGGGGGACACGTGTGTTTGTGGGTTGGAAGTGTGAGGTCGTTGAGGAGGGGGCGAGGGGAAGGGCGAAGAGTGGCATTTTGGGGTTTGTGGTGGTTGTTGACAGACGGAGAGGTTGAGATGAAGAATAGGGAGGCTGAGTCGTAGCCTTGCAGCTGAATATTTGCATCACGTGAGACTGTTATCCCCCCCCCCCCTTCACTTTTATTTATTTAATATTAACATTCGAGGAGGCAAGTTTAGTAATAACTTATAATAGAGAAAACCCTATATATAGCCTTTAACTTTTTTATATAATAATTAAATCTCTTGTTACGTTGTAATTAATTATTTGTTTAATTATAAAAGTAAAAAAATCCTTTCAGTATATTAATAGAGAATTACCAATAAATAAAGTATAGCTAGTTTACTTTAAAGTTTAATACCAGAACTGTGACGGCGGGATCAATGCAATGGTCGGGGCTCAGAGTTCCGAGAATCTCGTGTGTTGAAAATACGAAGCTAGAGAGTAAAGGAGAAGGGAATGCTTCGACCTTTAGTAGTGTTTTGTCAGTCTCTAGCTCACTTGCCCCGTTTTAGGCACGTTTCCTCTCGTGTGATATTTGCGGCAGATCATGCACTTATGCCAGCCGTCACAAGAACTAATTAAGTAGCCTTATTAGCCTTAAATGCTTCTAAATGGCTTCAAAAAACAATTCACTAATAAATTCTATTATACACATTAAATAGAGATATAAAATATAAGCTTTAAAGCTCGAAGTTAATAAGAATTAAAATAAACATTACTTAAAATACACTAGTCCCGACTTGGTCTTCATAGCAGTGCCAACCAGGTCCCAGAGGTTTTTCTTGATTGTTTTCATGATTTCAATTATCTTTAAAAGATCAGAATTAGTTGTGTGAGAAAATTTGCGTATTGAATGCAAATGGAATGGAGGGGATATGGTTAATATCTCAACAAAGAGAATGGACCCTTATATATATTTTTGGGGCAACCGCACAAAGCTGTAAGCAGGGTATCCTATCTCCAGTCTGTATATGTTCATTACCATTGCCACCGAGAAGAAGTGGGCCCAGCAAGTTCCAAAATGATTTGTTTCAATTGAAACTGCTCCGCCTTGACTACGAAGTAGAGGCAGGCGTTCACTAGCTAACTGTGACGGCTAGCGTAAGGGTGTAAGGCACGTAATAGCAGGGTGATGCACAAGTAGTCAAGGTAAGTAAGCTGCGGAGTGACGCTTGCAAGTGTAACTGATTCCAAGAATTGATTCCAACAAGAGACTAATCGATGCCCCTTCCAAAGCTAGGAGCGTCTCCCTATATATTCCCTAGTGCTTAGCCAGGCATGCGAAGCCCTTTACTTAATTAGGAAATCCCATGCGATCCATACGATTCCGATCGCAAGCTGTACCCAAAATAGGAAACTAGATCCACGACATCTGACACCTGTCCATGCGCCATCACGTGTGCCCATCACAAAGGGCATGATCTGCCAAGGACAGGATATCGGAAACAGGCACAAAACGAAGCTAAGCCGGAATTGCTTGGACGGAATAATACTAAAGGTCGAGGCATCCTCCCTACTTTGTTCCATAGCTTAGTATTTTCCAATACATGAGATTCTTTGAACTTTGAGCCTTCGACCATTGCATTGATCCCGCCGTCACACTAACCGCCAAGCCAACCTCCCAAACCATAATTACACGACAACAGCACTACGAAACCAAAAAAGTAAGTCCATATTCGTGATCATTGACCTCACTATAGTAATCCTGGAAGTTTTTAGAATTTTCTAAGCATTTTGAGAAAATCTCAAATTTTGGATTAGTAAATGCTTTTAGTCATCCGGGCAATTTATTCTTGGTGCTCTAATCGAAAAGATCCTGAATTCCAAAGATACCATTTGGAATACCATCGAACACCTTTAGCAACACCCGCGATGCAAGATTTGAAGGTCCTTCACTTATATGTTGATGATACGGGCTTGGAAAGCTACTATCACGTCCTTGTTGATAGCAAATATTTCAAATACATCTCTATCGATTCGGGTGTTTACGATGTCGAAGATCTAGCCTTTCCTCAAGCTCTGGTCTCCAAGCTACCGAACCTCCCGTCAGGTGAATGGAACCTTGGCCATATCGCTAAAAGTGAGGATGACATCTCCCCTCACTTCGCTTGGACGATCCAGAGAACCTTCTCCAGTATCCAGCACACTTGGCACTTGGTATATGTTGACTATCTCTCACATACCATGGTTAAAATTCTATTACCCAACGTCTATGAAGTAACCACACCCAGATTCCATGTCCCAGTCATCGTCAAGTTCGCTCGATTCCCATGGGAGATAGACTACTACGATCAGGAAACGCAAGCTTACTCGTGGATTGAAGGGCACGATATCGGACCCAAGTTCCTCGGGCATGTAACCGAGGGCGAGAGGGTGATCGGTTTCCTACTTCAGAAAGTGTATGGACGTCATGCTGGACATACTGATTTGCAGCTTTGTCGCACTGCGGTATCAAATCTACACGGCCTTGGAATCCACCACGGAGATTTGAATAAACACAATTTTCTGGTGCAGCCGTCTCGCGCATATCTGATCGATTTCGAATCCTCTAGAAAGGTTGATGATCAACAGGCGTTGATTTCAGAGCTGGAAAGCCTGGAAGGGAATATTTGCAGTGACTCGAGAAGAGGAGGGAACTACACCGACTTCCCGCAGCCCCAGAGCTAGAAGTATCACAGCTACAAATCAGTACGGAACGTTCCAAAAGTGGTACAAAGATCTTCTGGCCGGTCTGGCCGTCAAAGAAAATGGCTCAACACTGCCCCAAGTTCCCACTGCAGTCAGTATATTTGAAACTCATACTCCCATCTTACTTGTTCTGATCAGACCCTTAGTGTATACTGTCACACCTGCGTCATCGGCTTCTCACCCTCCTTCCTCCACTTCTCCTTCACCCAACCTACGAAAACGTGCACACAGCCCATTTAGGAAACTGGTCTCGCCCTCGCACATGGGTTGGATATCACGGCCTTTATAGACAACACGCTGCGGCATAGAAATTTAAATTGAGGGCTAGAAAAGACTAAACGGGTCGGGATTAAGTACTAGGTTAGACTGTGTCAAGGCCTGAAGAGGCTTGTGCGGATAATATGGGTATATATTGGTATATTAGTAAGGAATGATAGTGCCCTAAAGGCGGGGAAGAAGCTATATATATATCTGTAGTGGCCTGTGCGCAGCACGTGACAGACTGCTAGGCAGATGGGAGATATCCATACATTTTACCGTGTCCGAAAGCCGCCATTGCACAGATGTGCTTCTTATATGAACCCAGTCGATTTGTCACGGCCTGGACAAGCTGTGGAAGTGGAATGTATGTGTTTTGGTGTAAATATGTAAGAAATGATGGTGTCCTAAGGGCGGTGAAGAAGCTATATATATCCCTGTACGTAGCACGTGACACGATTCCCCCTCTGAATTTCCCTCGTGAGCAAAATCAAGCATTTGTCTTTTGTCCACTATGGACAATATTATCTTTCACTAATCCCCATTAGCCTCAGCAAGCCAAGCTCCTCGTTCGAGTCGTTCACCTGTGTATATCCGGCTTCAGTTGTGTCTGGACAATCTATTACATCTATTTCCGTGCCCCAAACCGCCTTATAGTTCAATTAGTAGAACGAGATTTCGAAAGATGATATGCTTAAATACCGCGATATAAGCGATCCGCCCCCGTTAAAGACACTTCTCAGACCAGTGTTACAGAAACAATACTATTTATGACAATTGCATAAACAAGGCAGTATTTGACATGGAATTAGGCTTCAAAATATAAGGGTAAAGCTAATATAAATTGAGATATCTAAAGTACAAGAAGTGCAGTTGTGACGGCTGGCATAACTGCATGATCTGCCGGGAATAGGAATTAGGAAACAGGCCTGAAACAGGGAACTAAGCCAGAGGTATGGGTAAAGCACTACTAAACGTCGAGGCATTCCTCCCTTCTTTGTTCTCTAGCTTAGTATTTTCAATGCATGAGATTCATTGAACTTTGAGCCTTCGACCGTTGCATTGATCCCGCCGTCACATATATCATCAGGGCCTCCTATTTAGAGGAGGCTTCCCTGGACCTCACAGGAGGGACAGAGATTAGTTCTGTACTGAATTTGACACTGTGGCTTCACAACTCACTAATTCATTCTATTGTCTTATTCCCTACTAACAAACCCCTCATAATTAAGTTCAATTAAATCCTTACTTTTTATCTTTATCAAACTTTATTAATAAGTTTCCTTATTAATACTTAAGGTTATTAATAGCGCACTATATAAGTATTATAGAACCGAGTTCCTAGCTAACTAATAGGAGTAATAGGTAGAAGTCTTAAAATTAGTCTTTATTCTTTTGTAATTACTATTGATCGTGTTTCGACCGACTCTCGTGGGGCTGCGTTCTTGGGTGCAAGAGGATTCACAAATGAGACGTGTGGGCAGACTGGTATGAGACCGTTAGTTCTGTGCTAAGTCGTTCTCGAAGAAGAATGAATTTGAGACTTACATCTCGCATGTGGACCATCTTTTGTATCGTACATGGTAAATATAAATGGTTCAGAAGGAGTTTGCTTGTTGAGCCAGAACCTGAGTCCAAGATTAGCAAGAGTACGCGTAGTCGTCGTCCTTTTAGTCCATACCACTTGTGGTTTGGATTGTGAGTGAGGTAGTATACTTCTCCAAACCTTCCTGGCGCAACTCGATCTGCTGGAACCAAGTCTTCTGGGTCTACCGACCGACTATCGCAGAGGGCTAGGGGTCGATCTTCAAGGACTGGCACCAGCGGCCTCCAAGTGCTTGCCGGAGTTAAGTCAGCGTATTCAGTCTTCGTGGGTTCTTCTTACTTGATAATCCTGAAGCGGTATCCTGGTTTGAGGAAGAGTGACCTTTCTTCGTCTGTCAAGTAACGATTGATGACCTCCGGACCAGAATCATAAGTAATATCTGGGCCTTGCTTCAGCATATCATCACACGATCTTTGAAAAGAGGATGACGTACCATTGTGAACACCACGAGCAGGTCCTTCTGTGTGTAAAGGATCGGCTAAATCCATCTGGTTTCGTTGAAAGGGCACATTCCTCCGAAGGATGGAGTCGTAAGATTTCACAAAGGCGGCGTCCAGGGTATCCTTTAAGAGCTGATCTGCCTCTGCGCGATATTGTGCGACATCGTCGGGCTTTTGGAAGCTGGAGAAGCGGCTATGATGAGAAACAACTTCGAATCCGCAGTCGTTGATTTTGAAGGCGTGCTTTAGGTCTCGGATATCTCGAATATGGACGTCGGAATGGTCTTCGAATTCCAAGTTGTCGACTCGCTCCACGTCCGGGTCGAAGCCATCATGGGGAGGGAGAAAGCACCAATATGGTTTTTCGGATTCGTAGAGTGCGAGCTTTTGAAGGTACTCGAGGGTTCCCGTCACATCAGGCATGAGGTCTTCTTGTCAATCAATGTTGGGTAGGAGGAGGGCAGTTGTATTGAGTGCCGATTGACTTTGGCGGGGAAGACTGGGTAGAGTAGGGTGAGATTGAGGGTACCCTTTCTTGGCAGTCAAGGTTGGGTAGGTCGTAGGAAGGAGTAAGTAGTAGTATTGGAGTTATGAATGGAGTCCAAAGTAAGGTTCGATAGGTAGGGAGGGAATGAGGGAGGGAGGTATGGCGAAGTAACAGAGAAAGCCTGGTCGCAAATAGCAAATATTTGAGGTGCAGGAGGTCGGTGTCGGCACTGTGGAGCAGACAGACACCGATTGGCTCGTCTACCTACCTAGATCGTAAGCGGGAGATAAGCTGTACTGCTCTGCTGGACCTCGGTGTTGCTGTTACTGTTGCCGTTGCAGTAGGCAGACTGGCTGGCTGATTGCGGCTACATATTTCACGCAGCGCTCTACGGAGGGAGTGGAGTGAGAGGAATGGAGGGCCGACTCCACCTAAATCGACTGAAATCCGCCTAATCCTATTTGATCTAGCCTAACAGGGTAATGCCTTCCCGTATATCCCTCATAACTTGTTCCTCACCAAAACTTGCTCCCTTATAACTTCATTTTTAGAACAACGATTAGGGTTAGGGGGTTAGGGTTAGGGGGAGACTTCCAGGAGTTAGTGCCTTTAGGTACGCTATCACAACTGGAGGGGGTTCCTCCAGACCTCCGGAGGATTTGGGATACCTTTGGGCTGTTTGTGCCTTGGGGTTGAGGTGTTTATGTGTAGAGCGCTGCCTTGTTGGGTTAGTTCAAGTAGGATTAGGCGGATTTCAAGTTGATTTACCATAGTAGGTAGAGTCGGAGGGGCAGGGGCAAGGGCTGGCTCGCTGGGCGCATTCTCTTATCAGTACTCTTAACCCTGCCAGTCCTGACCCTGAGAATCTAGGCTACAGATTAATGCGTATGGCCACAACGAGTAGCGAGTAAGGCTTTTCTCACCAGAATAGTTCCCGCGCACGGTGCAAGGCAGACTCCATCAATCCTCCATCGCCTGATACCCGCTCCCCGTTACTGGCTCGTCAGAGAAGGACGCACTCTCACACGATTTTATCATCAATATACGGTGTAGTCCCCGAATATCCATTCTGACACCACCTACCGGGTGATTGCATAAAGTCGAAAGGAACCGAACAACGCGCTGCTGGTTATCTCTGCCATGTCCCCCCCGGCTCTCAGGAGCATTCCCTACCTCGCCGAGTTCGCAGCCGGCGATCCACAATAGTTGTCGTCGCTGAGAAGGAAAGTACTTTAGGACAACCAAGAACCGTTTGGAGAGCGTTTGGGCACCGGATTGCCTGCCCCGGATATATTCGCTCGTCATCTCCTATCTTCCCTCCCCTGGTAGGTGTGGTGAGATCTTGAGCGCATTGTTGTATAGCCCAGAACCGACCGAGTCAATTGTGATTGCTAACAATTCATCCAGCACTACCTCCTCCTCCTCCTCCTCCTCCTCCCACCCCCAGAAGCGATCCCAATCCGTTAGCCCCCAACACCTACGCACTACCCCTAAACATCAGAGAAAGATGGAGGCCTCTATTCCAGACAATAAGAAGGTGAATATCCGCCGCCAATCTTCAATCTCTGGCAGACAGCTAACTGAACCAGGGCGAGAGCGGGTGCCAAAGCCAGAGCCAGAGCCAGAGCCAGAGCGCGTGCTCTCGATCCTCCTCCCCCGAATCCGACGCCGAGTCAACAAAGTCCGATGTCGAGCTCCCACCCGCGGTCCACCAGTTCTTCCAGTCGGTGAGTCCTGCGGGCTTTCCAACCACAAAGGGCCCGAAGAAGGCGCAGCCATGGAAATCGCGCTGGAATGGTCCTCAGGAACCAAAAGATGGACAGCTGATTGTCGCATGCCCAAGAATATGCACCTACGGTATGTCAATACCGCACAAAGAGCGTCGGAAGCTGTCTACATATCCTTCAAGTATACCTATATCTGACATTGTATTTCTCTGTGCTAGGTAGCGGCAATTTGGGAGGATACTGAGACTACGTTTGGTCACGTGGGCTCATTTTGCGATTGGGAATAGGCCTCATTCCGATGGGTTTGCCATTGGGGTTGGAAGATTATTGCGATACGTTCATTTCTAGAAGTAGAGATCGATCGATCGATCATTCCCTCTTCCATTTTGGATTTACGATAGACTTTCTTTACATAAAAACAAAAAAAAAAACAAAAAAAAGTCCATCCATCCAGTGTCTGGGTGCGATGTTACAAACAAGAGCCTCTCCCCCTCCATCCTACGCAATGCTTGGATCCTCCACCAGGTTCTCATCCCGCGGAGAACGCGTGCACAATCCTGAGTGGATAACTGATGCTACCTGGGGGTGGGAAGAATCACTCTCTCAGACCAAGGGGTAGATGATTCGCTGTTGCCTGCCTCGACACTCTTGTATGGACTCTGACCTGCAGCCGCATTGAGTGGGGAGGGCGTGAGGGATGGGGGAGATAGCTGTAGGTCGCCCAAGTGGGCTGCGCGGGGATGCAGAGTCAGGCCCGATTGCAGCGCCCAAAATTCCCCTCCTGCCTTAGAGAGCCTAAATACAGCCCTACAGCCTGCCAGCCCTTCTTTCCTTCTTCTCCCCAAAATCCATTCCCCTCACTTTCTCCGAAGTGCGGATCTCCCAAGCCAGACCTTGTTTGCGCTCCTCCAAGCGCACTGTAGTCTAGCTCGATATCCCAAGTTATTGCTCTTCTCCTGCGAGTATTTCTTTCAATAGCTGCTATTTGTATAACACGCTCTGCGTAGCTCGAGCCTCGTTATCTTATCAAGATGGAGCGCCGGACGTACACTGAGGACGAACATGATGTGGATTTCAAGTACGTACTTTCTCCCTCTCGACTATTCTGGGAATGGCCTGTTTACTTTGGGTAGTGACACGAGCGAGTTTGCCGCCAAAAGATGGAAAGATGCTACCATTGCGATTAAATCAACAGTGTCAGGAGCCGGTAAGTGCAGTCCACAGTCTTGGTTCTAGAGTGTGTATTCTGAGACTAGTTGAACAGACTACGAAAAGGCTTCTTTACCAAGAGACTGGCAAACCCTTCACACCTATATCCGAGACCAGAGCTTGGATCTAAAAGCTGCCCCAATCACCAGACGGCTCTTGAATCACCTTCTTCCGTTTCCCAGAACTATGAATACTCTCCTTGGAATATTTACTCGATCGATTATTCCATATGAAGCCGATTTCAGACTACTCTGGGGATTGCTTGAGCTCAATATCAAGGTGCTTCCTATCCTCTCCCATGAGTTGGTCCTTGATTAATGGTAGATAGTTGTCGTTGGTATCAACTCCAAAGCTTAACAGAACTGTATCGTGGATGAAGAGATTGCGCAGTGTTTTGGAGCTATTCAACCGATGTTTAGATGTTTGCGAGGACATGAACGAAGCTCGATTGTCTATGGCGGATGTTCTAGGTATGATCCTATATCCCCTTTCTCTCTGAATTGTCATGCTAACTCCCAAACTTTAGAATATCTGCTTCAGCTATTTGCCGAGTCTAGCAGACATCTTCGGCAATGCCCAACTGGTATGAATTGTTCCTCTATAAACATCCCCGAAAGTCAAAAATTCACTTGCGTTGCCGACTAACCCAGAACATTGCAGATGCGGAAGCGGCAAGGGCTGCAAAAGATCTTGATATAAGAGTCAACGAAAACCTATCGGACATGGATGCCACGGTTAAGCATCTTAATGATGTTACCTCATACTCGAAAGCAAATACTCAACGACAGGTCCAGAATCTGGCGAACCGCCATGCTCCTCATGTCATCCCAGAAGAATATGCCACATTCCCCATCAGAATGATACCAAGAGAAAGAAATGAAGACTTCTATGGCCGCAAGGAAGAATTGGACCGCGTAAATAACTATCTGGACTACTCTTCAAACAATCCCCCTCTGCGAACCTATTCGATCTATGGACGACGTGGAGTCGGAAAGACCAACATTGCACTGGAGTATGCATACAAAAACCCTGCGAACTTTGATGCTATCTTTTGGGTCCAATGTGAAACCTCACTGTCGCTTCGCCAAAGTTTCACTGATATGGCTGTTAACTTGAACCTGCCGGGTGCGGATAGAAATGGTTAGCTTCAATGGAATTCACAAAAGTCCTGGTTATGCTCACAAGACATTAGGACATGACGAGGAGAATCAATTGGCCGTGTTAAAGTGGTTGAAGATCACTAGTATGCTTGATTGGACCTCCTTCTAGGGGAGATAATACTAACTTCACTTGCAGAGAAAAAGTGGCTTCTTATTTTCGATAATGCTGGTGAGTCTGCTCCACGAGGAGATCGACCCCTCCCTATTTCCTGACGAAGGCTGACATGCTTCGACAGAACGAGAGTCCATTCTCAGGGGCTACTGGCCGCTTGGTGCGAATGGTGCCATTCTGTAAGTTGAACCTGCCATCAGGTAAAGAAGACATGTTCTTATGTGTTCATCTAGCATTACCTCCCGAAAGTATTACAACTTCATGAATGATGCATCACGCAAGGGCGACACAGTCAAACCTTTCAATGATAGACAAGGTTGGGATCTGCTTATGAAGTTGCTAGGTCCTGAGTGGCAAGATCTAGACAGAAGAGGGTTGATCCAAGGCACCGAAGAGTCAGCCGCGAAGGAACTCTTGATGAATTTAGGAGGGGTAAGTACGAAGATACTAAGGAGTATGAAATGAAGCTAATTTCAATACCAGCTCGCACTCGCAATTCAACAAGCAGCTCAGCTCATCAAAAAGCCAAACATTGCTGGCACAACAATTGCGGGTTGTTTAGAGACATTCAAGGAAATCAAGCGATCCCTTCCACCTAGACAGACTGCAGATCGCTCCGACATTATCCATTCGCTGGATTCGTTGTGGGACATGACATTCAAGCATTTGAGCCGCAATGCTCGAGATATGCTGAGTGTGCTCTCACTGTTTTCACCTGGTATATTATTTACTCTCCCAAGCTAAGACAATGCATGTGACTGACTTTGCGAGACCGTATACTTATCGATCTCTTCCTGCCAAAGAATCAACGAGCTCTCGATGGAAAGCTGAACTTCTGCAAGCAGCACCCCAATCTTGTAGATGAGAAAGCCCACGCACTATCCAGTGTCATTACTATCCCACCACTTCTTCGTGCCGCAATCGACGAGTTGGTAGATTTCAAGTTGATCACCGAAGAAGGCAGAGAATTACGCGCGCATCGTGTGGTACAAGAGGCCATGAATTATCTCTCCTACCGAGATTTACAGGAGTACTTTGACAGCGCAAGTTCTCTTGTTTATGAAGCATTTCCAAAGCAAGTAGCAGGTGATTATTTGTCCACCCAATGGAGCGCATGTCAGACATATATCTCTCATGGAGCACATATGAGTTTACAATTCTCTACCTATCGACGTGCTTCCTCGAAGTTGAAAGGGTAACCATCAAACCCCCCTCCGAAAATAACAATACTAATACCAAAATTTTAGATCAAAATGGTTTATCAAACTTTTGGCAAATTGTGCATGGTATTTATATGAGACTGGCAATTACGATATCTGTTTACGTATGGTCGAGACAGGCCAGCTGGCTTGTGGTAATAACACGGAAACCATGCAGTATGCAGTATTTTGTAACATTGCGGGATTGACGTACTATGAGTTGAACAAGCTTGGAGATTGCAGGAGAAATCTTGAAGTATTCTACCACTTGCAAGAGAAGCATTTGGGAAGAGACGATTTGGACGTGAGCCATTCTCTATGCAGGATCCAGACCTCCCACAATGCTAACAGTTCCTTAGCGATCTATTTCGCTCCATAACATGGGACTTTTGGAGGCATCGTCTGACAATCTGATCGACTCCATGGATTATTTCACAAAAGCAATCCATATTCGACTCAATGCCGGTGATGCAGCTTCGAATCTTCTTGCAAATTCATATCTCTGCAAGTCTCGCGTCCACTTCTACAGGAAGGAATACGATGAGGCTTTCAGCTTGCTTGCAAAATCCGAGGCACTGTACTTCCGAACTGCTGGAGACAATGCGCATTTCATGGCTCAGTAAGAAGATTCCCACCTCTACACAATATTAAATCCAAACTGACTGACGACGAAGCGTTCATTACGCTTATGGCAATATTGAGTTAGATCAAAAGCGTTGGGCATCTGCGAAACGGTCGTACGAGCAATGCCTCAAAGTCTCGCTGCTCAATTCTGCCGTCCATCCATTAACAGCATCAGCGTACTACTCACTTGGCTGTGTTGAGTTCGAGCAGGGTAATGTAGATAATGCGAAAGGCCAGCTGGAGAAGGCGATGGCCATTGCCACACTCCGAAGTCCCCACAGGGATGACGGGTATATCGCGCGAATTTTATGGAAATTGTCCAAGGTATTGGAAAGCGATGTTGTTGGTGCATACCACCAACAAGCAAACGACATGCGCATCAGAGCTGAAGTGGCCAGGCGGGTTCTCACCGGAAATGGAGAGGGAGGCATCGTCATTGCACTCGACGAGAATGGAGATCCAGATAATCAGGAGGATGAGGACTCTTACGATGCCTTGATTCCCGGCTACTTTAGATGATTTGACATTTCTTTGGGTCATATTTGGATTTTTCTTCTTTATTATTTTGAGGTCATATATCGTCAAGCGGGTACTCTCAACTACACAGAATGAAATATCACATTTGAAATGTATCCCGAATGAAATTTGACGTCGAACACCTACTCCTGGCTCCGCGCTAAACTGATGTTGACTGCTGCTGCAATGAAAACCATCGAATTATCGACCTGGTGGAGGTACTGTGAAAATCAGTTGAACTAGTTGGAGGACTGTCTGAGAGAAAGTCAGTAAGTAGGCATGGAATTCTCACAGATACGATGCGTACTTGGATGATTGAAAATAGAAGAGCAAGGCAGCCAAGAATGACGAACGCCCATAACATCCACCAATTCCATTTGTTCGCTTGGTCGTGCCACAGTTGTCTCAGATTGTTGGGCCGATGATCATTCACATATTCTTGGATCTTCAGAAGACGCTTCCCAAGGTATGGGAAGTCTTCGGAAGGACTATAGCGCTCAGCGGTGTCCTCTGCTTGGATCTCATCATATATCGGCCATGCCTTCTCGCTCTCCCAATTCTCACCACAAATGATAGCAAGAAGGGGATCGGAAAGCTCTGCCAGTGCTGGCGCCCAGAGGTGTGCACGGCGCTTGAAATCCTCTGCTGATCCTGGGCCCTGGCCGAAGATGAGCCGGTAGGAGAGAAGGACTTCCTTATAGTACTCCCTCGCCCCATCGTGTTCAGACGTTGGCAGATTGTTGTAGCTCATGGAGTCAGCAAAGATCCTGCGTGGTCAGTAGATATTCCGTGATGCATAGCGGGGTGCTCACGGCGCGAATGTTGACTTCTCTCGGCAGCAACACATCATTAAGCAGATGGAAGGGAACCGGAAGAGCTTGAGCACCTTCCCTGATCGATCGAATTCCAGATGAAGACTTAAGCAGTCGACCCACTCGATATTGATGTCTACGACTCTGCATAGGTTCCGGTAATTCAATCTCGAGACCTCGATCGAAACGTCCGGCATAAGCGGAGCAAAGCCTGGACCTGGGGAATATTGGCCACCGAAAATGGACCGTTGGCAATGTGGGATAATCGTGCCAAATCGCCGCAGAAGCAAGGCCACGTTCTCGTCTTTGTAATCCAGAGTCTCTTTATAGCTTTTATATGTCTTAGACCTGGTGATAAGCCGTCTCCGCTCAGGAGTACCGCTGGTTCGGGAACTCTGTGTCTGGCGCGTGCTGATTTGAAACTTGTCGGCGGCGGGATTAAGTTCCGGAGAGTAAAGCATGCCTAGAAATTGGTCAGATTAATTCATCCCTCATTGCGATGTTGAGGCCCACTCACTGATCATTCCAAGCGCGGTAAAGACCATCTGATTTGCTGGGTTCCGCTCATAGTCAGAATCCTCGGGTTCAGCTGTTTCAATCAGAACTCCACTATTGTAGAGCTCATCAACAATCTGTACCAAAGCCCGGTCATCACGACGAAATTCTTCCACCATCGCAGCAAGGACTTGGAAGGTGATGGACAGCTCATCAGCGCTCGGTTTCAGACCTGTGGTGTCGACACCCTTCAACACCCGGCGGAACAATGGGATCCACGCTTCTTTGATCTGGGACTCCAAGAAGCCGACCTGCCATTGACATGCAGCCTCCACAATTTCAGACCCAGTCCCACTTCCCATGAGAGCCGCAATGTACTCATCTCGCGCCGCCGAGGCGACTCTCTCGCCAGATAGCGAGGGCTTTGCCGCGGGTGGCGGCTGCCTCGGGGTCCCTATAAAACATCCTCGATCGGCGGTTGAACAGCTTCCAGATAGTTGGGAGGACTTACATCGCGCGATCCACTGAACAGACCAGTGTGATCTGATACTAGCAGCACTTGTGCTCAGTCCGGTTTGTACTCTCTAAGCTAAAGTTTCAGCGTTATTGTTGAATTAACATCTGAGCGGCTCTATCTATACCCCAGAGAAGAAGCTATTGCCGCGGGTGAAACGTGTGCGGACAGGAGCAAGAATTTGAGCCTCGAAATCGGTTGTATTTCCGATACCTTGCAACTCTATATCTGGCTGAGTTACATCCATATCACAGCAAGAACCCATTCAACGCATAGAGAAGTCAATATATTGTTCTAAAGTGAGGGTGGCCGGCCTTTTGAGGTCTCAGGCCGGTTCCCCCTCACCATGCACATCCTCAAGATAAAGGCGTGAAGGAATTATGAGGCGTACACAACGACGATGAATGGAGGGCTAGATGTAAGGGCTGGCTTATCGAAGCTCAGCAGTGGAAAGTTGGCGAGGAGGTGTGTCATCCCCCACTGTCGGCTCAAGGCTGAGCATCGGTTATCGTTATAGCACCGAACATCACGCCCAAGAGATATGAGCAAAGTGCAACTATTCTGTGGCGGAGCATGTCGTGGCTTTGTGCAGGTGGTTTGTGAAGGCTTTAGGGTCGTGGTTAGTTTCTTAGGCAACAGGGTAGCGAATCTCTGCCGCTTCTTTCGTCTCGATAAGCTCTCATTTGAAAGTCTGACTTCTCAATGAATAGTGTTTGAGAAGTACGAGGCTCAAATGGAATCTGTTACGGCAATTTTGGGTGCGAGACCGGTGAGAAATAGAGGTGGGAGGTTGGCTGGTTATATGTTCGGCGGTGGTTCTGTGTTAGTCTGAGCGAGCTGTCCTGAGGGCGGTTGAAGTGCTGAGGGCTGCGTGGGGGTCAACACAAGGCTTGCGATGCAAGCATCTCGAGCATCCTACCGGTGACACTTTAGGCAGAGAATCTGACTTTTCTATTGGACAGGTGTCCACTTAGTGATCTACTTTGGGATCTTGTTTGGGCTTCTTGAGCATGGTCGTCAAAACTTGACGAAAATGATACTATCCCCCCTAAACACTTATCCCTTCGTCTGGCGAGACATAGTCCACGCTAGCAAGGGGCCTGGCACAGGACGAAAAGGCAATGAATGACTAACCAAAGCTACGACTTTCCAGTCTGAGCCAGGCCCCCTTGCTAGCGTGGACTATGTCTCGCCAGACGAAGGTATGAAATTTTAACTTCTTTAATTTAAAGAGCTATTACTAATCCAAAGTCTATAAAAAGTTTATATTTAAATAGCGCTTAATTAGCGCTATAACAAATGAAACAAGTATTAAATTATATTGATTCCTTATAAAATTGAATTAAATTATAGAAATAGCCAAAGTTTTGGTGTTCCTGTCCGAGCGCCTCTACTTTAGGTTAGTTCGGCCCCCAATCGACACCCGGGAGGGAGGGGGGTGGGGTCGTTTTACATTTTCCCGAATTAAGCTTATCGGATCTGAAACCTTACGTTCGATCCATCTGTCCCGAGACATATCGCCAGAAGATCCAACTCAGAACCACTCTCGACTTTGACCAAGATATTTTGTGTGACGTGGTTTCTAGTTACTGGAATCAAGGACAACGCCTCTACCGTAGAAACAATTCCCACCACCTTCACAGGTATGAAGTCTGCAGAGTGCCTCACTTTCAGTGGCGAGGTAGTCAAAACCCTTGTTAGACAAGAGGCCAACACTAATACAGGACTCCAAGGGACGCACATCGCTTCATTTTGCAGTTGAACGTGGTCTAAGAAGGCGGTTTGAAGTCTTCTGGTGCTACTAGGCAAAAATACCATTGACGTGCAAGATGAGTATGCACAGAGGGCGCTTCACTTTGCTGCTGGAGGAAAACACGCCGGGGGAGGTATATGAAAATTAGAAAATTGCTAAAGGACACGGAGGCCGACCTCACACTAAAGGATCGCGCAGGACGGACCGCATCGTGATATGTACATTAGAGCCACGACCCGTGGCTGGTGTTCTGGGAGCAGAATCAGCTGTATTAGGTGTGTATGTAAACGTCTAAAGAGAGAAGAGAGCAGGGAGCTCGAGCTAAGTACAGGGTGCCACGCTAGGGCCAGGTCATGTGACGCTAATATTATAACATCCCCCCTTTAATAGTAAGAGTTCTCCGAACTCGAGCAAACTAAGTAGCTAGCCCGTAAATCCTTCTTATAAGTAATTATATTTTATAAAATAAGAAATTAGATATCTAGTATATTATAGTCTCTAAATAAGATTTCTTCTAGCCTAGAGAATACTATATTTTAGCTAGTAATATAATAGGTAAAAGCTTATAAAAAATAAAAATAAGAAATATTTAAATATATTTTAAATTATATTAATAAATAAAATCTTATTAGCTTATATTATAATTTAGAAAAAGATAGGAAATACTTAAATATATTTTAAATTATACTAGTAAATAAAGCCTTATTAGCTTATATTATAATTTAGAGAAATAATAAAAGAAATATAACTAAAGAAAATATAATTAGAAAAAGTATAGCTAGAAAAAATATAGCTAGAAAAAATATAATTAGAAAAGATATAATTAGAGGAAATATAACTAAAAACTAGAAAATATAACTAAAGAAAATATAGCTAGAAAAGATATAACTAGAAGAAATATAGCTAGAAAAAATATAATTAGAGAAAATATAGCTAGAGAAAATATAGCTATTTAAGATCTTATTTTTATAAATTAAGATATTTAAAATAAAAAAAAAATAAGAAATAAATTTAAAATAAGAAAAACTAAAAAAAGTTATATTTCTAGAAAAAGTATTCTAGCTAATACTTTTCTAATAAAATAGTTATTAGGTTTTTATATTTTATATTTTTAATTCTTTTATTTTCTAATTAATATTTAGCTAATTTATAGGAAATATTATAGCTTAATATATATAATAGCTATTAAAAACTATATAATTCTTTAATTAGTAATTTGAATTTAAATTAATAGTAAATTAAGAAATATATAGAAATTAATTAAAATTATAAATCTAGTTATATATATAAAAATTAGACTTTTTTCTTAAAAAAAAAGAAATTAAATTAAGAATTTTAAAATATTATTACTATATTATAATTCGAAACTAAAGACCTAAAAATAAATAGCTTTATTAGATATATATATAAATATTTAAAGAAAAAAAAAAGCAAAAAGCTTAAGCTAAATATAAAATATTATACTAGAGCTAGATTATATAATACTAATATTATAATAAATAATTAGAGGCTAATATATTTTAAATATTAAAGAAATTAGTAAAAAGATATAGCCTTTTAAGAAAGAAATATAAGAAAGTAATTATATATATTAAGAATTTTATAAGTAATTTTATAAATAAACCTAATTATTATAAAAAAGAAATATATATATAACTAATATTATATTTAGCTTACTTTTTTTCTTTAGCTAGTAACTTTTCTAGAAACTAATTATAGGTTATTTTTAATTTTTATTATTACTATATTATTATAATATTATTTAGGAACCTATAAAATAGTTTTTATAAAATTCTAATTAAGTTTATATATAAGTTTATAAAATAGTTCCTTAGTTTAAAAGAAATATAAGCTTAGCTTCTTTTATTCTAGCTTTAATAATTTAGAACTAATAATTTAGAAATACTTTTTTTTTTTTTAGATAATTTTTAATTTCTTTTTTATTTATTTTTAGTTTAATTATAATTATATTTCTATTAATATAAAATAGTTTTATTATAAATATCTAATAAAAAATATAATAGCTAAATAATAATTTTTAATAAGAGTTTTAGTATTATTTATATTATAATTTAATTTTAAATATTTAATCCTAATTCTAATTATAATTATTTTATTATCTAATATATATAATTTATTTATAATTAAAATAAAATAAACTTAGTAAAATAAAAAAAGTTTAGAAAAGGCTATATCTAAACCTATAATTAGTATAATATTATTATAATATTAATATTATATAATTTAGTTCTAGTATAATATTTTATATTTAGTTTAAGCTTTTTATTTTTTTATTTTTTTTTAGATATTTATATATATATTTAATATAGCTAATTCTATTTCTAGAATACTAATTATAGGTTATAATATAATAGTAATATCTTAAGATTCTTAATTTAATTTTCTTTTTTTTAAAAAAAAGCCTAATTTCTATATATATAACTAGATTTATAATTCTAATTAACTTTTATATATTTTTTAATTTATTATTAATTTGAATTCAAATTACTAATTAAAGAATTATATAGTTTTTAGTAATTATTATATATATTAAGCTATAATATTTCCTATAAATTAGCTAAATACTAATTAGAAAATAAAAAAATATAAAATATAAAATATAAAAACCTAATAACTATTTTATTAGAAAAGTATTAGCTAAAATATTTATTAGTATAATTATTCCTTTAAAAATTATATATATAGTTACGAGATACGGAATACGGGATATAGGTAATGGGATATAAGTAATAGGATATGAGATACGGGATATAGTTATATAACCTCATATTCTATTAATAACTCGACTAGTAAACTAGACCTCTTTAGGCTTAGCAGATTTAGGGATTATATATTAATACTATAATACTATAATTCCTACTTCTAAAAAAAAATAACTTTACTAACTAATATAACTAGTATTTTCATACCTATATAATAGTATTATATATTACTAGTAAACTAATACTAATTAGTTTATATATATAGATTAGAGAATAGAATCTTTTAAGCTAAAGAAGTATCCGGTAGCCTATAGTAAGATTGAACTAGTCTATATTAAAAGAGGGAATTACCTATTAACTTTATAAAGTATCCGGTAGCCTAGGGGAGAAAATAGCTAGCTCTTACTAAGGACTAATAACTATTCTATTAAAAGAAGGAATTACTTATTAACTTTATAAAGTATCCGATAGCCTAAGGGAAAAGACTCTAGTTCTTACTAATTAATAAGTAGTTAGCCATTTGGCTATCTATTTACTTAACTATTTATTATTCTTTAAAACTAACTTCTTTTGGCTTTAAAACTACTTTCTTGGAATCTATCTTTTCTATTTATATAATACCCGTATCTATAGAATATTCTCTCTAGAATATATACTTTATATATACCCTTAAAGCTCTTTAACTACTACTTTAATTTTACTATTAAATCGAGTTCTTTGAGCTTTAGACCTTCCCGGAATTATAATATTTCACTTCCTAAATTTCTTATT